TACACACCGATCAACATTTTTTCAATCAAGACATGCCGCATTAGAAATAAATTCAATCACCTCAAACCGACGCGTGTTTGCTCTGGTGATTAAAAAAATGATGAGCAAATAGTGCCTTTAGATGACTCAGAGTTTAATTGGATAATGTTTCAGATCAGCAGTCTGCTAATGTGCAGTGACACCACATTACACCGATAAGTGGACGCCGGTCATGATGTATCCTCTGACACTGTTTACTGTTCTCTGTCTCCCCCTCCTCCTCCTCCTCTTCCTCTTCCTACGCCTCCTCATCTCCTCTCCTCTCCTCCCCATGAGATTGCAGACTTCTGCTGCTCAACCGCCCTGACAATTTCCGGAAACAAAGATGAGGCGGGCATCTGTGTGTGCAATCACAGACTTATAAATAATTAATTCCAAGTTTTCCAGCATGAAGCATGTGGGGCGGAAACGATCCAACAGACACAGACACAGAAAGGCTGATTGTTACGGTTTTCCATTGATTATTCGAGTGTTTTCTTCCTGTTGCAATTAGGCGTCAAATTCCACCAGAAGTGTCTCTAAATGACCATTTACAGGATTAAATATAGATGAGTGTTGGTCTGAACACACAAGCCCCCCACTCTCTGTTCCATTAACAGCTGATGAATACAGATTATATTCAGCTGAAAGCAGCCCCATTAGTATGCTATACCTAGAAACACAAATCAGATCATGTGGCCGGATCATGTTCACCGAAGATGCTTTCACACTGGAATAAGAACACAAACGGAGGTGTGTTTTTCTCAATTGCGCAGAAATAAAATGGAACAAAACAATAATTTCATTGCCAGTGATCTTTTGAATAAGAGGTGATTCATTCACAGAGGGAGCAGCAGAAGGCTGCAACCCACGGACAGGCTGAGTGAGTGGACACCCAGCAGACAGCCGAGTCAGTGAGGGACATGATGGGAGCTGCTTCAGAGCTGTCATAAACATCCCCGTTTGACCCTGAAAAATGACAAGCCATTAGAGTTTCTTTGTAGCTAGTTTACAGCAAATTAACTCAAATGATGAGCTGAATATTTAATTTTGCACAAAAACAAGAAAATGAAATAGTTGAATTAGAAGCTGAAAAAAGCTGCACAGACTCTGTGCTTTTTCTAGTAAAAATGTAAGACCGTCACCTCATTTTTATAGTGTAAAATCTATAACAGAAGTTCAATAGCGTGTGCTGCTGAAGAATTTCAGATTTTAATAGTTCTACCATGCATCAAACAAGTGTCAGCTTCAGGTATTGGAAAATTAAACCAACACAGGTGAGCAAAAAACTGCAGTTCCTCAAGTGTCCACTTGGGACTGTCTCGAAAAGTTCAGGAAACCCAATTGAAGGGATATTTATTCTCTTTTTAGTTACACTGCGTGAGTTATCTGTCATTAGTAAGTACTTGTGTATAAGCTTTTCCACCTAAATGAGAAAGTACTAGAAGAACTTGCACACAAGCTAGGCTGCAGCTTTCTGGGCCGTCTGCCAAATTATTTAACTTTTGAGAAATTCCAACGAATGTACTCATCTTGGTTGACTGGAAGTTTGGTCAAGCCAACATTTCCAATAAAGCTACGGCCAATAACTGGTTTCTGCCTGTAGCAGGCCTCAGCTCTTGATTATTGATGTAATCTGATGGGATTAAAATGTCAAATGTTATTGAATTTGACAGGACAAAAAAGGGTTTGTTTTTTAAATATTAATCTAAATAAAACGTTGTCAGACAGAAATTTTAGATATCTTTTAAGCCACCTGAAAGTATTAGAAAAGAAATTAACTCCAAGGAAAATACCTTAATGACTAAACTGATTATTTAATTCATATTAACATCAAATATTCATAGCTATGTTAGCCAGTGACATGTTTTCAACAGATTTTTAATGGTTGTAACAAGATCTGTTTGGAATATCACCTGTTTGGATAAATGATATATGTGGGTAAATTCAAAGCCAATGCTCTTGAAAAAAGTATGTAGGTATCATTCAAAGTTGACAAAGTCAACTGCGCAGGGTTGGACCTCCTCTTTCTTCAGCAGCATCCACGCAGGAATGTTAAGAGGGTGGAAGTGCAATGTTTAATCCCAAAGGACCTCATCAAAGCCTGCAAGGCCGCTCTCACTGGACCTTTGCTCAGACTCCGGAGCAGAGAGAAAGAGAGAGGCCTGCTTTGAAACTCAGCTCCGTGGCCCCGTTATTAAGAAGGGGTTTTGTGCAGAAGGATTAATTTAAACAAATACCTAAGACAGAAATACTATTACGAGTAGATATAAGCTTTATAATCCAGTATTGGAACGAGATGTTACCTTTTGTGACCCCTCTCATGATCAAGGTTGCAATTTGCTTTTCACTTATAGTTTGACTTTGTCCCTCTGTTACTGGATTTGATTTCCAGTTTCAAATTGACAGGGTTCCTATTCACTATTCTGCCTACAAACAGTTTGCATCACCAAAATATATGGATATATGGATATGGAAGAAAATTATATTGTGATATACTTTTTCCCTTACCGCCCAGCCCTACAATTGGTTTACTAATGAAGCTGACCACTAGCGTTTTTTGGCCCTCACAAAACTGATACCCCATTTTTTTCAAAATTCATGAATAACCTGTTCAAAACATGTTACTAGCTAAGATAAGCATGAATATTTTATTTTTAATGTGCATGAAATAATAGATTTATTCAAGACTTTTTACATTTTGATGACAGTAATCATTTCAGTCAAAATTTTACTTCTTTTTAAATAATTTTAAGATGAGTCATTTTGAAAGTATGCAATGAGGCCAGAGACAATGCATAATAATTCAAAAAGGAGGAAAAATCAAAGGAGGAAGCACGTTCAAATGCAGGAATAGAACTGAACAATGTTCTTCTCCTATCTTGCTAATCCACAAACTAACCCTCACGCCTCATTGGAGAGGTCTTATAGAGGTCCCTGCCTCCTACAGAGAATAAGATAGGAGATGGAGATGCTTACGAAAAGCCACCACATTGGATTCAACACAGGCATCAGAAGATTCAGAGAAGGAAGGGATGAGGCAGAGCAAATTGGAGACCTGGAGGGAATTAAAACTAATCACATGGATCCAGGAAAGGGAATGATTGAGGGCGGACAAGAATAAGAAAGTCATTAAAGGAACAGAGCGAATACGTGTATCCATGCCAGCTGTGGGCCATTTTTAGCTTGTTCGAATCTCAGCACTTTCTACTTTCTGCTCCTTCTTGCATAAAAAAGCCTGTTTTTGACACTGAGTTTCTCCAGAGTGGCAGATATTTGAAAATGTCACTCGGTGAAGACATGATGTCCCCAAGTGAAAAAATAAAGCACTCCAAAAATTGCACCCACCCTTGTTGTTGGACACCTAGAAACATCAGGAGCTATTTTTAACAACTTCATCCGCTCACTACGAAACCGTATCTCTCCATATTTCCCTTCTCCCTCCCCTCTTTCCTCATCGCTCGCTGTTGCCATGGAGCTCGGAATCAATGACATCACAGGGGGAAGAGTGTGCGTGTGTGTTTGGAGATGAAAGCTGTAATCTGCAGACTGAATGAACACAGCCAGCGAGCAAATATCAGGTGACGGGCAGAAGCAGAAGCCGCCAGGCGTCCAGCTGGAGTGTGCACACATAGCAGGCAGCACGTAACCACACACATTAAAAACACACACACACACACACACTCTACGTGGCACACGGATGTAAACACATAAAGCTCCAACAGCCTCCAACCCAGTCAACAATCCTCTAACACACAAACAACCAATCTGTCAAACATTTTCTCACAAAGCCACATACATGAATGAGAAATAGCTCACTGGTGTAGTGATTAAAACGGCAGCTGTGTGAAATCATGACATAACACACTTGCATAGTTTTGAAAAGCACACAAATATGAGGCTGATGTTTATTTTGTAGATGGCTGAGTGACAGGTAAATTAGTTTTGTGGACACTGATTTAGTGTGCAAATCATTTAAACCCCCTATTTGGTTAAAAACGGTGCAAAGATGAAATAGCAAATGTTTAAAATGAAAATGTTATTGTTGGATGAAAAGTATATTTTACAGAAGGGATTTTCAAAACACTGAAAAGACTGGAAAAGGTTCACAACTGTTAAGGACTGTGTTAACAAAAAATAATCCTTTTCAGTACAATGTTCTCAAGTTTGAAACTGCAAAGACCTTGGGAATTTCATCATCCATACAACATAACATGGTTCAAAGTTTCAGAGAATCTGTAGAAGTCAGTGCCTCATTAAAAACAAGTTTGACTCTTTTGTGGAAATCACTGCACTGGCTTTAAAATTCCCACCAAAACCTTTGAAAATGAGAGGTAACAGCACTGACTTCAAATATTTTCCTAAATTCACGAAAGGTGGGATAGGCAGGATCTGAGGAAGCGCCAGTTTTTGGGAGAAATGTTGAATGTAAACACGACCCCTCCCAACCAGTTTCCCCTCAGCTCCTCCTCCCCTCCCTCTCTGCTCCAGCAAGCCCCGCCCACAAACAGACGCTCCTGCTCACTCGTATCATTTCAATTAAATTCAGATATAATGCAGATAAATACTTCAGATAATTACAAATGGAGCCCAGTCAATGTGAAAGTAAAAAGCATTGGTGCTACTGTAGATGCCAACAGACTACCAGCAAACACGATGTTTGCAGGACTTCTACAACTAGGATAAAGTGACATACTCCAGGACCCGAGGTAAACAGTTTAGCGGTGCTACAACACGCAGCAGGTCCAATTTGACAAGAAACACTTCTGTTACAGACACTTGGTTTACTTTGTTAAAGCAGTTTACCTGTCCAGCAGAAAGGTTACAAGGTCCAGAGGATCCCGAAGCGTCCCCCATCATTTATGCTCGGTGTTGACCCAGCATTTTAGCTCTTATCTGATCTACCTCCTTTTTAAGTGCCTGTTATTCCGCCAGAGTCTCCAGTATTTACTTCATTTTCTTGCTTGTGTCGTCAGTCATGACCAGAGGAGGATTCAGACAATTTTCCGTACTTTCTGGTTGGTTTCTACTGTCCGATATTGTTGCACGCTAACTTGCACGTTAACTTGCACACGAGGGAGCAGGGTCTGCCTCACAGCCAATCAGGTTGGGGGAGGCAGAGAATGGCTTTGTTTACAGTCAGAAAGAGCGGAGTTGACTACACAGGCAGAAGAGAACACAGCAATATCGTGATATTCCCAAATGTCATCAATAACTAATAGCTATTGACTGATATTGAAAGCTTTTTTGTACATACACCACAAAAAAAGATGCTTCTTTAACGGATTCCTGCCTACCCGAAATCCTCTCCAAAAACAACAGCTGCAACAGACATGACTCTGTAGTGAAAGTCGCCACAGGGGCTTGAATCATCTACCAAACCTTTGAAGACATACATGACTCTTGCATCAAATAACTTTCAAAAACTGTTGAAAACAGACACGACTCTGTAGTGGAAATCACTGCATAGGTACAAGTCACCACCAGAAACTACTGAAAACAGATATGACTCTGTAGGGGCAATCACCACACTGGCTCCAAAGAAACTGTTTTAATTACCAGTAAAACTGACGAGGGAACAGAGACAGAAAATGAACTTCACAGAAACTTGAGTGTCTGCTTCAAATCAAGACAAGATCTTTTCTGCTGTCAGTTAAGTACGTGTTTTATTTTGGCCTTAGTTTTCTTTCAGTGGGTGATAACAGAGGCATGTTACCCATATCTATATACAGCCAGTGGTTCTGTCTATGCTGCTGTCCACACAAACTGTTGATCTACATTAAACCAAAGCCTGCTTATACATGACTGGTCAGGATTACTCATACAACAAACACGTCACAGACAATGCCCCTATTTGTACATCCCTGCAGAATTTAGGATGCCACAGAAATGATGACAAGTGTGTGAAAATAAAAGAACCCTTGAGTATCTCCAACAGGCGTGACCACTTGAGAGTGTGTGACTAAAGAGGCAGAAAATAGCAATTGCTTGGGAGCTGGAAGAGTTATGTGATAACTGAGTCTGCTGTAACTAATCTATGAGCACCTTGACCCCAGTGACAGACTGCTGACACGTGACGTTTGCCGCACAGTAAAACATCCAGGGTGTGGAAGAATGCACAGCCTGGGCCGAAACTATGTCCAGTTTGGTGATACAATGTGTCCTGTCCGACTCGGCTGCAGGGCTGATAAGCCAGCGTTATCTGTGTTGCCAACAGCTGCCCCCAGAGAAAGTGGCAGAGGGGGGGAGCAGACTGTAAACACAGCAATGGAACAGAAGTGAAATAATGCCTCCATTGTTCCATGTTTTTATGGCCTCCTCCTCCTCCTCCCTCCACTTCTCTGGCTCTCACACACACCTCACATACATCAAACACTCCCCACTCTTTGTTTATTGCAGGGAAAAGTCACAACAGTGTCACCCTTCTTGCTTTTCTGCTGATACATCACGACCGCCCCCTTGTTTACTCTCCTTGTCTCAGTCTTTCATCTATAAAAGTGCTATAAATACAACATATGGACCCACACACACCTCGGTTCCCCCAACTAGCAACACACAAGAGCGACAAAGTCCCCCCAGAGTCACCTAAACCCTGCCTGACACACTTTTCTCACCTTCAGCTCTCACTGACCAGTCCCACCTTTGTTATAGAAGCTCAAACCCAGGGATTCAAGGACAGTGAAAATCAGCTGTGCTTGTTTCTGCAAATGACCTACTCATGCAAAGTATTTGTGGGGCCTGAATGTGGCACAGTCCACTAAAGAAAAAAACCTGTGCAACTTTTTATTTTGAGTGCGTGATTTAGGGGGACTTTCAATCATCCAACATAACACCAACTTCAGCCTATACCGCACTGAAACATTAGCTGCGTTTAAATGGGAACAAATAATCGGAATAATGCCCGATCGGAATGAAAATGAGCCATGTAAACATGTCGATCGGAGGATTCTGATCAAATTCGGCTCAATCAGACAGAAATTGTATTCCAATGGAGAGGGTTGGTTTATACCGATCATTATGACATGTAAACACTAACTTCAATCATGACTCTCTTACCTGTCTCATCTTCAGTCTTTAGCACAGACTGTAAGGACAACTTGGGTCCGCCTTCTGCCAGTAGAGCCTACGGATTTGAAGCCGAAAAGCTCTCGGTAATTCCGCGTTTTTCCTCCATTTCCTGAAATCAACACTGTGCAGTACTGTAGTAGGCACTCCAACGCTTGCGCAGTAGCATTGTGCGCATTCGGCGGGAAAGTCGCCGACAGTCGCCGTGATGAAGCTCGGCTGAAACAGAATCCCCGGATGGCGATTTATTTTATTTTATTTATTTGTTTATTTTTGTAGGTTGGTAGAGGAAGGTCCCGCCCTTCCCTCGCCTCTGATTGGCTAGAAGTGCTGGGCTCCGATTGGTTATTCCTTATGGTTGTGAAATGTCACCGTCTGTCAGGTTAGGGTTAGGGTAAGTGTTAGGGTTTGGATTAGGGTTTGGGTTAGGGTTAGGGTCGGCCTTGGCTTATTTATTGAGGCCAGTACGGGAGGTCCCATTTTTAACACTCAAGCATAAAGCACAACTGCAGGTGCCCTGTCTGCTCCTCCGATAACATAACAAGGCGTACATACAGCGTAATGATGTCACATCTGTGTGTACAGTGCAACCTTTGACAGAACAGTAAAATAAGTACACAAGGGCGCCATCTAGTGACAACATTTAACAGAGGGGAAAACTCCTGAATTGGATGGAGTGAGCCATTACCGCAATTGACGGTTTGTTGACAGCACAGGCGTAAATACAACTCTTCTTCTGCAGTTGTTTTAGCGAAACCAGACAACTCTGCACATGTCTAAATACTTCTAATCTGAATAAAGCTTGGTGCATGTATAGGCACCAATTGATTGGATTATTTGATTTTGCACCCATAGAAACAGAGGATTCATCTTATCCAATCCCTCAAAATTTTAATCGGATGAAGAAATTTTGCACGTGTAAACATGGCTAGTGTGTTCTCAGAGCCCAGCCAACATGATAAAAATAGACTGTAACATAAACAGTGCTTCTTCAACGAATCACTTTTTCTTGCTCAAACAAGAGTGTGAAAAATTACCACAATTTGTCACAGTTTTATGGTTTATATGACGAACAACCAGGATCACAGCAGTAATACATCATGTTAATATACAGGCTTCTCACGGCGAGCACGATATTGGAAGAAGATGGATAGCTGGATCTGAACATGTGATATTAACATGAGGCTGACTTGAGGCTTTTTAATAAAATACTGAGACTTCATGGACAATATTTAATGTGAGATACAGCACAGGCCTACACTTTAGCACTATCCTTTGTAGCCTTCATTTTCTACTCTTTGTGTCTTTTATTACATTTGTTTAAGATATATTTAGCTTCCTACTCACTTAAAATGAGGTAGGAAGAGTTGCTGACTAGTTTGCCGTATCAAGTTTTTACAGCAGTCAGAATCATGTCTACAGCCGCCTTTAGCCGTCTTTATGCTGAAATGTTTTCACTAAAATGGCCTCAAAGGGCAGATTTTCTTAAATTTATCATACTTTCATCCACAATGGACCAATTTGACACTCTGGGCCCTCAGTTTCATACCTAACAACTCATCTAAAAGTGAGAATCCTATCATAGAATCGTAAAAAATAAAGGTCAAATTTGTGCTTCAGGTGTTTCTAAGAAAATACTTGAAAACATATTTCCTGTGTCCTAGGGTGTAGAAACTGTACCTCCGAATTTTTCCTCCCAGGTTCTTTTGCTGGAAAAAAAAAAACGTCACCACAGTGCTGTATTTTTCTTGTCATGGGACATTTACAATGCAGATTGTTGTACAGCGAAAAATGTCTGGTCAGAAACCTGTGAGTGTGTTAGATTACAGCCTGTAGTTTGTATGGGAATTAGCTCTGGGTGGTTCGTATACCCTCACATATGTCAACATTTCCTCCGTGGCCTTTAGCAGCAATCTACTTCCAAACAAGCCTCGCAATGATTGATACTGCGGATTTAAAGGCTTTTGGAAAGCGATTGATGATGTGTGGAACTGACAACATCACTTCTAATTGCCGCTGTGGGACTTCCTGTCAGGTAATAATAAGGTTCCTTGCTTTATTTGAAATGCATCCAGGATGTAGAGTAGAGCAAAGAGAGATGCATCAAAGCGTGGGCGCGTGACCTATTACAGCTGGAAATGTCCGGATACGTAAAGGTTGATTTGTATCTGAAATCCATTAAAAAGAAAGCTAATTTACTGTATATGGTAAACTAGCTTTCTTTTTAATGTGTGTTAATAGCATCGAGATAGGAAGGCTTTATGTGTGTATGTGATAACAGCATGACATTTTACTGAAAAAGGCCAAAGAGAAGAACTGGTAAGGACAGGGTTTCTCAAAATACTCCAACTCCATGTGGTTTGTAAATGGTTTTTATTAGCAAAATAAGGGAGATGAGTCTACAAAGGTTCTCCATCTGTGGAGAACATACACATACATTGACAGTTGTGGCAGTTTTCGTTACATGAACAGATCCAGGACCATTTATAACACTCTTCTTGGCAAAGTAGTGCTGATCAAAAAAATCACAGACCAGGCTCCCTTGAGCATTTGAAGTTGCCATCACCTGATTGAAGAGCTTCATGTATCCTTTAACCATTACTTGACAGAACCCAAGAACGTGACCACACCACTCTGATTACACTTGCCTTTCCAACTGTCTTATTTGTAGTTCAGCTTTCCTCTCCTTAACACCAAAAACTCTCCTCCAAATACATTAAAATATACATTAAAATGTGCCTTACTCTGGTCTTTGTACTTTGAACACTTGAGTTTATTATAAGCTCAGCGCCCCAGCTCACCATTTTCCAAATGGTTGTGAAGAATGGAGATTTTGTACACCGTTTAAAAACCAGAGCCCCAGATCTTTGGGGTAAATGTAACAATATACATCTCAGTATTGTACTGCATGATCGACCTGTAGGCCTTCCATTGTCATGGCGGGTGGGTGAGGATGGGGGGAAGGGGGCTGTGGAGGCTACATGTCGGTCACAATGGAGACCCATGTACCCTTTAGACCAGAGTGAAACCTTCCTCCGCCTCCTGGTAGCTCAGTGGTGTGCACATAGAAGATAGCAGGGACACTTAACATATGAAAACAGTTTACCTCTTAATGTTTCGAACAATTCAGCAGGCAACAGAACAAGCATTGGGGACTACGACCGCAGTAAAAAGGCATGCGAAGGCACAAGTACCAACAAACTGGACTCAAAGTTGGACCCCTTTTCTTCCCTTTTTGTGGTTGTAGGGTAGGAAGAAAAGAAGCGTTTTCCACCGAGAGCAAAAAGTTTCCTTTTCCAGAGACAGCGGCAGAAGAAACAGCAAATAAAGTGAACTCTTAAAAACTTTTTTAAACAAAACAGGAAGTAACTTTTTAAAAAAAATAATAATGTGCGGAAAATCTGACGCTTTTACAATGATACAAACATCCTACACAAATGTTGTAATGCTAGGTCAAAATGTTCCAAGACAAAAAACATAAATAAAGCTGTTAAAAGTGGCATATAGTACAGCACTGGTCCTTGACTGATCCTCCCGACTCCTCTCATCTCCCCCGCCGAAGAAGATGCTCCATAAAGTGGCCCCACTGCCTAAAGAGAGGGAAGGAGAGATAAAGGAGGTGAGAAAGGAGGTGGGAGGGATGGCTGCGTATTGTTTCAAAGAGACGTTTGGAGCTTGACCTTGCTGCTGTTGTCTTACAATACAACTGAAACGAAGCAGAAAATGTATTCAAGTTCTAGAAGAGAGAGACGCTTTACAGCTCGGTAATTAAATTAGCATTTTGATTATGATGGATTACATCCCGACTATTGGATCAACACCAGCTCTGAGTGCCGAAGAAGCTGAAACAAGCCCATCTGCTCTGAAGCGCAGACTAAGTGTTTTTAAAGCTCTGATGGTTCGAGAGCTCAAGGTGGAGTGATGATAAAAAAAAAATAAAAAAAATTCCTCACCAAGAAAAAAAGCTTCTTGTTTTTTGAAGTCGTACTCCTCAGAAGAGCCCGCAGTCTTTCAGGTTGTTCTTGATGATGACGTCGGTGACGGCGTCGAACACAAACTGCACATTCTTGGTGTCTGTGGCGCAGGTGAAGTGGGTGTAGATCTCCTTTGTGTCCTTTCTCTTGTTCAGGTCCTCGAACTGACACTGGATGTAGGCAGCTGCTTCCTCGTACGTGTTGGAGCCTGGAAAGAGACGAGGAAGTGAGGGAGCCAGGAAGTCACAGCAAAAGGGAAAAAGGTATTGAGAGTGTACACATTCGTCTTTAACAAAATAACATATGGCTGGGCTTCATCCTGCTTATTGTGCGTGTTTTTGTGAAAAGGCAGATGGACCTTTCTCTCTGGGTTCTTGGGGTTTCCCTGTAAAATCAAAACGATAAAATTACCTCCGCCAAGGAGGTTATGTTTTCGGTAGCGTTAGTTAGTTAGTTTGTTTGTTTATTGGTTTGTTGGTTTGTTTGTTTGTCTGTCTGTTAGCAACTTTACGGAGAAAGTTACAGACGGATTGACCTGAAATTTTCACCAGAGGTGCGTCTCAGCCCCAGGACGATCCCATTAAATTTTGGTGGTGGTCCGGATCGCCTTCTGGATCCAGGAATTTTTTGAAGGATTCTTCATCATTGTGAGATAGGGCAAATTTTGGAATTTTTGCATTTAACTCTATAAAAATGGCCAGAGTCTTTAGTAAAAAAAATTACACAAAAGGATCTCAATGAGTTTTAAGATGTGTCAAAGGTTGATCCTGATCCAGACAAAATTCCGGATACTGTGATCCAGAACACACAAAAATAAGGGTGTCGTTGGAATTTTCAATGCTGAAAGATAAGCAATCGGCGGCACAGTGGTGTAGATAGGCGGCACAGTGGTGTAGATAGGCGGCATAGTGGTGTAGTGCTTAGCACTGTCACCTCACAACCAGAAGGTCCTGGGTTCGAATCCAGGTCAGGGCATTTCTTGTTTTAGGAACATTATGAACAGTGAACATACCAGTTTAAACACAAATAAACGTTAATAAAAGACACGTAACAGTGAAAGTTTTGGTGTGAATCACAATATAAGGCGGGACATGAGCTGCTTGGCAGAGGTCTGCGCTCTCCGAGTGCTTTTCTAGTTAAAACATGTATTCTGTGAGATGCTGCCAATCTTACCGGCATATTCTGGGTAGCAGATAGTCAGGGGACTCTTCTTGATCTTCTCCTCAAACAGGTCCTTCTTGTTGAGGAAGAGGATAATGGAGGTGTCCGTGAACCACTTGTTGTTACAGATGCTGTCGAAGAGCTTCATACTCTCGTGCATTCGGTTCTGAAGGGGGAAAAAATCAGAACATGTTGCTCACTGTACTCTGGAACCAGACCCATCTCTTATTCCTACGTCTTCTCTGACTCATCATGATTGCAGTAAACAAAGATCCCTTTGTGTACGAAGCACAGAGCGCCCACTATTACTCACCATCTCCTCGTCCTCAGCCAGCACCAGGTCGTAGTCGCTGAGGGCCACGCAGAAGATGATGGCGGTCACGCCCTCGAAGCAGTGGATCCACTTCTTCCTCTCAGACCGCTGACCACCGACATCGAACATTCTGCAGGGAGGAAAAAAGTAAACATGGATACACGTGTACACAAAGCAACCAGTGTTGTGGTGTTATGAAATGGAAAATTTGATATCTAGAAGAGCCGCTGTGGCGGTGTGCTGCAGGGTTTACTGATGATAGTTTGTGATAAAGGGGGAGAAAACAGAGAGGCTTTGTTGTTTTATCGCTCGGCAGTAATATGCTGACTGAGCAGAGAATCCTCAAGTGTCCGGCAAAAGCCTTAAATGAACTGTAAACAGTATGGCCTAAATAAAAGAAGTGGACAGACTAATCAATAGAAGGACACACTTTTAGCCTTTAGTCAATAGAAATGAGTGTGAGGCTTTTTACTGCTTTCTTTCAATCCGAGGGTTCAACATTTAACTGCTGGCCAACAGCTATAAAATCCAAGAACACACAACTTTTGACCCCGTTTTTGGAGCAGCTTCAAAAGTCCAACGGCAACCTTAATTTTCATGACTTTTTTTATTGCCAATGATTAGTTCCAACTAGTGTTGGGCAGTATGACGGTATATACTGTTTGACGGTATAAGAGTGTCTACAGGTAGAAATTTTGTTGTACCGTTTATACCGGAGAGAGAGAGCAGATGTCTGCTGCATCTCTCTGAGTCGGTGTGTAGTTGTCTGCGCTCGCTGACAGGAAAGCCGGAGCGCATCTGTGTGAGTGCGTTTACGTATATTCACCAGCGTGTCGTGCGGAGTTTGTTCGCTCTGTTTGATCAGTCAGGTTTGGGTGCGCTCCCTAGAATCACCAGCGTGTCTTAAGTTTTCTAGCTTTCCAGTCCTGGGAGCGCTCACATAGCTCTTACACTGCACGTATAGATCCCTACGCTGACAACCAAAGCTGCAATTTCCACGCCAGGTAATATGCTACCAAGACGAATCCCACATTCAGCGTCTTGCCCAAGGACACATTAACACGTAGACCACAAGAGCTGGAAACCGAACTGTTAAGATTCCAATAAAAGGGCTGCCATCAACAAATGTAAACAACATGGTTAACTGTTAGTTTCTGAATTTTTGAAACCAGGTTTGAGTGTGGAAATCTGACACTACGTTTTTTATCTAGCTGCACTTTAATTCCCATGTGTGAGTTAAGTTACTGAGCCCACCATCGTCTTCTTGTTTGTTTTTATTTGTACTCTCTGCTCTTTACATACAGACATGTGGAGCTTTAGTGGTGTTTCATTATTCATTACATTACACCATCAAATACAGACCTAATTTTCTTTAATAAAAACGACAGATTTTTCTTGTTTAATGGGTCCATTCTCATTTAAACAAGGCTTGGGAGACAATGCGCTCTATAACTGCGCCACAGCTGCCCCAGGTTGCTAAGTGTTTAACATAAAGCTATTTAGACTAAAAGCTCACTTAAGAACTCTTCATATATTTCATATACTGGGAGAGAACAGCTTTAATGAGCTTGTGTAATGGTCTATTAAAGAGTAAATATGCTGGAGGAATCGTACTTTTACAGCCGTTATGTTAAGGAGGGGTTGTTAAAATCTAAATACGTGATTAGAGCTAAAACAAGAGGCGTAAAAATGTTTGTTTTGGTCACAATGACTCAGCCAACCAGTCCCCCTTTTTATTCTGTTTACCTGTTTCACAGCAACAAAGTTAGTCATGAAATTGCTGGAGCCATGGAGAAGAATTAGATCATTTTTGATAAAGCTAGTTAGCCACTGCTGTGTAATTGTTTCCTCCACTCATGGTGTGTCATCATGACCCTTTCAGCTGCTCTCTTCGGACTTTATTAGCTTCATGTTAGCGTGTTATTTCTGTCCTAAATTTTAAACACACTGGCACCAAACTTCTGCTATCATGCCACCATCAGGCCTGCTGCCCCCACTTCCCTTTTTTTTTTTAAACGCGGGGCCACAGCTAAGTCATAACTGATGCGCACGACACCCTCGCAGCCTGTGTCACCCCTCCCAGCTGTACGCGCACAAAGGGAATTTCAGTGGCAGCGAGTGAGTCAGTTAACAGGAAGGAGAGCTAATTAAGCCGCCTGTAAAAGACTTTGAGCCTCAGCCAGCTGGTACAGTGAGGAAATTCTCACTTGAAGTGCAGGTCCTTGAATGTGAAGTGTGTCTCAACAATGCCCGTGGTTTTGACTCGGGTCCTCAGGACATCCTGCTGGGTCGGGATGTAGGTGGCCTGGGATATCCTGTCCAAATCATTCAGGTAGCTGCGGAGGAGGGAAAGGAACACAAAGAGGGGAGAAACAAAGAAGGAGAGAGAAAGAAAGAGAGCAGGGGGGATAAAAAGGGAGAAAATGTGTCATAATGTCGGTGAAGTTCAAGAAACAAAGTCACTGATTTTAGCAGGTCAAAGTTTGGGAAGCTTTTGGTTCATTTGCTTTAAAAGTGAGTCAGGTGACGATTTGTGGCTCCTTCTACTTCTCAAGTTGTAATTGTCCTGTGGTGAATTCAGCTGATAACGCTATGATCGTTTTGTGGATTTCCTCCTCGCATTCATGTCCCCTGGCGGTGTTAGAGTGGGGTTTACTCGGTTTTCTCAGACTTTCCTGTTATCCTCTTTCATACACTTGAATCTGAGGCTCTCATGCATGTGTGAGTGGTATAAAGATGTCTGTTAGACTTGTAATGGAGTAGCCATCTGTCCGGGGGGCTGTCCCACATTTTGCCGAGTACCTGCTGGAACAGACTCTTGTTTGTTTTTGTGGTTGTGGGTGTTAAAGAGAATACACAAACACAGATAAAAGAAGAGACAGAATTAGGTTATTCCTTTTAGATTTTAACTCTGTTTTAATTTTTATGAATCATGTATTTTCGACTTGCAGGTTCATTAGAGGTCAAAGAAAAAGGCTGAGGTTCAAGTTACTTCATCTACTTGATAACAGCTCAGGATACCTGTTAAAACTCCTGCGAGGAACTTTTGGTATGTGAAGTTTGAGGTGTTATATATAACCTGCTATTCTATAAAGGAACAGCAAATGAAAGACCCTCTCATCCTGCTGTCTTTAACAGTCAGATGCCTCACTCATCCTGAGGCTTCGCTGTCGAAAATGTCAACAAATCCTGTTTTTTTTCCAGCACCCTGGGCTCACTTCATCCCTCATCGTTGGTTTAAAAACAGCATTTCTCGAAACTACAAGTCTTGTTTACTTCTGTAACCCACATTCAGTTTATTACATAAGACGATAAAAAGTCCTCACAAGAGTTTAAACTCGATAAGATAAATGACCTTTCGTTGATTAAATTATATCTTAATATTAAATCTGTTTCCCCCTTTAATACATAACACTTTCACCTCACTTATAAAACAATCTAAATATAGTAAAACCAGGCCAACTCAGCTCAAGGACTTCAAAAAGATGTTTATCAAATTTGGATTTTCTAATTCAATCCTTTTTTGTGTATTTTTATTTCAATTTTTATAGTTTTCTGCACCCCACAGCAGAAAATTATCCATCTTTAGTTATAGGTACAAACCACATTTGAGATTTCTCAGCACAGAATGAGAAATATCGTCTAAAATGGGGTCAAATTCAACAACACTGGCTGATTTATGTCTCTACAAAGATGCATGTTTTTACAAACATTTCCATTTCCTGTCTAATTCGCTCCACCAGCGCCTGGTCGAAGTGTTGCTGCTGTGCTGCTTTCACACACTGTATTCTCTGCTCACACAGGATCTCACACATAACGCTACCACGTCTTCACCCACTCGGGGTTGTAATAAGCTCACACCTTGAGCTTACTGTTTGATAAATTACGAGTGAGAGAGATTGGCGACCTCTAAAATCCAAAAGATAAACACGAGTAATCTGCTCCCCACACAAAAAAACACAAAAAAACAAGCCTTTTGTTTGTGTGTAAAACAAAACCAAAGGAAACACAAGGTTCAGAGGTGCTTTTCTCTATTGAGAAAGCCCCTGGACAGCAGGATTAGAGGAGCAAATTAGACGATGACCAGCTCTCGGCGGTCTACATGAGCAGTGATGTTTGTTCTGCTGCAGAAAAACACTCAAGGATGAAAAAGAGGCAGCTTTGTGATGATATCTTTTGCTGCAACGCCAGGGGCTTTTGCACAATATATAAAAGATTCAGGCATGGAACATTTTCACTCGTCCTCGTTTTTCAGCATGTAGCATATGTCCCCAAGCTGAGGTCAAAGATTTAAAAGGCCTCAGCAGTCACGGCTCTTCAGACTCTGAAGAGGAGGGCAAATATTGACAGAGTTAAAGTCCGGACTCGTGCCTCTGAAGCGCTTTGCTGCCTGACTTTTTTTTTTTTTAAGGGACTGTTTCCACGCTTGTTAGTGTTGTTTTTGTGTCTGTGTTGTGACTCACTATGCCGCCGAGTCGTTGAGCTGATATTCTCGAGAGCGGCTGAAGCAGGCTTGTACGCCCGCGTCCTTCCACAGCCGCTTGATGACGCCGGCCAGCTCTCCCGTCATGAAGCCTTCCTCTGCAGAGCCCGCCAGCACAAACAGCTGCCGTGCGTCGTCCTGAGAGGAGAGGTGGTTGATAAATGGGTCCTCAAAGTCATTCAAGTCATTTCACAATCAGACTTTATAGAATATGGGCTTGCTCTCAATGATGTCAACCATTAGTTTTCAGAGACACCATGCACAGCTGGTCTCTAATGAAAAAAGTGAGCTACATATAAAGAAAATAGGTGTAGTGGACATAGGCCCTTAATTCTAATATAAAAAGTGAGAGGCATATAAAAAAACAGTAGGTGCAGTGGACATATGCCCTTAATTCTAATTTAAAAAAAGCTGCATATTAAGAAAATGTGTAAAGAGGACATATGCCCTTATTTTTAACTTGAGCTGCATATTATGAAAATAGTAGCAGTAGACATATGCCCTTCATTCTAATCAAAAAGTGAGCTGCATATAAAGAAAATAGGTTCAGTGGACATATGCCCTTAATTCAAATGAAAAAAATGAGATACATATAAAGAGAATGCCCTTAATTCTAATAACAAAAAGTGAGCTGCATATACAGAAAATAGGTGCAGTGGACATATGCCCTTAATTCAAATGAAAAAAACAAGCTGCATATAAAGATAATAGGTGAAGTGGACATATGCCCTTATTTCTAATGACAAAAGTGTACTCATCAATCATTAACTGAATAAAACATGGGCAAAATCTTGGGAACGTGGTTCTGAGGAGGTGTTTTAAAGGAAATGGACGGCAGTAGTCGTACTAGAGATGCAGACATAGAGTCTAGAGTGTACTTAAGAAGCGGAGCTCAGGAAGGCTTTTAACCTCCAGGCAAATGGCTATATATGGCCCACCTGTTAGTAAACTAAGCTACACCCCTGATTAAGCAGATGCATCCATAACTCATGGCCATTAACTCCAGCATATGGATAAGTGATTAAAAAAACCAAAACTAAAAGAGGTTGTTTAAATGTTTAATTTCGCTGTAAACTGAGTCTTTAAAACAGAAGTTAATGTTGTTAATGACTTCTGCAGTAAATCTCAGGTGGCCTTTCTGGAAACTGTTTTTTTTTCCCCACTCTTTTACGTTGGCTTCACTTTCAAGACCAGACTTTTGAAACAAGCCACTAGTGGACACTCAAGGAACTGCAGCTTTTAAATTGGCCACATTTTTTAACACCTGGGACTGTTCTTAAGCTTCCACAAAAGACCTGGGTATATTTGGCGGTTCTTACTGGGCACACATTACTGGAAAAGACTTTCAATCGTGCATCAACGACATCAGCTAACAGACGTTGTCATTTTTGTATCGTCTTGTTTTTTCAGCGCAAACAACTCCATCCACTTTCTCCTCCAAAGCAAACACCCTTCTCTCGCTTCATCACTCACAGCTCTTGCACCGTCCCCGAAGTCGATCTTGAGGCGTCCCATGGCTCTGATGATGGCGATGATGGACTGGATGGTGTTGCTGTAGACCACAGCCTTGTACTGCTTACATTCCTCTTCTGAGTATCCCGCCTCGTGGATAATCCTGCAGAAAACAGGAGGAGGGGAAAAAGAAAAAGAAAAAGTCAGCGCTGGAGCAATTTTCCAGTTCTGCTAAAACCTGTCTGATGCAGCAATAAAAACGACAGGAACCGAATGTTCCCAAATGCTGAGGCTCATCTTTTCATGAATGAGTCCTCAGCTGAAAGACGTCTCCTCTTCTTTCAGCTGACTTAGACTTATTTTTCCTCTCCGGCTCTTACTCTATAACTCTGTTAATACTCTGACCTTACATGCTCGCTGGAATGTTCGAAATATTGTCAGGCCACAGCGGCCCTGATCTATCTCCTCCTCATTTCTGGCTGCTAAAATTAAGGTCATCCAGGGAAAAAGACGCTGGTTCTACAGTTGAAGGAGAGCGAGATCCTCTGGATAAAACACCAACTGAAGGCGCACAATGAGGAAGTATTACACTGGAGTTCAATTTTCCCTCAATATTCAGAATCTAGACTTGAAAAATGGTCCACGTCCAAATCATGTTACCCCGCCTGCAGTCTTAGGGCTTACAAACGCGCCCATCTATCATGTTGTCAATCACTGGAATAGCTGCCCCTGTTATCCCTGTATGTGGATCTGACAGCAGCTTGTTAACAGTACAGTGGCAGCCCGGCCATGCTGCTCCTGTCATGTCTTGTTCTTGTTACCTGTTGGTGGCAAAGGAACAAAATTCACAACGCTAACCATTTGACCTCACCTTTCTAATCAGTCTCAGGGTCTCTGTAAAGTAAGGGACGGCTTATTTATGTACCGCAGTCACTGTGTTTGGTGTGATGTTGTTCGGGTGGCAAAGAACAGCCGAGCAAAGGAAAATTACTTCTAAAAAAAACGGAACAATTTGTCAAAATTATTTTAGATTAAAGCTACAGAGGCATCAGTATTCATTCGAAGACCAGAAAGAGTCCCAATAGGAGCTTTAATGTTCTCCTTATACTCTATTAATATCAAACTCTTACGATGACAACCGTATTTTTTGGGCGATAAGGCGGATTATACGGCGCACTGTGATTTATCGTTTCTACGTTCACACATAAGGTGCACCGGACTGTGAGGCGCATTAAGCATTGGCGCATTGGCGCATTGATTGGTTTATTGTTGGTAGTGCGTACCAACTAATTTTTTTTTGTAGGATGGTAGGGGAAAGTCCGGACTCCTTCGCCTCTGATTGGCTAGAAAAGCTGGAAACGTCATCCAGCGTTTAAGACGAACGCGTGCTGTCGGCTCAGTACATCGGACAGAACATTACAGAACATTATCACACTTCTGAATCTCCTAACCCTAACCCGACAGAAGATGACGTTTCACAGCCATGAGGAATAACCAGTCGGAGCCCAGCACTTCTAGCCAATCAAAGGCGAAGGAGGGCGGGACCTTACCCTACCATCCTACAAAAAAAATTCGCGCCCGGGGTTCCTTACATGAATACACTTCTAATTTAGACATTACAGTCAGGCTGTCTTGTAGACTGTTCAGGGGTCCTGTTATGGGGCTGATTAGGTAGATACACAGCGTACTATAATGCTCTAAATATTCATGAAGCGGAGGGGCCTCATTGCTTACCAAAGTCGTACTTACTTATTTCGAGAGTGCATTGTACCACAAAAAATCGGTCAGTAAGCACAACAAGTAATCATACCTAAGGGTGCTGGATTATAAGGCGCACTGTGATTTTTTAAGAAAATTTAAGGATTTTAAGTGCGCCTTATAGTCCGAAAAATACGGTAAATAGTGATCTCAAAATAAAACGCACCAACTTCACATTGTTACCACTTGTAGATGCAGTCTGAAGCCTGTTATGTATGTCACAGGGATAAACTGTGAGTTAAATCCAGTTGGACAGAACGGGTTTACCTCACACTGGTGTTTTGGTGGACATTTATGCCGGTGCAACAACCCTCTGCATCTGTGTGTCTGCTGATTGATGAGCCCAATCACGAGGTTGTTTATGAAAAATGTGACTCATATACAGGTTGACACTCCCTGCATGTGAATGATGTATAGTTTGGGTCCGTATTAATGTATTCTGCAGGGGGGGTGTCTACATGATCCATCATGCATGCTACCTGTTTGCGCTGAGTGTCATTACCCAGAGAGATGAGATAAAGCGGGATCGGAGTCTGACACTGTTTGTTTTGCGGAAAATAAACTCCCTCTCCGCGCCATAATGAATATCTGATGAGAGGAGCCACCGTTGATGCACCGGGGAGAAGCGAAGTTTGATTGTCAGCGTGCAGAATGATAAAATAAAAATGAACTTACTTCATCTGCTTGACGATTGTACTTTTCCCTGATTCTCCAGCACCTGTGGAAGACAAAGAGGGAGTTTATTACAGGGTGTAAATATTTCAAGAAGTTCATGTTGCCTGCAGCAAGCCAAATGTTTTTCTGCTTATCTTTATGCCCTAAAAGAGAAGGAAAAAGCTTTACAACATGATCTCATGTGGTCAAATGGCACGACCAAGGACCATAAAAATGAAGCATGGGCTCAACAACCTCAGCCTGACATGAACTGAGGAGCCAAACGTGTAACTCAAGATCTGAGGATATCAAGACTTGAAGCTTTAAAGGCTCCTTTTACGACTTAATTTCTACAGACAGCTACACTTGTTTTTTAGTTTTGTTTAGAGTGTCTGAATCTGACGGCTTTTAATAGAACTTTACGAGGAAAAACTCCAAAGGCTCAAGGCTCTTCGACAACTGACAAAGAAACTACAGAAAACAAAGGTCAATACGATAAAAATTGAGAAGTGTGGGATTGTTTCAAGTATTGGTGCAGTTTTGATTTTTCACGGTTATACCCTTACATCTCCATTTATCTTAAATTCCAACAGTCAGGGGTGTGTCTAGACTTTTTGAACAGGGTGGCCCAGTCAAGCTAACCTGTACAAAAAAAATCTTAAAAACTCATTAAGATAGTCACAAAGTCACAAATCTAATAAAAAAATCTAAAGTGCTAATAAAAGAAAATCTACTTAACTGAAACTAGGGGTGTCCCGATGCAACTTTTTTACCTACGATACGATACCGATAATGTAGCCTTCAATATTGGCTGATATTGATCTTATATTAGCACAAACCTGTAAATCACAAGTTTTGCACTCAGCTGCAATGAAAAATACTGCCACACGGCCGACATCACTCCTTCTCCTTCATACTTTGGTGCACACTGTTGTTGTGATTACATCGGCTTGACATGCTGGATCCGGGTGCTGCTAGATAGAGGTGGAGAGGTAGAGGAGTCTGGAATGGACTGCTTGTATCAGAGTGCTGATATTGGAGACTTTAGATGCAGGTCGATATAATCCGATATTTGATTTTTTTGCTAATATTGGACCAATATCCGATATCAATATCATATCGGGACACCCCTAATGAAACATACAGAATGTAATGAGGAGCCTGTTGCAACAAAACCCAATTAGCAGATGTGAACAATTGATTAGATGATCATTTTCAGCCGTGTTAAACAATCAGATGAACAGATGCGTCCATTTTTGTAGTCATCTCTCAGTGAGAGCCAACACTCTTGACCGTGCTAGCAACACAAAAGAACTACAACAGTGGTTTGACTTCCTGTCACCATCGGAAGTGAAAAGCGACTTGGAACAGCTGCCACTTTTACCAAAAGTTTTTTATTTTAGGTAAAAGTGCAGTGCATATTATCCACTGCACTTTTACCTAAAACAAAAAATGCAACGTTTTTTCAACATGTTTGGTTTTATTCAAACGGGAGCAGGACAAGAGTGGGAGTAATTTTGAGTGGGAGCGGGATGGGAGTGGGAGTCATTCTAGAGGAGTGGGACAGGACAGGATTAATTTTTTTACTCCGCTCCAGGATTGGGATGGGATTTTTTTCTCTTGGAGTGGGATGGGACAGGAGTGAAAATCCACTCCCGTGTCATGCTCTACTTGTGACCCGTCTTTTCAGTCAAACCAGCACTCCACAACTCAAAAGTAATGTTGTCTATATGTTGTAATAAAGTAATAAACTGCAAGACTCAAAAGAGGCTCCTTACCACGTCGAGTGCCATCTATTGCGTTATGTGCTTTAACGCATTGAGGCTGCACTAGAACACATCTTTTACACCCAATTTTGAGGCATATCAAAACTGCTGCTACCTGGCTGCTAATTAATGATAAGTCTCGGCTGTTTTGGTTTTTGGGGGCGACACACCGCTGCCTCAAGTTTGACAGCCAGGAATGTTCCAAACAGCGTCAAATATCATCAAAATTCAGACACTCTGAGGACAGGACTTCTGCAGATGCAGACACTGCAACACACTCAAAGTAGGTCAGAAGTGATGAGTCAGAGGGATTATTTTTGCAAAAGTCTAGGATTTCTCACTGTGCACAGCCCGTACAAAATCATGCCTTCATTTCTGTTGTCTATTTCTGTATCATTGTTTGTCTAATCCTGGGTATCACAGAGATATCACTACATAATACCAGTATCATATCTAATTTTTTGATTCAAGACTTGTGACAGCGCCAGATTAACACTCACAGAGCATTTAGTGGAGTGAACATGGTGTTTCTTATAGATGTGTGGGTGTACGATGCTTGTGACTAATTAGATAACGTTGTATTTGAGACGTATTCAAGACAATGCTGTGATAAAAAAAACAGGAGGGGGGTGATGGAGAGATAAGGCAAGCATAAAGGGAATGTAAGTGTTGGCACGGCTTTCAAACGCCATCGTGCCACCATGGCAACTGCTCTCATTTTATACCACGGACATCCCTAGTGTGTGGCCGCTGTCACCTGAGCAGGCTTTGTGGTCGGGAGTGTGCATGTGTGTGACATGTTGGCTTGCATGGGGAGCTTAATGTTTTATGCATATTCTGCTTTTTTCCCTCGCTAATGTACTCGCCGTCGCCTTCGCCAGCCGCCTTAGGGTGCCTTTGTACAATTTTTGATGTCCTCATAAACCACATTCATCTTTTCTGATCCTCTGACAGACTATTAAACAGGATATTCATCTCATGTGTCCTTGTCTTACAACCTGCAAGATCAGGGTTGTAGAAAGCCAATTGGCCTGTTGTAACTCAGATAAAACTCCTCTTTAAGCGTCCCTGATGTCCTTGTAAACCACATTCACTCTATTTTTAGTCTGCTTATGGCTATTCTGATTGACAACATTGAATCTTCCAACGGGTTGATTTTTCACAAGAGCAAAGACTGCAGTTATATCAATCAACTGGACAACTACTCCTTATATTACTCTTGATTTAGCATCCCCAATATCATCAAAGACCCCACATATCATTTTTTTTGCCTCTACTATTTTACTAAAAGGCCATCTGCCCCCCCGGAGTACACTAAATCATCAATATGTCTCCTTTTACTTGAGCAGGGACAGGGGGTATGGCAAACAAGGTTATTCCAAGGCATCAGTCATTGTTGCTTACATAACGCTCATCTTACAGCCTTCTTGAGGTCCTCATAAACCACATTCATGCTCTTTTCGGTCCTGATTGGAAAAGACAATTGTTGAGCTAAGACTTTCTCTCAGTTTACGATGCCTTTTCCTATTAACTACTAAACAAGCTTCAAGTCAGTTTAAGTTTCCAATATGGTGACTGACCCCCATCTTTGGGATTTCCAATGCTTCCTCAACTAGAGGTGTCCCGATACAACCTTTTTCTTCCGATACAATACCAATGTTGTAGCCTTCAGTAATGGCCGATACTGATATTGATTTGAACTTGTGCATGGCAAGTTTTGCACTCAGCTGCATTGTCTTTCTCGGAATTGACTGAAAAATACTGCCACACAGCCCGCATCACTCCTACTCCTTGCTACTTTACCAGAACCTTAGTACACACTGTTGTTGTGACCACATGGGCTCTGCATGCTGGATCCGGGCGCTGCTAGCTAGAGGTGCTGGAGCAGAGTCTGGAATGGACTGCTTGTATCAGAGAACTGATATCAGAGATTTTAGATGAGGGACGATATAATCCGATAATCGTTATATTGCTGATATCGGCTTGATATACAATGTCAATATTGGTTTGGAACAGCTTTATCCTCAACTAACTGACCCATTAACACACACAGGTAAGTTGGACTACGGCAAGAACTGATCTAATGACAGAACTACGTCTGCTTCCATTGTGGTAGATGACAATATCCCACCTTTTAGCTTGTTACTATTGAGCTGTTGACCTCTTAATATTACGTACCAAAACTAAAGGGTGCCAAAGGCTAAAGGGTGTAAGTCAAACAATAACACTGACACCTTTACACCCCGGTAACTCTGGTTCATACAATACAACAGCTTTGTTCAAGGTTTTTTTTGTCCAGTACCAATCCTCATACAACAAATTTAAGCTGTTCAACCTTCTGGTCAAAGCCTGATGTGAAAACTGCAGAACATGCACAGATCTGAGGTCTATACAGCAGGACCATTATCCAGACATGCACAACATTGTCAGCATGATATCGGTATGAGCAAATAATGGCGATGATTCTCTTACAGGAGAAACTTAATCAATTTTTTTCAATGAAAAAATGGTGCATATACAGTATGTCTGTATCAATATTCGAATTTGAAAGTATCAGCATATCATATCAGCGAAAATCCAACACCATGCCTCCCTACAATTAGCTAAGTGTCACTGTTGTCACAGATTATGTAATGCTCATTTGCCACCGAGGAAGACTTTCAAACCACCTGAGAGCGTCTACTCCCAGAGCGAACATCCCCAGCTTCCCTCTCAGCTGCAGCAACAGAACGAGGAAGTAGGAATCGTACTCTGAAATGAACCCGTCAGCAGAGGCACCGCGGTTCACCCTTGCACAATAAATCATCTGTCCCATCTAGTTCCACTTTCTATGCTGTTGTGAAAACACAGAAATAAGATATGCTGCGTTCTTGACACAAGTGACAACTCCTCCCAAGTCTGTTTGATGGTAACTTGAACACATTATTAAACCAAATATAACATTAACAAAAAAAGTCGTCAGAATTCTTTCAAACTTTCCTCTTGTAATAACTGCGTGTTGTTGGTACAGCTGTGCCACTTCACCTTGGGCATAATTGGATGAGATTCACCTGAGGACACATTATTTTAATTACGTGTCACCACTTGGGTGCCAGAGTGGCCCGGGGGAGGGGAGGGAAGGAGGAGGGGGAATGTACAGTGGCAGCTTCCTGTGCTCTGAGGCCAAACACTGACTGTGTGAATCCCCGTGGGACGGGCACACAGACGGCAGATACTCTGCTCGACTGGGCACGTTCGGCCTGCAGGCTGGCACAGCTGCACCCCTCGGCCTGCCCGAGAGCCACTTTTCGCAGCGCCACACACACTTGACATGCCGACACAGAGCCTGAACAGCCCACTTCAGCTGGGCTGTGAGCTCAGACTGAAGTTTAAAGTGGAATCATTATAAAAGAAACTTGTATCTAAGTGTTTGAATGTGACTTCTCAGTGGTCTCTGTGGTTGTTCTATGGCTCTGAAAATGTGGAACTCATAAACATCCATTTTCTGTGAGTTATTTACCAAGAAACACTCAGATTTCTATATCAGAGCAAGAATGTTACGCTTTCTTTATAACCACTGAAAGAACTTGTGATTGCCTGAAGGACCACATGGAACATTCAAAGAAATCACATGGATTTAAATACAAATATGTCAACAGCTAAAAATGTGAAAATGATTAGGAAAATGAGCCGCAATTATCATCTTTAGTTTTAGGGTTACTTTGGTACAGATGCAACAAAAGCAACATTGATGGTTGAGGGCTTGTGTCCACTAGCTGCGTTTTTTGGCACTGTTTATACAGAAGACAATGTGACAAAGTGATCTGGCAGGAGGGGCTGCCCACTTGGACATAAACCGGTATTATAAGAGTAAACAATCATACCCGAACCAGGTTGAGGAAATTATTTTATACTTTTTGATTTTACAATTTGACCCCCTCCAGTAACATAAGGGGGCGGGATTTATGGCCTTTCCAGCAGCCAGTCAGAGGAGGGAGCTCAAATCTTTTGATTTCATAGTCAGTGAACCCTTTATGGCATCCAATTCAACAGGAGAGTTGCCAGCACTCTCAGCTGGAATAAGTTCAACATCTGAAACAGTACAGCTCTCATTCCATCACAGACCAATCAAAATTAAGAATGGGCGGGATTGACACAATCATGTTTTTTTTTACCAATAAAAGTGTTGGTCCTGCGAGAGGAGAAACTAACCTGTCAATTTTTTTAGGTGTAGAGTTGCTGACACTAGCTAAATTTGAATCCGAATCTCTTAATTGTCCCAAAGTATGTCCATTTCTTTAAATTGTGGAAATATTTTCTTTGTAAAACACCACTGAATGAAAACAAATATGAAGCGCAGTGGGAAAACCCTTATAATCCAGTGAAAGTGAGCACTGGTGAAAACCACATGAAGCTCCTGTCAGGAGTTTTTTGATGTAATGAACATTTAATAAGAATCTGCCAATCATTTTGGTTCTTTCTCACTTTTTTAGCTTCCTTCACACAAAATAGAAAACAGTTTTTAATTCTATCTTCATTAAAGTGCTAATTTGCAGTTTTCTCTGTGTTTGAGGATACTGTATGAAAGAAATACTGTTAGTTGAACCTGAAACTTCGTCTTTGAGAAGAAGTGAAAACTCTGATGATGCTGAAGTGACGTGTGTTGACAGTGTATCAGAGAATCATTGTGGAAACCCACTGTAACTATGAAAAAGACGCAGAAAGGTCCTTTATTTTGAACCCATGGCGTACTCACATAGTGATACACTTCAGGAGAAGTCAAGCCAGGAGCAGCTTCAAAGATGAGGCGGCTTATAAATTTATAACCTTGCAAATGGTTAAAATTTGGGCGTAAACCAGCCAATACGCATCTGAGATAATAAATCGGTCAGTGAGTGAGTTGTATGCTTATGTAAGAGTCTTGCCTCTGCTGTTTCAACACCAGTGATATCATTAGGGTGTGGATCCTGTCAGAGCCTCCAGGCCTGAGGAACACTAAACCCAGACTTTTTCTGATTTTGACTCACAAAGACACTCAGACATAAACCACTCACACTCAAAGACCTTTAAGGGTCACATGGCACCACAGACCTGACCTATCGCTCCTCATGCAGAGTCATGTTACACACCCGCAGCTTTGATACGCCCACTCCAAAAGAAGCTACAGCCTCCAAGAACCGCTGGAGCAGCTGGTTTCTGTTTCTAGCGGTTCAAAACTATTTTTGGAAAATCCGAGCTAACCCCTCTGTGAAAATGGAAGTTTTTCTTCTTCTTCTTCTTCTTCTTCCTCAGAGAGCGGGGAGGTTTCTATCATCCAACCACAAACACATCCTTCCCCTTGGAATCCTCCCCAGTTCATCTTCCACTAAGTACGACGGATGAGGGATGTTTTATACAATGCCAGTGTGGAGACGCCTTTGATTAAAATGGCTACCACGCCTGGACTAGCTCCATTTATAGATTAACCATATGCTGAGGCTAATATTCTTGAAGATTGTGTGCTTGCATGCCAACCAAAGTTAGAAAGAATGGATTATGAATGGCATAAGGGTTTATTTAGTTTGGCAAAAGCACATCAGCCCTAAACAGTACACTCCTTCCTCTTTTTACCTCTTCCTCTTTTCAACTCTCCTCTGCACTCGGTTTCTACTCAAAATTCAACATTCCTTCCCCTCTCTCTCTCTCTTGCGCTCTGTTTCCAGTTTCTTTTCCCCCTCTGCTCTCTCTCCCTCTTAGGGGGGGGATTTAAGCATGAGTCACAAGTGAAGGATTCCAGGAGCCTCTGAACAGCGGGTGAAATGACCATAGGAATCGATCTGCCGACAAGCGGATCGATACTAAAAGATTGTTTCCCACAGATGGAACTATTTGCGGAGACATCCGAAGATGCTAAGAGCGCTAAAGGAATTTGAGCGATTTAACAAGTGTGACCGTCCCTCTCTTTTTTCTTGTCCCCTCCACACCCCTCTTTCTCTGAGATGATGCTGCACTCCACGTTACGGTTACATAACTCTGAACATACGGAAAAGATTAAAAAGAGAACAATGACAAAAGTAAGACACAAGCTGAGGATTATTAATAAAATCTTCCCACAGTTGCACGACAGCTATAGAGGGAGTAATTAGGCTGAGGAGATTGTAATCTATTTTAGCGTGTAGATATGAATAGTAGGGTAATTGGGTCCTGGAGATGATGGAAGGAAAATGAGTGCCAAATAAAGACTAAGAGCTAAATGGGAAATATGTTCATCACATTCTCTCTATCTAGTCAAGACACCTGCCAGCTGGTTTCTAAGCACACAGGCACGCACAGATTCCAATGATTTTTCCATGCAAAGTGGGTTTATTTTACATCAGTGGAATGATTTCACTGCAGTGACCAGGGATAATAGGAAAGGTCTGCTGCACGCACACTGAAACAACATAATAGCTAATAAGGATGTTCAGAGGATCTCCATACATCTGAGCTAATGAGAGTTCAGGTTTAAGTTACTTCAGGGAGGTTTACACTTCCTGTATGTTCTGATCCATAACCGCGACATATAAATGCCCTGTGTTTAGTTCCTGTAAAGTTCAAGAAGACAGTACTAGTGCCCAACCAATATGGATTTTTGGGGGACGATACCAATACCGATTATTTTATATACTGTATACATACTGTAGGCTACTGCCCTTCATGGCGACAGGAAGACCGACTGATCAAATTCGGACCAGAACCCCCCACCCCTTTTTAAATGGCGGAACACTTTCGAAGTGAAACCGAATCTTATTCTCCGCATTTTATTTCTGAAAATATCTACGAAAATCGGCGAGTTTTGGCAGATTAGTCTCAAACGGGCTAAAACTGGCCGATATAATTGGCTCGCCGATAAATCGGTCGGGCCCTAGACAGTACTAGGATAGGCGATTGTTTATCATTATTGATACTGATACCAGTATTGAGACTCCTCAATGATTCCAGTTCTTATCAATACCTCTATAAAGTCTTTTCTAGATTTTTTTTTCTTCAAGTACTTTTATAAATACAGATTTTTTTTCTTTTTCTGGACACGACATTTGAACTCATCACATTGTAATTGTCTGTCACCTCAGGTAATTATCAAGCTAACTTTCACCTTCCTACTTACGTCAACATGCATTTCAGTGTGATTTTAAATGATAGGACTTGCTCTAAAGTCTGGCTGTGCTAACTGCAAAAGGTTGCTTTTGCCCCTTTGCAGAATTATTTTTCAACATAAGGGCTTTTGAATATCTAACGTCTCACAATAAAACAAAACCCAGCACTGTCATGGTTTAGTACAACTCAAAGGCCAAAACTGAACATAACTTCCAAATAGTAAACTAGTTTTTTAGACAACATGTTAATGTAGTGACTATCACACAAACTGTTTGTGTGTCATCTTATGCCGAACATTTGGATGAATAGGAAATTTAAATATATATTCAGATTCGAGCACTGAAAAACAATTTCAACAGCTTTTTTCAAGCAGTAGACATTTAAAGTGAATAAATGAATGAATCACAAGTAAGTCATGTATTACTCAGACTGTTATCATTAATTGGCGATGTGGTGATTATCAATGTGAGAATGACTCATAAGTAAACTCATGATAATCTGAGCATTGACTAAGTTTATCAGTTTGGCAGGATTGTAAAGTTCCACAGACATACTGAATTACTTTCATCATGATAACTTTTAACCATATCGACCATTTTTACTGGATAGTATTTTCACATGTATTGTACAAAATTCGACTCTTGCTCTGTTTTAGAGGGGTCATCTTCGTGCAATCCACAACATTTTTTTCCTTCTTGTATAACATTTCTCGAACTCTTCCAGCCTTTTACAACCACGCAGAATTATCTCTTTGTTGACAGAGTTTGTTTGGGGTGAAGTGTACTCCAGCCTTGCTTGTTAACTCTAAAGCAGCGCTCCATAAGTGACTGTTTTCCTCCAAGGTAGAAAATTTAAACTCCTAACTCCTTCCCCTCTCATGCCTCTCTGCAGCCGAGCTTTTTCATATTTAATGCTTCTGTCATTTGCAGAGTTCTCATCTTACAGCCCCTCTTCTCCTTTCTCCTGGCCTGTCTGTGCGTCACCTCTTCAGGCGGTAACCCGACGAGGCTTTCATCACGCTGCATGGGCCAAACACAAATGGTAGAAAGCTGTGCCAACCCAGCGGTGCGTGGGGGACAAACAGCTTGGTGCACAGCTACTTTGACCGACTCCATCAGAAAAACGAAGAGCGCCAATGCCCTTAAGTTCGTGTTACAGCAACAGTTGACGAAAAACCTTATTCCACCCTACAGCAGCATAGCACAAACTTGACCTAACTTGCTCGCTTTCAATTGGCAAGCCTCATCTGGCCTCCAAGCACCTGAGGAATGTGTTCCACCTTTGGCAAGAAAATATGTACATTCCTGTTTGCACAAAGCAACACCAACATCCCGCTAAATTCTATGTATAAACCCCAGAGATAACGAAACCATGTCAGTAGTTTTATGCTGCCGTGACAACAGGTAGGAATGTGCTGCTAAATTATGTGAAGAATTTAAATAAATGTTGTTTATCTCGCCGTGGCTCACAAATCTGTCCACAAACACAGCTCCAGCTCTGTGCCTTCTGTCAGGTGTTCGCCTTCTATTGGTGTTGGCTCCAGCCATCGTGTCCTGGTGACCCACATAGACGTGTGTGTGTGCATGTCAACATTTCCCAAAGCGAAGGAGAATGATGGAAAAGTTTTTCACCTACAGTCTCTATTTACAAGGATAACAGTGTTTCCCCACATGCGAGTAATGCTTTCAGTTCACACATAACTGGCCTCTGAATGCGAGCAGTTCACATGATTATGCATAAGGGAAAAACGGCACGTAAAGCCGTGTAACGAATGCAAAGAATCAGAATCATTATGAGCAGGGGGCTTAAGACAGCGACACTGATTTATCAAAGAAATACCCTTGATGTATTCCAGGCAGTATTCACAAACGGTTTCGTAAACGAAGGTCAGTCCAAATTGGCCATGAGGCGACTATCTCTACATCAGATTTCCACCTTATGCAACTGCTTAGCTATTCAAGTAAATCAATAGCGATTTAGTTTAATTGGCTGCTATTTTTACTCGTACGTTTATGAGGCTGCTCACTCAATAAGGCTTAATTTCTACCACTTCATCATTGTAATTTCCTGCATTTGTTGCACAACATGCTTGACCTTTTATGACATCCCTGTTTTTCTTTTGAGCTCGAGTTGAAAAAACCCAAAGATGCACAAAGACAACAGAAGGTAACACTACAACTGAAAAAGAAATTAAAAAATCTGCATCATATTGGCAATGGCCTTCTCAAAAATTGGTCGACCAATTACAGTTTTTCATTTACAGTTGAAAACGCTTTTCTGGTCCGAGTTTGATCAGTCGGTCTTCCTGTCGGCGTAAAGAACAGTAGCCTACAGTATATCTACAGTATATAGTAAACTGTAGCTATCTACAGTATATATATATTTTATAACTTCATAAAAAATTTAAAAACTTGGCCGATTAATCAGATTTTTTAAATGTATATTTAATTATCAGAATCGGCATTGGTCCCAAAAAGACCAATGAGCTATAGAGCTAACATTACATTGTTTTTTTTATTTTATCATTTTTTTTATTTTTGCAGCTAATAAAACGTAATTTGATAACACTCACAAATAAACAAAGTTGCTTAACATAAATGAATATTATATAAAATTTCTGTATATGGAGAAATATCTTGCAAAGATATCCAGCCATCTTTAAAAAAATAATAATAAAAATAAACAAAGAAAAATCAAATTTAATCTTGTCATAAATCTGTAATATCATGCACACTTGAATCAAATGTTCATGCTATCTTAGCCAGTATTGTTCAAAACAGACTTTCCATGAAATTAGAGAACATAATGATGAGATCCACCATGTAAGGTCGCAAAGCCACTTTGTCCACAGGGGTCACTAAAATCAACACCTACTGATCGTTCCTCACAGGAGCTTTAAAAATAAAATATCTCATTTACTTACTGAAAACTTCATGATTTAAGTAAATACCGGACATAAACACTGATTTCACCGGAGCAAGTTGCTTGACAGGGCTATCAGACAACCATAGTTTAGTATTTTGAGACGGCACCCAGATTTACAGGTAAGTCATATCACCGCTGCGCCCTCCAGATACATCCCCGGAACCAATGCTAGTGAGGTTTAAATGGTTAACCTCCCCCATTTTACCTCCCTCTAAATGTTGAAGGCCAGAGTCAAGCGAAGCCCATCCACTGACCAACCAGCTGACTGTAACTCCCTCGCCTTTTCAATAACAAACTACCACCATGAAGAGGATGATCCAAGTCCAGCTATTAAATGTAATGACGTTTCTTCCTGAGACTGGTGGTGTGTGTGTGTTTCTCCGCTCATTTTAAACTTGAGCCATGCGGGCAGCACCACCAGCAGAGAACGTTGTGATGCATGACCACTGCGTGTGTCGTCAATGCTCATGTGCAATACACTGTCCTTCTAGGTTGACCATGATAAATGAATCTGTGCCGACTCTCAAGGCCTTGAACGATATACAGAGCACTCACGGACTTTCTCACAGTCGGTCTGTTTACTTGGTCAGAACTTACTCTTGCATTATAGCAAGAATTAAACCTATAAACACATGTTTAACTAATATGAGCCGACAAAGTCCTTAGTCACAGTCATTCACACATGGGCCTCAATGGGGTATGGGCTTTTTTCACTGCACTGCACTCAACAAGGCTACAGCAAATGTGCCATTGTTGGAAGGCTCTGGTCAATACAAATGGGTGTAAAGAGGCTGCTTAATGGAACTAATGCCAACAACTGAGGGGAGGAGGGGTTGCGTTGATTCAAAAAGAATTAAAAATATGTTTCAGCTGTTGTTTTCTCCCTTTTTTTAAGCCTGTGATGTTTAGTGTTTTCCAATTTTCTGTGCACATTTGACATTTTATTGCACAAGAGGTCAATAAACCGGTCCCAAAGTTCAGTTTATCCACTGTTTACTTAAATCCATTGATTTTCTATTTTTGGAATCTGTAAATCTGATTTTCCACAGAACAAGCAGCTAAAGTGGGAGCAGAATTTGAATGGGTATTGACGTGAAAACTAAAATGCACTACAACTACATTTTTTTACCTCGGCAACAGTTCAACTACAGCTGTAAAAAAAAGTGGAAAAACACCAGTAGTCGGTCATGAACGACTCCACTCATTCATGAATGATATGAGCCAGCTCCTTTTTGAGAGCAGGTTTCCTTCATTCCCTCTTCTGTTGACATTTGGTTCTTGATAGAATAAGGGGCGATCCTGACTCTACACTGCTCAGGCACACCTTGCACTGACTTCTTTTGCTGCCTTCGAGTTAAATCGGAAGTCAGATGTTGGAGCTGAAAATTACATCATAGCGGAGTTACCAGCGTTTCAGTTACCAAGTCGGAAAAAAGCAAAATCGGAGGCGGAAACAAGATGGCTACATCTACGAAAGTTGTCCGAATATGAGGCTGGTGCTCAAATAACTTTCGTAGATGTAGCCATCTTGTTTCAGGCCTCCGATTTTACTTTTTTCCGACATGGTAACCAAAAACGCCATTTACGTAACATCATTTTCAGCTCTGCAAGATTTCAGTGAATATGTATCAATTATGGACCAAAACAATGATAAAACTAGCTGATTCAAAAAAAAAAAAAATTTTTTAATGGTACTATGAACAGCTGTTTGGAAATCTTACCCGAGATTTCCACCGCATCGGGAACGGCTCTGATCCGGAACGGCAGCGATTTACACCTTACGCCAATTTCTAGCGGATCCGTTTGTGAGGCGAATTTCATGGTGAATTACGGACACCAGGAATTGCGATAATTCACAAGAACCTCCGGATTCACCTGCAATCGCGCAATACCAAGTTGTCTTTAGCCACATAGGCTAACCATATAGACTTCTAGATTCAGCATCCTCTCATCCATGGTGTCAATGGAGTGAAATACAGTCTATAAGCCTTTCACTTGTTCGTCCCCGCCCATTTGCATGGTGTGAAATACGATCCGCCTGAGACACGGTGTGTTTTATTTTGAAAAGAAGCAGGATGTTTGTGTCTGTCCGGAAAAAATAGAACTTTTGAGATCAGCTGCGGAGTCCAGCGATCTGCAGCGGAACGGAAAGAAGCCGGTGGAAGTTAACACATTAACTTGATTGGTTACAATTAGCTACGATCAACAGGTTCGGCCTTTTTGTAGCCTTTCCAGATGCGTTGGCAATTGGGGGTTACAGGTGAGCTGAGCAGTACACTCAGTCACTGAGATCACAAGAGGGCCTGAATTCCCATCACTGTTTCCCATCACTCCTTTCACCCCCGAAATGAACTTTTTTTGATGAGACAAAAATTTCTTGACTTATGTTAAGATTAACTGCACAGTTGATTTCGATGCAAGTCATGCACTTCTCACAGGATTTATAGCAGATCAAACTTGATCATTTTGCAATTGCATTCAGATTTTCAGTGGGCCTAAGGCCACCCGTACCCCCTTTCCCACACGCCCCTGTAACCACTACTAACGAGGCTTTAATGGTAAACTGCCCCTTTTAACTGCCGGAGGTGAACGAAACGCGAAGTTCGTCAACCGACCGACCGTTACTCTCCTCCTCCCTCCTTACCGAGCAGCAGCAGCTTGACCTCCCTCGCTGCCTTCTCCCCGTCGTCCCGCAGATTCCTGTCGATCATTTTGCTGCGCTCCACCGCCGCCTTGTCCTCTGTGCTCAGCGTGCATCCCATCTTCGACTATGTCCTTTAGACCCAGATGGTGTAAAAATGTCTAAAACACCTTATATACCTACATTAAACGGTTAAAACTGCCTTCACTCCGCAAACACGCCCTTTTCTAAATGACTGTCAATCGATCCGGTCGGGAAAGGGGGAAAAAGAAGCTTTTCGACTAAGTTTTTCTCAAAAATGAGTGTGGTGTTTCTTTTTCTACGATGTGTTTCGGTTTTAATCCTTTCCGCAGCCGTTGAAAAGCTACTTAAACAGGGGAAAAAATCCTCGGTGATGTCTCGTCCACTCCTTCGTCTCCATTCGTTGCAGTGGTGACTGCCAGTGTTGAATGTACAGAGACGACTGAGGAGAGAGCAGCACGGGCTGTTCGACAGGCGGCAACAGCAACGACACTTCCGGTACAGCTTTTCCAAATAAAGACGTCATCTCAATCAAATTATGAACAAGTAGTCGTTGCTAGAAAGGGGAAGACATAATAGGCTAGATTTTCATTTTCCCCACGACTATTCTGTTGAGAATAGTTCAGGCGAGGAACAATTGTTCATTTTTTATTTCCTCCTCTCACAGAAATACTTGATGATGTAAAATGCTATCCTAAACTTTCATATTTTTGGACTGGCATGAAATAGAAAATAGAAATATGTTTATGAAATTAAATCATAACCAATATATTATATTATTATTATTATTATTATTATTATTATTATTATTATTATTATTAATAATAATAATAATAATAATAATAATAATAATTTATTTATTTATTCATGGGGGGGTAAGACAAATTATTGTTATTTTAATGAATGAGGAGGAAAAAACAGTATCTAAAATTAAGATTGCTTAGGCCCCTCTTATCAGTTGAACCCTAATTTAATTTTGGTGCGTGGATAGGAAATCATTTATCGTGAGACGATTTTATTTTGAAGGCAGACACCCAAACCAGACACTTCCTGTTTTACGTTTTACACCAAGACACTAGCAGCTTTACTCACATCTTTTTAAACTCGTAGTTCTTACATTTTTATCAACGAAAAGTGTCTCTTCGAGCAAATTAACAGTGTACTTTACACATTTTAATACTGTTAACATGAATCTCATGGGTTATGTTCTCACTCTTTAACAGGAACGTATATAAACATACATTTAAACATATAGCCTCCAACACTTGTTTAGGTGTCCCACGGTTGTGTGGCTAGACGACACTTGCAGCATGTTTCGTTTCCATGGAAGCCAACCCCACAACCTTGGCAGTGTTAGTTCCCTCCCCTACCAATTCAGCTGGACGCCTTTTGTTTGTGGTTTAAATAATTTAGCCTGTTGCATAAAGTCAGGTAATAATCAAGCCTAAAAGTTACTAGTGTCCTCTTGAAAACTTTCACACATTTCCTTGGAGTGTAAGCGTCCCTGCAGTTCCATGTAGTTTTCAGTTTAAACATGGCCCCCTTTTTATGAAACAAATTTGTTGTGTTGAACTTTCCATGTAATCTTATCCCGGGCAGGAGGTTTCCTGGTTTGTCACCCAGGTCCTCTTCAGGTTTTAAAGAAACAAGAAGCAGAAGGGTATTTCCCACAGGCAGCTTCAACAAAAGGCCATTCATTTGACAGAAAATACTACTGATGTGCTGGACATGGCGCTAATTGAGACTAAAATAGGTTTGCTAAGTACACATTTAACCCAATGATGCAGGTATTTGAAAAAAAGCAAACAAGGCACGCAGTTTAGGGATAATTTAATCTCTCATGTTTCACCTATTACTTGGCATGAGTGCACCTATTCCAAGAAATGAAGTGGGAAAAAGGTGGGGTGTAATTTACAAAAAAAAAAAAAAAAAAAAAAAAAGGATCAAAGCCAACCAGGAAGCAAGCAAGTTTCACTTCCCAATGGATGTGAGACAACCAAGAGTGTTTTAGGAGGAAACAGAGTCATAAATGATGGTACATTTTCTCTTTGAGACACCAATAACAGCCCAGAGTTGGTAGAGGAACGGAGCCAGCAGTGTATGTCCACACACAGCACACTGAAATCAAATCTGAGATAAAGTCAGCACAGTCAGTGAGGTGACATTTAAACTGTTTCCACAGGTATGCTTGTTTGGATAAGCAGAGACATGTCTTTGGCAGAGGTACAAGAGGGTGAGCTGCTCTCTGTACTGGACGGGCTGTGAGTGGTGAGGGAATGATGGTGCCGCCCTCCAGTGGTGATAAGATGTCATTTCAAAGTCTTACAGGGCGAGCAAGAAGATAATGTCCACACTTACAGCACAGAAACAGAAATAGAGGGCTGCAGATTTAAGAAATGTCGCATTTCCAAAGAACAATTACACTGATTACAAATTAAGCTGAACATTATTCTGATTGTGAGCTAAGAAAGTACAGACTCCAGATCTAATGAAGTGGGAATGTTGTGTAAAACATGAATAAAAACAGAAAACACAGATTTGCAAATCCCTTTCCACTTAAATTTAATATAAATATTTAAGATATGTTCAAGCTGATCAACTTGAATGTCATGATTAGGTCTGGAGCCTTCCCGAAAGACTCAGTCATTCAGGAGAAAGGATGAGGTAAAGTTCACCTTCAACCCCTTAGGTGGCACTGCATCAGACACCCATATCAGTTTGTAGAGGATATTACCACACAGGCTCAGAAACACGTCAGAAAACCATTGTCAGCTAACTCAGTGCATTTCTAAATCTACAAGAGCAAGTTCAAACTCTACCATGCAAAGCCAAAGCCATAAATTAACATCAACAGGACACTTCCAACAACACTTCCCACATCTCTGGACCCAAGCTCATCTGAGATGGACTGATGCAAAGTGGAAAAGTGTTCTGTGGTCTGATGAGTCCATGATTTCAAACTGTTTTTGGAAATCATGGATGTGGTGTCCTCTAAGTTAAAGAAGAAAATGACCATCCAGACTGTTAACAGGTCAGAGTTTAAAGCCAGCATCTGTGATGGTATAGGGGTGTGTGTTAGTGCCCATAGCATGGCTAACTGTCACATCCATAGACTGTATATAAGATGGACACCGTGGTTCCGCCTTCCGCCTGTATACGGATTTGAAGCCAAACGGCTCTCGGTAATTCCAGGTTTTTCTCCGCTTCCTTGAAACCAGAGCTGTGCAGTAGCGTTGTGCGCATTCGGCCGCGCAGTCGCCGAGAGTCCCTGTGATGACGCTCGGCTCAAACAGCGTATTCCCCCGGAAGAGCTACGCAATCCTTGAACGCCGATAGGCTGTACCAGGTGTCAATCATAGAAAACATGAACCCCCTAATAGCTTTTAAAAACGGAGCTGTACAGAAAAAAAAGGACTTGGGCACAAACCAGTCTGACAGTAACTACATGTCAACATCACAAGAAGGGGGGAGAAAAATTTATATTCTGTGTAATAAATTTCTGAAGCTTCATAAGCTTTGCTGGCGGAGGCGGGATTTATGACCTGTACTGCAGCCCACCATCAGAGGGTACTGTTCTCGGAGCGGCTTCACCCAGCGAGGAGGCAGACTCTGTCCATCTTATATACAGTCTATGGTCACATCTGTGAAGGCTCCATTAATGCTGAAAGGTAAACAGGTTTAGGAGCAATGTATGCTGCCATCCAAGTCATGTCTTTTTCAAGGACTTCCCGAATTATTTCAGCAAGCCAACACCATTACACATTCTTTGCGTATTACAACAACCAATAGAGTGCATGTACTAGACCAGCCTGCGTGTGGTCCAGACCTTTCCCCTCATTAAAAATTATGAAGCACAAATACCAAAACAAAGACCCCGGACTGTTGAACAGCTGAAGTGCTAGATCAGGCAAGAATGGGAGAGAATTCGCATCCACAGATAAAACTTGTACAATACTATTGGTGTGATTGATTGAAAGATGCAGTACATGACAAGTGTGCTAAGACACTACTACAGCTATCTTTCTGAAGATACAGGGGCGACCATCTCTGAGTAGAATCTACCACATTTAGCGATCAAATGGAATGCACCAATAACCAAACTTGGACAAAATCTGACTTCACAAAAGAGATGTCCATACTTGTTAAAAACCTATTGATGGTGAAGCGTCATCTAATATATTTCTTTTAAAATGAGTCTAAAATGCCTATTCTGCTACATACTATCACGCATTATTGCTTTTGGGTATAGGGATAGAAAAGAAACAGCCAACATGTTGAAATGTGTATGCTGTCACTGTGAGCACATCATGCATCTCTAAATGCAAAAATGCCATGGCCTTGTGCTTTGGCAAAAGCTACCATGCTAAAGTGTTACCATTTGTTTGAATGGACAAGAGAAATTGGTTAAATTCAATCAGGTCGACTGATCCTTGAAGATCTCTCACGTGTGTGCCACCTTGAACCTTTGGGTAGTCAACAGTGACCTTGACATCAGGAAGGTGCATCCTGGTAAAGATCCCGCCATAAAGAAGAAATATATCAATAAACCATCATGTGCTAATGCAATATTTTATTGTTGCTAATGAGGTTCCAAATCCCCTTGTTCAAGGAAGTATCTGTCAAAGCAACAACGTTTCAGATACATCAGGATAAGAAATCAAGATAAGCTCTACGGTATATCTTTAAGAGCCATAAAGAGCAATTCATCTTAACGTCACTGCTTTAACAACACATCCGTAAGTACAGATAAGCTTTCTTGATGTCTCTGCACAACTAGAATTTACTTTATTATTTATACATCTCCCCTTTTTCTGTCACTGGTAAGCGAGTGTGTTGCGCAACAAGGCAGCGCAGAAGGCGACATTTGTAGATGAAGCAAACGGTGACGAGACAGTGGAGGATGGATTAGAACTGGGTCAGGGGAGAATGTAGTATGTGTAAATAAGCTTGAAGCTGCTTGCGATTGAATAGTTATTTCTGATGCTTGAAAAGCTTCTAAAATATTTTGACTGTACGGAAGCTAAAGTTGGCCAAAATTAAAAGAAAACTGATGAAAGAAAGCAAAAAATAAAAGATCAAAAGAGTCTGAATTGAACCTCTTTAGATCTTCGTCTGTCCACTTCTTCTTAAACCTTTACCCCCAATCAGTGTCTAGCTCTTATCTTCTGTCCAGATAGTGTTAACTGATACCTCAAGGTAGACGTCTCTTAGCTGGACCTTTATACTTTTCTCACCTTATGTAACGTCACTAATAATACGTCCCTGGACACCTGCCAAAGGTGTCTGTACCTTTACCTGGCCTGAGCTGCACTGTCAGCTCCACTGATGGTACAGCCTGCCTGCTCTGCTTCTTCTTGCTCTGCCGCTGCTGCTGCTGCCAGGACACAAACACAGACAGGCTGCTCACACTCGCACACTCACACACACAGAGACAGAAGGAGAACAGGCTGCCTGGCAGATAAGACGGACGTAGGGAAAAACGCACTCCAGCCATGAACAAGAGGTGCGGGCTGATAGCTGGAGCTGTGTTTGGGGCGGTGGTTGCTTTCCTGGGAGGCATACTTATCCCTCTGGGGAACCTCGTCATTGAAGGGACAGTGGAGAAGGTATGGTGTTCAGTTTCACCCCCTTTTGGCAATGATAGCGAGTGACACAGAGCGTTTGAATGTGAGTGTGAGTGAGAGTGAGTGCGCTGAGATCAAGGTGATTCGGGAGAAATGAGAGAGAAGAGGCATGCGTTTTGGGAAGCTGGTAAACAAGCTGTGCAGGAAAATATCCAAGTGTGCCGTCTTTTCATCTTTTGAAAAGAATCTGTTCTTTTGATTTTCTGTAGGCACTTTAAAAAAATGTTAACAATTTTTAGACCTTCCTGATAACAGAGCACACTCCCTTTTTCATGTATCAGCGGGGCAGCTGGCCTGCTGGCAGTCTTCTTGAGGAATGATAAAAATAGATTTTCTGTGTGTCTACTGGGTTTAGGAAGCTGTCATTGAGAATGGGACCACAGCGTTTGAAAACTGGGTGGCCACGGGGGGAGTGGTGTACAGGCAGTTTTGGTTCTTTGATGTCAAAAACCCTACTGAGGTTATAGAGCAAGGAGCAAAACCAATAGTGGTGGAAAAAGGACCATACACGTACAGGTAAGATAGATTTCTCTGCCTCTTTTCTATCGTTTTGGGGACAGCATGTTTATCCCTGAACACCCACATTTCAGTGTGTCATCACTTCAATTTCATGCCACATCTCTCCTCTGATGAAATTCCAAGTCTAAATGAGATCTCTTCTCCCTTTCAGGACAAGATATCTCCCCAAAGAAAATATCACATTCTACCCAAATTATACTGCCTCCTTTTCGCTGCCTCTGGGCGCCATTTTTGAACCATCCATGTCGGTGGGACCAGAGGAAGACAAAGTCACCTCCCTTAACATCGCTGTGGCGGTAAGTGAGTATGACCCTGCCGTGCAGTAATTCCTGATGTTAAAAGTTAATATGCCGCAGTTCATTGGCCAAAATGGGCCGATGCCAGATCAAGCTGTGTTGCACTGAGTAAGGTTGCAGTGGTCTGAATTACTTGCGTTGGGGTGGTTTCCAACCTTTTTGGCCTGTGACCCTCCTCTGTGGCAGAGAGCTGGTTGCTCAACCTTTGATTTCAGGGACTTAAAAAATTGTATTGGAAAAGCAATTATTGTGAAATTAATTGGAAAATTTATATAATATGATTTATATAGTCCCTCTGCTCTACCTTGTAAGGCTGCGCAATAAATCATATTTCAATTTTAATTATGAGTTTGGCTTCCCATGACCAGGAAAACAAAATAATCAAGATTATTTCACTGTGCCACCTGCTGTGTTGTATGTGTTTTGTGACTAGGAAAACAAAAAAGTCGAGCTTAAACAATTACTGTGCCACCTGCTGTGTTGTATGGGTTTTGTTTAATATGGTGAATGGAGACCCTGAACAGGGTCACCTCAGCTTGTATTGACAGTGAGGAGGATAGGAAGCCACCTCCACGGCTAGACTGGCAATCTGGTAAACTGAGTATTGTCCCAGCGGGACAGCATACCAGTGCCAATATCCAATAAGACATATTTATCCTTCAGAAAAATTCAACAAGCCCATAGAGGCCACTCATGCAGTTTTATATTAATGTGAGCCTAGCCTAGCTTAGTCATAATCATGCCTATAAAAGGACCAGCTTTAGCTCTACCCTTCTGTCCACCCCTCTTTGCAGAGCATAAAAATTACGAAAACATCATCACTGGGGCATCAGATCAGTGTGTAACAAGCTTAAGTATTGCTGAGAAAATGTGTTAAACCAGAACTGCTGTATCTTTAATAAGTCATGCTACAGCAGTACAACAATCATTCAGCAACATGTGGAGAGAAAAAAAAGCTGTGTTGTAGGGGTTGTCACCAATAGTCAGTGCTGCAGAAAATTGTAAACTAGTTGAATCGTCAGTACAACTGCGAAGGGGGCTGACATGCCTGTAGGCAGTCTTCTTGCAGGCTTTGGTCCCACTTCTGCTTTGACCAGAGCTGTGGTTTTCTTTAAGTGTTGGGACTCTTTCAACCCTTCAGGTCTTGTCTAATGGCTTCAGGGATGGTCTTGAGGACAGGTCTGTTTGTGCCTCCAGTAATACCAAAACTAACCAAGTGCCATTGGACAGTAGGACCGAATATGCTCCAGCGTTGCTCACTTTGAAACACAGTGGATGGTGATTCTTCCAAGACCCATGTGTGCAGATTTGGTGGATGGTAGGACATCGCACAAACTAAGCAAGCTCTATCTTGCTTTATCTCCACTGCCATGCAGGTTCTTGTCTACTCCTTTACCACACTCACTCTCTCCTTGATTAGACAATACTCTTATTAATAATGGTTGTTTGGGGAATAGGGAGCTCAGTTTGACCTCTGGTAACCCCAACAGCCCTCTGCATCACAACCTTGGCAATGCTTGCCTAACAGCTCCCACCTTCCATACTTCTTACCAGTCCTCACTTGGATCCCCACATTTGTTACCTTCAGATCCATTTAATTCCTGTGCTGTATCACTTCTTGTTCAATGCTGCTAGGGCTCCTAAGCAGCTCTGGCCATTTCCTGAGATGGTCGACTGACTTCTCTGATGGTTGAGATGGCTGTGCCTGCGATATCAAACTGGGACTTGTCTTCTACCTTCCCTTTCTTCATCTCAATTTTTGCCGATTTGAATTGCATTCTCGGCCCACCCCACCAGCTTCTTGAGCACCCACAGAATCCTGGAACTAATTCTGAAGCGACAGACGATGAACGCCCTGATTGGTGGTTGCTGTTGAGTAGGTTTAGTTTTGGATCTTCTGCACTTTGGTTTGGCAGACTTGGTGAGCATATACCTTAAGTGTCCTTTACCAGGAACATGCTGCTTATTGAATAGAAGACCTTTGTCTCAACACACAGCAGATAGATGATGCCAGTTAGTGTAGCGGAGTGGACTTTTTCTTCTTTGGGACTGGCACACCTTCAGCCACTTTTGACTATTTTTGGAACTTCCCTTCTCTTGTGATCGGACCCTTTGTCGTCCTACTGTTGTCTCAACAGTTTGTACCATTGTTTTGTTACTGCTTCCACAGCATGATTGGGAAACTGACTGAATTACAGTCAAGTTCTCCACCATTCTTGGAGTCCATGGCTGAAAAGTTTCACAGCAAGTTAAAAGTTAACTCTCAATTAACAGTTCATTTTTCCAATAGAAATGGCCTGTATGGCTGTATGCAGGATAAACAGTCTGTTCATCCTGCATACAGCTAGCAGGTTGTTCATTATGTGCAGGTGTTGTTTAAACAGGTATCATAAAGAGGAGAAAAGCAGTTTTACTGGGTTTATTGTACTGACTTATTTAATTATGTGCAAATTAAATTACATTAAATTATTAAATTTGTGTGCACAACAAACAGCTGTAAAGCCGAGGGATAGTTAATAGGGAAAAGGTGGTGCTGTCATCACAAACCTCACCAGATGCCCTGGAAGAAAGAACATCTTATGGACCTGAATGCATATTTCCTTTCACACACTCTTCATTTCCTTGCCTCTCTCCATGCATCTCTGGTGGGAGGAACTAAGACAAAACAAAAAGCTTGAGTTGGGATGCATTTATGCAAATAACGGGACATTAGATGCACCTTTACTCTCTTCACTGTATAAGGCACGAAAAATAATTTACAGCAGAGACCTCAACCTTGTTAACTTTATAGCTGGAATCACACCTAACAGGACCACTCCTTGAACACTAAACTATTAACACTGTAAGTGTATGAGGGGGTTATTTTTGTGGTGACACTTTCTAAATTTTTGCTGCATTAGAAAGCTGGACTGCTCACCCTGACAACCCGACTTTATTCAGTTCCTTTTGTGCCTAAGAGCCTGTTTTCCAGTTTCTCCACCGGTCAGCTTTAACGCAGGTGTCTCTGGGAGACTGAGCTCTCGTTTAGTGGTTCACTCATGCACTCTAAAAGACTTCCTCCTCACCCAGTTCAATAAAAGTACACTTTATGTACTTATTTATTTATTAATTTTTACTATTTCTTGTCCTTCATGGTACTCACTTGGCCTAGGTGGGACCCAACTGCACAGGGAAAAAACAAGCAAAAGCACTTAGCACTTTTCTGGCAGTTTGTGGATGAGGACCGCTAGGTCAGCTAGTGCCCAGGTCCCAAGTCGGACTGCACAACTTGTTGTGGATGAACTCTGACAACTGATGTCTGCTGAGTCCAACACTGAAAACTTAACCTGGCTATGCAACCCTATGACTGTCTTTGCATCATAACAGTTGCCTCCTCTTGGCAGGACTTAGTTTCAACACCAATCACTTCTGTTTCCCCGCTTCTGACATACTGGTCCTTTATTTATCGATTTTGGTCAATGTCCAGTAGCCAAACTTCTTTCTTACAATGACAGATCCTTCATCTCTGATGATGATCAGCTGTCTTACGATTTTCTGTCAGATTTCTAGTCCTCTGTGGTCTTTCAAGGGAGCAACCAGGAACAGCCATGCGATCTCAGCAGGTCACTCCAGCTTTAACTCGTCAACATGTACACAAGCTTTCTAGAAACAGTCTTGTCACTGCAGAGTGTGTGTAGTTATACTGAGCACATCTACTGCCAATCCAAATTTTCTTGGGGTCACTTGATAATTGTAATTACTTGGTAGGCCACCATATCAATACTGAGACATTAACAGAGTTTTCAAACCAAGAAACCCCTTTTTTTTTAAATTGAGAAATGTAAAAATGAGTTTCTAGCAAAATCTTAAATCCGCCAAGTTATTCAAATATAAAATCAAACGTATTTATGTTTAATTCAACTCTTTTAACTAAAATCCTTTTCTTAAATGTGTTTGCAACAAGCACGCCATCAAGATGCCCTGGGAGTTAGCTACAGTGGTTCATGCTAATGTCTGTAATTTTTAAATTTGGTTACCGAGTCTGGGTTTTCAAACATTTGGGGTTCAGTCAAAAATCTTTTGGCTGCTGATGCTGCTTGTTTCAACACTTGTTTTGTCAGAGTTGGTGTTTTTTAAATCTCTAGGCTACAGTATTGTTGACAGCTGCAAAGTCAGCAAAGACCCACAGTCACAGTGGCCCCAGTTACACAGTGAGGAGAAGAACCAGTTTGAGAACTAGCTGTCGTTCTAAACCCCTGAAATGAGCTAAAGTTAAGGTTTAAATAATGGGTGGTTCAGGTATGAGATGGGGAACGAGCAACCCTTTTTTAAATGAAACCACATAAAACATGCAAGTTATGAAATGAAGGGAACGCAGTGGCTTCAGTAAGTTGCTTTAGAGCCAAAATACCATTGATTTTTAGCTTTGTTATCAAAGAAATGCTCAAAAATATATCAAAGCTAATGGTTCAGCATGCTCAGTTTACATTTTATACACCACAAAGGCATCTAGAGGGAACTTTGTTTACATTTAATTTACTGGGAGGGAAGATGCTGTCAATATTTAATTCATGTATGACGAAATAATAACGTAAATAAATAGTGATTTACCCATTTTTAAAGCGCTCGTGAGTGTGGAAAACTGAGGGCAGACGGAAACGGCCGAGCACTACCGGGCTCAGTCGATGTCTGACCGGCATGTCAGAGCGCAGCAGAAAGCGCTTCCTGTGTGAACAGCCAAGAGGGTGGATATGTTTCTGTAAGTCTAAGAATCTCCACCTTAGATTAAATTTTAAAATCCCCTACTATTTTTGAAAATTGAAAGTTAGCTAACAGCAAAGACATCAAACATAGCCCACCTATCTCCATTGAATTGAGGGTGTATGACCTGCGTTTGACACCAATATGCTGCTGGAAGTTATAGACAACTGAGAAGATGTCATGTCCTAAAGCAGTCGCTGTTTATGGCTACAATTAATGTATATGATCAAACCTCATAATACTCAAAAGGTGAGTCTCGGCACGTTCAACAGTAAAGTCTGTGACTGTCGGTAATTATGCAATAAACCTGCCATAAAGGAGGCTTATCTTTTTAAGCAACTTCAGCGGGTTTTTTTGCAAAGCATGTGCACTATTCCTGTAATATCTGACACTAACTGAGCTTTAAATGTAATCTAAAAGTTCATGTTTTGGTTGAATTTCTTTTCTAGGGAGCTTATTCACTGGTTCCACAAGCATTCCATTCAGCGCTGGAGGCTATGATCAGGTTGAGCAAGTCATCCTTGTTTCAGAATCGCACAGTCAAAGAAATGTTGTGGGGTTACACAGACCCCATGTTGAAAAGTTTTTTGGGCCTATTTGCACCTGTGAGTATATAGAGATATCATTTTACACACTTAAAATAATGAGACACATAGAAAAGACCAACATATACTGACTGAAACCTCTTGGATTAAATAGTTCTCTCTTTTCAAATAAAATGTGTTTTTCTCAGTACAATGGCACCTATGACGGCCCGTACAATGTCTTCACTGGAAAGGATGACATCTCCAAAGTGGGAATAATCGATAGATGGGACGATAAAGAGTGAGTCAGATGACAGAAAATAAACAAGAAAGTAATTTTTCATTAATTTAAGCAAGTTTTAACAAGCTATAATCCCTTTTTCTTAAACAGAAATTTAACTTTCTGGGATGACGTGTATTGCAACATGATCAACGGGACAGGTATGTCTCACTCCAAATTTTATCATTTATTTTTTTCCAAAAAATGCTTCATGACCTCTTTGTAAGTTCTTTTTTTTCCAAACCTGGTTTCCTTTGTCTTTTTTTTCCCACAGATGCTTCATCATTCCCTCCCTTTGTAGACAAAAAGAAACCTCTCTATTTCTTCTCTTCAGACATTTGCAGGTAACAAAGACTTTGATTTTGTAGGATCGTTTGAAGACATAGTCATAGTTGAAAAGGGAAGCTTTTTGCACCTTACTCTGGGTAGCCACTAGAGGTCACAGCTTTCCAAAGCTCATGAGGGTCAGTTGGAAGCAAAAACTGTAAGAGAGTCTCTGTGCTGTTTGGCCTTTAGGTCTGTGTCAGCTGGCTTTGAAGAGAGCAAGGACCTGAAGGGGATTGAGGTGTACCGCTTCACCCTGCAGCCAAACACCCTGGCCGCCCCTTCAGTCAACCCAGACAACAAATGTTTCTGCAAAGATCCAAAGACCACCAAGAATTGCACCATAGCGGGAGTTCTGGACATCAGCACCTGTCAAGAAGGTCAGTTTGCATCTCTTTGCTTAACAGGTTCTTTCATTGCAGCATGGTCAATGCATGTTAAATCCCCATTGGTTTCTCATCATCCAAACAGGAAGACCTATCTTCATCTCTCTGCCCCACTTTTTGCATGGCAGTGCAGACCTGTCAGAGGCCATAGAGGGTGTCAATCCCAACCCGGAGCATCATGTCACCTACCTGGATGTAGAACCTGTAAGAGCTTCTGAGATTTAATCTATTTGAGATCTTATTTTAAGTAACTGTAGCTAAAACTAACTATTCAATTTTTGCACCAGACGACAGGGTTCACCTTGAGGTTTGCAAAGAGAATTCAAGTGAATATGATGTATGGACCATCAAACGTCATCACGTGAGTTGAACTCAACTTTCTTTTAGGTTAAAGCAGGAAGGTGTTCACACTATATTGGTTGGTCATATTTTGGAATCATAAAAGCAAAGTGGTCTTGAGATTCAACAACAAATCACAAAACACAATGAAAAATCACAAAAACAAATAATAAAACGGAGAGACAAATCAGAAAATGCAACAACATTACCATAACTTCTGACTGTGGAGTAGGTTTCTACACTGGCTAGGATTGTCGCTGATTGGCGAAACACTCTGATCTGTTTCTTTAAATTGAAATGGTATGTACCATACCAGTTTGGCACCAAAAAGACAAAGACAATTGGATAAAGTATCAAGTATATTACAGAGTAATGCATACATCCCATCAGCAACGATTCATGATGTCTGCAGGTACTTACAGTTACTGTCAGTTAATGCCATTGAGTTTTTTGATTAGTTATTGTGTTTTCTTGTTTGTTGTATTTTGTGCTTTTTTCCATTGATAGTATTATCCTCAAGACACGAACCTTGTACAACAACATCAAATATAATCCAGTCAGCAGATAAGTCACATTTTGTCTGGGGGAACCAAAAGGGTTAGCAGCTAGAGGGCATGTGGTTCACATTAAATTCCTGGAAAAAAACAGAGGGCACTTTGTTTACGTTTGATATATTTGAAAGACCCCCAAGGGCACTTTGTTGTTTACATTTTATACTTTCTAAGCTCAACCCAGGGGCACTTTGTTGTTTACATTTTATACTTTCTAAGCTCAACCCAGGGGCACTTTATTTACATTCAATTCACAGGAAAGGCAAAAAGAGGGCACTTTGTTAACATTTAATACATTGAAAGAGCAATTAGGGTGCACTTTGTTTATTCATGGAATAAGCAGAGGGCACTTTGTTTACATTGTGTACACAAGAAGGTTACCAACTATAGCATTTTCCCCTTGTTGAAGTTTGCCAGTGCCTGTTGTCTGTAGTTGTGTTTTTGGTTTGTTGTCGTGTTTTCTTATTTGTTGTGTTTTCTTATTGGTCAGATGATTAAGTACGTGCCACTCATCAATGCATTGTGCTTGCTGTATTGGCGGTCATTAACATAGTAACAGGTTTACGTTTTTTCCTTGTACTTTTTTGAAAAGATTTATAACTGGACTTTTCCGGTCAATGTGGTTCGTAGTTAGACATTTAAATTAAAGACAAGTCGCAAGATTAAAATTCTTGCAGAGTATGTTACCCATTTTGGTGATCTCTTAAACTAAGATATTTCAGAGGGTTTTAGCTGCAGATTTTGACATTGACTCACACACAGTATTTGTTTTATTGAGATAATGCCCACCTATAGCTCACCTACGCTTCTTAAGTTGGGAAAAAGATACCCTTGCTTTGAGAAATTGACATCTCCTCCATGGTTTACCAGATATTTACTATTCAGACTGCAATTTAAAAGTCCATCTCCTCTTGATATTGACAGAAAGTAGCCATCTCCAAATATTTACTGCTGTTATGAGCAGAGGACCCAAGGAACCTCAGTATTTACCAAACAGACACCAGGGCGCTAACTTGTCTTTGAGATCTCAGCAAGAAAATAAACAAGCACATTTCCAAAAATATCTCTCCCTCCTTGCATTTTGTGTAGATCTCTTTGCTGTCACTGTCAAAGACAAAGACAAAGAAGAAAGTTTGAGACAAAATCATGCTCTGAATACTAAGTGTCAAACTCTTTTTCCACAGGGTGCTGAAGAAAGTCAAGGATTACACCATATTCCCCGTTGTTTGGATGAACGAGGTGAGATAAAAAAAAATAAAAAAATCTGTGCCCCGCAGCCATGAAGTGTTTATCCCACTAGCTTGGCATGCATGCTAATCAGTCGCTCCACGTTTCTATTTGTGAACCTAGACGGCAGAGCTGGATGACGCAACTGCGGACATGTTCAAGACAGAGCTAATCTCACGGATCGATTTGTTGGAGATGATACAGAAGGTGCTTTTGGGCGTTGGCGTGGGCATCTTCGCTCTATGTCTCATCTCTTTCTGCGTGTTACAAAGAAAACACAACCAAGTCAAAATAGTGTGAATGAATCATGTTGACGTTTTTGTTGTGTGGATGACAGAACAAAAGTGCATTTAAGCTGCTACAGGATAACAAACCTTTTGATATAGACTTGCACTTTTTTGTAATTTCTGTGTTATTTATAATGTTGAACCTTCTTTGGTACAAGGAGGTGAATAACTGTGATTTTTCGCCAAGCTCATGAGCTGAACTGCTTCACTGAGTATTACTTTAATTGCAAACACTGTAACGTTGACTCAATCAGGGATTTCTTGAGGGGGGAAACAAAGACTCCTCTTACCTGTCAGGTTTGGAAATCAACAGAGGAGTAATGTGTTTGTTTGACATCCTGTGAAAGAAATGCACAATCTAATCTTACGCAAATGTTCTTATACTTTGCAAACTAGTGTCTTCAAAATGAATAAAAGCTGAAAAGGAGTTTTATTTTACTTAGATTGTTTCTTCCCTGCAACAGCCTATGGGAACTTTCTCCCCAGGGCTAAAGTACAGCAGAGACTTTCCCGCTGCTGAACAAACCTCTGCATTGTGAGCGCCAAAACAAAATTATGTAGTTTCCTCTCTTCCTTGAGTGGCCCATAAATCAAAAAGAGTAATATAAGTGGCCTGAGGGATGATTATACCATGGTTATGAATGGTACTTGGGTTTGTTTTGTAAGAAAGCAGTATTTCAACCCAGCAGGAAGCCTCACTTCACTTTTATGGGTTTACAGTGACCCTCTTTAGTCTCCTGGGTGTCTTTAATCCTTGCGTTCACTCTGTTACCGACACTTCTCACATAGAAAGTAGTTTTTAATTTGTTCAAAAATGGCACCGCTACTCCAAGGCAGAGTGATTTGCAGCCTAGACGTACAACAGGTACTGTCCACAAATCTCTGAAATTTACTACACAAAAACTGAAAAACTGTACCACAGAAATTTTCTTCCCGTAATGGTCTTTCAAAGAGTTCATTCAAGTTTAACCAGAAGAGATCATTTCTCATTTGATACAAGTGAAGCTACAGCCATTAGCCTGTTAGCTTACCTAAGGCCATAAGACATTCTACACACAGTCCTTCATTGAACCCAATGTTCTCATAATGTTTCATGAAACTATGAAGGATAATTTTGTCACTTTAAGAGGGTGCAAAACATATTTTCTCTGTCTTCTAACCCTCGACTAAGCTTACTTTAGCTTAGCATTAGCCACCTAGATGCCTGGGGTGGAATGTGCACATATTTAACCCCAGTAAGTCCATTAGATGATAGCACTTTTACATTAGTAGAGGTAAGACCATTCTGATAATCCATGCAGGTAAAACTAAAAAACAGTAGCTATATAGATAAGCAAAATGGCCGACCTGCTGATTGTTTACGTGTCAGAGAACAGAGAGCTTTTTGATAAAAAACACAAATATTACAAAGATAACGACCTGAAGGACAACTTGTGGAGAGTCATAGTGTCGTATTTCTCATATGACGATGGTTTGTGTGCTTTAACAGTTTGCTAAACGTCTTTGTTTTAACTTTCATCTACGCTAAGTAACTTTAGCTCGTAAGCTAACCTGTTCAGATACAACATACCATATGTATTTTCACTGTCTCAAACTCAATCGCGTTGCTGTCACAGCACCATTAGGTCTCGGTTGTTACCTTACGTTTATAGATTAGTTTAATGTGCTTATCTGGTACTGACCCCGACTCAGTACATGCTATCATGACAGACAGACATCTCAACACTAGTGTCTAATCAGAACTGAAAAACAGTCAGTCTGGTGTTGTGTCAGTCTTCTCGCGTCCACCTGGGATGCGTCTTTTTTCCCCCCTGAAAAGTCGCAAAATCGCATTGCGCTTGATGTGTATAGTCAGGCGCATCAAAATTCGCCTCTGAATATTTTGTAATTTCGCGTTGTATATTTGCGTCATTCCCAGTGTGTAAGGACCTTAAATGTTGTGATACAACAAACAAAATAACTGCGTGAAGTAATTTTGACCCTGCATCTACTCAGGGTGAAGTTGTTCAGTGTTTCTGTCGTGTCTTTTGCTCGTATTGCTCTGTAGATAGTTCTGCACACTCAAGCCGTTCCTACAGGCTTGTTATTACCAGCCAAAATTATTGATTTAATTGTAATGAGGAAAACTGTCTGCCAGTGGAGTCAGTGAAATTTTCTTGGCAAGTTTCATAAGTGTAATGAGATATCTTAACAAGTTCACTTGGATAGATTTGTGTTTTTTTGCTGTGGAGACATCAATCAGCTTGTTTTATGCGGCTGATAAAAATTTGTATGATTTCAGTTATTTTTTTTACTCTGTAACTGGTGCTATGTAGATGTAGCAAAGTTCAGTTGTTCTCAAAACTTAGTCAAGTAAAAGTATCAATTTCAAAACTTATAAAAAAGAACAAAAAAGCTCAAAAATTACTGTAACATGTTTAAATGTAATTATCTGCTAGCTGTAGCATCATCTTTTGGCTGAATGGTACCCGGGTTTGTTTGCTGAGAAAGCTGTATTTAACCTAGCAGGACTCCTCACTTCAGCTTAATGGATTTCATTGACCCTGATTCGCCTTCTCTGTGTTTTGATATGACTGGAATGGAGGATTTAATTGAGATTGAAACAGACAGATATTTCATGCAGTGGTATAATTTGTGGCCCTTTGACATCTCTGGTATTTTCCTACTGTTCTTAGGAATCCAAAAGACTAAGAGCAAAAGCTATTAAGTTTATTAAACCCACAAATTGTCCATCATTTCTTGCTTTGATTATCTTTCAGAGGGGGTCAGTTCTCTTTTTTGGCCACTTTCTGTATAAATAAAAGTTAAGCCAAAACCACTGGGCAGTTAGCTTACAAACCCAAAACATAATCTTTGATTAAACTAAAACCTGCAATTTTCATAACTTTTGTCTTTACACAAACACAAATGCTACTCCCAACCTAAGTTATTTGGTTATCAGCGCTTAATCAAACCAATCAGATCAATCCTTTTAATGGTTGTGTTTAAACAAAGTTGCTTTTGTTTCTGTTGGCTGACGGTGACAGATTGTATATGTTAGACTTCCAATTTTTAAACATTTCTGACTTCTTCTATTGTGGCACCCAACAACGCAACAGGATGACATTTTAAGACTCCAATATCTTCTTCTAACCTGTTGGCAATTTGTGTTTTTCTCCAATTTTGCTTCATTTAGTGTCCTGCTAATTCTTAGATATCAATCAGTACGTTTATATGTTGTTCAAAAATATCGATATATTTCCGTAGCTCAACTGAAACTAGTCTTTTAAAAAACACATAAACACATTAGTCCAACTCTAATCTGATTGGATGTAGTAATGCAAACCCACCAAGTGATTACTATTAGAAGATTGAGAAAATTATGAGACGATGAATGACATGATCTTTCTATAAAATGATATCTATCTGGACAGATTTATTTGGGCTATCATGACATTAATAAATACAAATACACAAGTTTCATAACACTGAAATTACTCTGAGATGAAGCCGCCGGTCACACCGTTTTGTGGAGCAGAATTATCCAAACCAGGATGGGAGCATCATAAAAGTCCCTTTTTCTGAAAATGAAAATAATACCGTTTATCTCTACAAATTGCAGATACAGTCATGGTTGGTGAATTATGTTGAATCTATATACACAATGAGAACACATTTTCACAAACCTTGGCACGATGTTAAATTAAACAGATGAAACACAAAAATACTCTGTACACAACAAATAATCTCTATCTACATGAACTACACATCTGAAAAAAAGTATTCACATATGTCAAATGGTCTATTTTACACACTATCCTATTGGTAATCGCTACTTATTCTCTTTGCTGAAAGATGTGTGGAAAATGTTGATCCAAAGATGGATACTGTTTTATTTCAGCTTGTCTTTTCCCAAACTCTTAGGTTTTAAACTGAATAAAAATGTGCATCTGCTAGTCTTATTACTCAAACCTAATCTTGAGAAGAATTAGGAGACTTCGATTGCTGATGCTTTTCTATAAACATGCTTTTGTACTACAAACAAAAGAAATATGATACAATATACAGCTGAATTACAGTGAGGCACATTCTCTTACATGTATGTCTGAAGTAATGGGGATAGATACAGTAGGGTTAAAATATTAGCAACTGCAGAGACAATCCTAAATATTCTGTTTATAATTATTATTATTGTTATTTCTGGTTTTGTGGATGTAACATCAGGGTTTAATGCTGAGTTTGGCCTTTGAGCTTCCACATTTTAGCTTGTAACATCACACTTTTTATGTGGACTGCTTGCCATCTGCGCTCTCAGTGAACAAGGGTGTCGTGGGCAGTTGGTGCAGCTGTCAGCCGAGAAAGAAAAACTTTACTTTTTCTCTCTAATTGACTTTTTACGACCTTTATTTTTTCATTTCACTGAGCTGAGACAATTTTGTTACTTCAAGTTGAGATGGAAGTGTGAGTGGAATCTAATAAAGTGTAATACTTGAAAGGGTACTCACAGTCATACATGCATCTGTCTCCCTTTTGTTCCTCTTTAATCTCCTCAAAGATGATTTAAAATTGCCCCCTACTTTTGCAAGAAAAAGACAAATCCATAGTGAGATTATATCTGGCAGATCAAATTCCCTCCATGAATTCTAAAATAAGAAAAGATTATCGACTCTAGCAGCACCCTAAGGTGTATTTAAGACCACAGTTCACAGGAGCTTGGTGTTGGAGCTGCTGCAGCAAATGGGTGACATTTAAGTGCCTGTGCATGTGTGTTATCATAGGTCACAGCCATCTGGTCATAATACCTCATGCAAGACGAAAAATTCCCCCAAAACAACCTTCTCTTTCATGTACATCCACAGTGAAGATCTGCAGCTTGAGATGAGAGTTGGAAAATGAGGGATCTAGTTTTAAAAACTGTTCCTAAGTCTGAATTCACACCTCTGGGAGGTGATTACGGCGATTGCGGCTCTTCCTCCGGTCTAGCAGCGGCTTCAGCTTGGCCAAGTCCCCCCTGAGGGGTCCAGGCGGCGGAGGCGGCTGCTGCAGTTGCCTTTGCTGCAGCTTCTGGAGCTCCTTCCTTTCTTTGCAGTATTGTTGCACAGCCAGGCTCTCTGCCGGACTGAAGGCTGCCAAAAGGGCCTTCGGGTGCAGGGAGCTGGCCCAGGCCCACGGCGACTGCTGTTTGTCCGTCAGCACGCTCACCATGGCTTCGCTCAGCACTCGCAGGCGGATCTTGGCAACGGTGCGTTTGAAGCTGTTCTCTGTGGTCAGACAGTAGTAGAGGCCCTGGTCAGACAGCTGGACGGTGCGGATGAGGAGGCCATGCTCGGTGGAGAGGACACGGTCACTCAACTTTACCTGTGGTTGGAAAGGATACGGTCAAATCAGAATAGCTAAAAACTGCAGTTCTTAAAGTGTCCACTTGGGGCTACAAAAGCACTGGAATCCCCATTATTATCCATGTTAAAAGGCTCCTTTTTTCAGCAGAATTACACATTTATAACTACCCTGACTTTTTTATGGATTGGTCTGCAAGTTTGTATATGTAAGGGCATGGCTGATTTGACTCATTGGCAAGGAACATTACAGCTGTTAGCTAGGCTAAAGGCCTTTTGAAAGAGTATTTCCAATGTGGCTACCAGCATCACTCACCTTCAAAACTCTAGTTCAGAAACTAAAGGGTGACATCCCTGAGAACAGAGCTGGAGACATGTTAGTAAATCTTTTTAAATTAACTTTTCACATGGATGTTATTTTGAAAATTGAAATCTTTAACTCCTGAATGCCACACTGTGGCAGCTTCTATCAACCACAACTTGGTGCAACAAGCTGGCTGTCATATTTGATCAATTGTTAATGTTGGACAGAACAAATGGATAAACTGTCATCAAAGTTTTGCTGGACTAGATATTTTTCCTGGGGCAGTACTAAAATCAAGAGCTGGTTTCCTTCCCATTTTCTGTAACGCACATTGTCTTTAAAATGACATAACACAATCCTTAAACGGACCAGCTGATCTAAAGTTGGACAACCTTTGTCTTTTTTTCTTATGAGATAAAAACCAGGGAGAGATGGACTGTTTCTTCAAGACTAATTGTGTGCTATAGGTGTTATTTTAATTCTGTAGACATCTTTGTACTATGATGTATATCTGAATTTGTATATACTGAAGGGTTTTTTATGAGCCTGCATGCCCTAAATATTCATATTTACAACTGATGACAGCTCCTGTGAGGAACTTTAAGGAGAAAGGAAAAGACATGTCTGATCATGCTGACTTTTGGCAGTCAAATGCAGAATTTCTTGTATTTATTGTCAAAGATGTGAAAACAAGGTTGTTTCTTCAGCTGCTTGGCTGACACCTACCCCCTCACAGCAGTTTCAGACATTAAAACTTATGGTGCAGAAATAATCAATCTTGTCACTGATGGTCTTGTTTGCTTCTGTTTATCATTAAAAAAGCATCAATATGAATTACAGTCTATTTCTCGAACGTCAAAAACTCCCCATGGGAGCTTAAACATTCTTAGAAGCTTTGGTTTCCATTTAAAATAGTAGTTTAGACCAATGTGACATTTTCATCTCATTGTAAATACATTAGATTTTGTTTTTCTCCACTTACTCGTTGAAATCCTGCAAGTTAAAAAAAATAAGACTCTAAAACTAAAGCGATTTATCCTAAGGCTGAGTTCTGTTCTCATGGGGAAAAGGCTACGAAACAGCCACCACTCAGAGTCTACGCCATCCAGGTGTGTACTAAATCCATAAAAGAGGTGTCTTTATCTTTTTCAGCTTTATGTAATTTTTCTCAGCCTTTTAAGGGGTTAAAGAAGAGTCAAAGACTTGTCAAGTGTTTCCCTGCTGGAGAGCCTGTTATCAGTCAGACTGCTTATCAAGTTTGATCTGTATCATTCCTCCACTGGCAATCATTGCCCATTTTCCTTTATCAGAGGCAACTCGTTATCAAGCACGTAAACTCATTTGATTGCTCTGACATGTTTAATGTTTGATTTAAAACTCAATTATGTGAACGAAACTCCAGAGAAGATACAGATCAGTAATAGACATTTAATCAGTTATATTACATTACATCATTGGATTCATTTCAGCTTAACCTTTGACCTCTTCATATGTCAAACTGACCTCTTTCCTCCTGTCGTTGTCTCGCTGAATCAGCCAGCGAATAGAGGCCTGAGGAGACTTTGGAATACACTCCAGGAAGGTGGTGTTGTTTTTCACTCCATACTGTGTCATCTCCACAGCATTTCTGTAGGCTAAAGAAAAACATACACACACACAGAGTGTCACAACAGACGTCACATCAGACGTCACTTGCTGACAGACACAAACCCCACAGATGGACTCAAATCTGTCTAAAATCCCAACAGTGAGAGTGAAATGTTGACACAAAGCTCAGCCCAACGCTGGCAGCTGAGTCAACCCTCACCCACTCTTCCTCCGCTACTTAAGACTAATAAAACAAAAACATCATCACATCACACCAGCCCGGTTCCATCTCAGTGACTGTGTCGTTTCTGATGCAGCTAAACGGCTCGTCACACAGCTGGATCTATGACACGGTTGTGGCTAATTGCTGGTAATAGCCATATGGTTCGTTCCCCAAGCTTGTGTTAATTTAAGGATGTAAACTGTTCGCGGAAATGGAACACTCTGGGGAGCAAATCTTCTCCTCTTGTTTCAGAGTGCTCTGCCAGTCCACTGTGTGAATCTGCAAGGAATGTTGTGTGGTACCTGGACTTACAACAAGCACAAACACCCCCTGGACAGGCACATGACAGCACATGAATATGGAGCAACAGCTGCAGCTTTCGTACAACAAAATCACAGTTAACTAGGGAGTCATTTTGTGAAGGTCAGTGTATCTGTTATTGTCTTTGGCAATGTACATCTGTTTGAAGAGCATATGCTACCTTTCTACTTTTATATATACACTGAAAATTAACAGCTGCAGACTTGATTGTTTTGAACACATGGAAGCAGTAAAACTTTACAGCAAACTATAAAACCTTATACAATAATATACTCTTAAATGCTATAATAACTGACTTTCTTTACTCTTTGGTCTTATTAACTTGCCTGGGCTGACCTGTGTGCCAAACACAAATTTTACCTCCTGTGTACACTAAGCTAGCAACATTAGCACGACTTTGACTTTAGTTTTCTGTTCACTATAAGAATAAAAATTAAATATTAACCTGTGTCACTCTTTTTGGTTATAACAGAGTAACAGTACCCTAAACCACAAAGCTTGAGTCATCAGGGTCACCACAATGATATTTTTGATCAGAAAGAGTGTTTCAATGACAGTCCCCAAATAATACAAAAACTATAAAGTTTAAGCCCCCACACTCAATATTAAACAGAAAAGCATGTGTCAGGTAAAGTTACCAATTGATATTAGATAAAACCATTATGTAGTAATTTAAGTCTCTACTCTAATACTAAAACACGAAATAGTGTGTAGCAGTACTTAAAACTATGGAGTTTGAGTCATCAGGGTCCCCACAATGAGTGTTTCAATGACAGTCCCCAAATAATACAAAAACTATAAAGTTTAAGCCCCCACACTTCATGTTAAACAGAAAAGCATGTGTCAGTTAAAGTTACCAAATAATATTAAATCTAACCATCATGTGGTAACTTAAGTCTCCACGCTAATACCAAAACAGGAAATAGTGTGTAACAATACCCCAAACCACGAAGTTTGAGTCATCAAGGTCCCCACATTGATATATTGGTTTAGAAAGAGTGTTTCAATGACAGTCCCCAAATAATACAAAACTATTAAGTTTAAACCCCCACACTCAATATTAAACAGAAAAGCATGTGTCAGTTGAAGTCACCACATGATATCAATTAAAACCATCATGTGGAAATTAAGTCTCTACTCTAATACTAAAACAGGATATAGTGTGTAATAGTACCCAAAACCATGAAGTTCGAGTCATCAAGGTCCCCACATTGATATATTGGTTTAAAAAGTGTTTCAATGACAGTCCCCAAATAATACAAAAACTATAAAGTTTAAGCCCCCACACTTCATGTTAAACAGAATAGCATGTGTCAGTTAAAGTCACCACATGATATTAAATATAACCATTAAGTGGTAACGCAAGTCTCTACACTAATACCAAAATAAGAAGTAGTGTCTAAGTCTCCATCAAGACAGTTCTCAGAAACTGTCAAGCCTTCATAAAGATACAAAAAACCCAGAAAATGTGTCTATTAAATTTCCTGAACATTGCTTAAACCAGAATGTGTGTGTGTAAGATAATGTCCCCTTGAGAATAAACAACCAAAAATAGTGGGTCTATTTAAGTCCCCAAAATGTTATTTAAATGAGGAAGAGTGACAGTAAAATGATCCAAAATAATCAATGTAGGAGGTGTATGTCACTTGAAACCCCTACATCTGAATCTAGTCTCCATACAAAAATTGAAACACAACAGTGTGTGAGTTCCATAAGCAGAATTCCCAGAAAGTGTCAAAAACACCCAAACCAGAAAGTGTGTGTCTGTTTAACATTCTTAATAGTGTTAAAACCAGAAAGTGTGTGTGTAAATGAAAGTCCCCACAATTATACTGAAACCAGAAAGAGTGTTTCAGTTAAAGTCACAGCACAGATATTTCTTTTGCAGGTGGTGGGCTTAAACTGAGTGATATTTGTCAAGCAGGTGAAAATTCTCAGTTTTTTCCCCTTCAAAAGATAAATTTCTCACACCAGTTTGATCCTCTGTCAGATGAAAGTTATGCTTTATTTACCTTTTAGATTGAATCCTCTGCATTGAGTGAGTGGATTTCCATGCATAATATCCTGCCTCCTGCTTCTCCTAGAAAAAAAACATAAAATAGCAATGACTTTAAATAAACTGCAACTAAATATAGAAAAATACACCATCATAACAACCTTTTTCTTCACATCTTTCTTCCATATTAAAATCATGGAAGGGCTCAAAACAATATGAGGAAAATCTGACTGTTTTTCCACACAGTGGTGCACACTCATAAAGAACAGCCTTGAGGAGACGTGCATGTAAACAGCTGACACATTACAGAGACTTTCTTTCCCCACAGGAAAAGCCGGGCTGTGCTTTTGTTCTGGGACCAAACTAAACCTGACCTGCAACCGCCTGGAATGTCAGGAGACAGACAGCCAGTCCTTAAAAAGAGACCAAGGAGGTTTAAGTTTTAGAGGTGAGGTGTCGCTCAGACCTCCTCGTCTGTGTTATGTCTAGACGGAGGGTGGAAAACAACAAAAGCAGAATTAGGGACGTGGCTTAGATTGAAGTGCGAGCTGAGGGATTCCATTCTTGTGATGTTTTTGCACTGAGAGGCCGAGCGTGGATGTTTTCTTTCCTTGTTAATTAAACATATCGCTTACATTTCCACTTTCAGCTCGACTGTATATTGTACATCTATTATTCTATCTTCCTTGGTGAACAGATGTGTGTATATTACAGCTATTTTAAGCCAAAGAAATACTCAGTAAGGCGAATGGCAAAATTGGAAAAGCTACATTTGCAATGAAGAGAAAAAATACTAAAGACTGCACCATGCTATTGCCGGTTAAAACTTGTCAACCTTTTGATAAACTGTAAGCATGAATGGTCTCTGTAACCAGCTCTTGTTTTGGGTCTTACAGTACTGTAGTTAAAATCCGTGAACTTCTGTGTACCTTTTTCCGGTGGGATAAAAGCGGGAGCAGCTGAGCCCATCCCAGGCGCAGTAGGGGTCTCGGGCGAGGCAGCAGTCCGCGCAAGCTGAGCCGTAAGCGTGACAACGGTGCAGAGAGACCTGTGAGACCCCGAACTCCGAGCTGACGTACAGCTGTTGCTGCAAAGCAAACAGTTCAAATGTCAGCCGCCCTGTTTGTCTTAATAAGTGGCCGGCTGACAGGAAAATGAGGCAGAGCGCCGAAACAATTATGGCTTATTATTTCCTTGCCTCTGGGAGGCTTATTATGCACAGGAGAGTTCTGTTTCGTGCATTACATAGTAGCCACAGACAATGAATAACATATTACAACAATAAAAGTGCACTAAACGTGTGAGGAGAGGGAAAATTGGAGGGGTACTTACTTTCTTTGAGGATATTCTCAAGTTGGTAACAGGAGCTTGGTTCTACAAAAACACGTCAGAAACACATTTCAGACCTCTTAGACACAGTTGACTGTTATTTCTACTGCAAGTTTAAAGTAGTAGATGGGAACACTGAAGAGGACTATAAAGTTTTCATGCACTGTCTCTGAATAGACATAAACAACTCTCTTGTCTGTGTGCTAAATATGAGGCTGTTGCTCGTGACTGGTAAATGCCCAATCACAAGGAAAGAACAGCTAGTTTAAAGGGATATTCCGGCGTAAAATTAACTTAGGGTCAGATGAATGTTTGTTTGTACGGAAACCTTGGGCAAGTCCATCAACTCCAGCGGGGTGACGCAGCTCAAGGAAGAACATTTATGATCATTTCCTCATGGAAATGCAATCAGACCGAGACGCTAAGGCAAAGAACTAGAATATGTACTGTTGATAAAGTTAGGTGCTGTTCTGAGCATTATTTGTGGCTATAGAGTGGCTTTTTGGTTGAGTGTGTGGCTCTCTGTATTGCTATCCTGTGGTCGTTACTAAAGTTGGTATAACAAGAAAAGCAATTGGTCGGCAACATTCATCTTTTGAGGGGTTTCTAACTCGGTGTTATGGTGTGTTTGACCTGAACTTAAATTTACGCCAGAATATCCCTTTAACTCTGACTGTGACCAGTAAAAAAAACACATAGCAGCGCCACTTTCAAATGCAGTATTTCATCATGTTTTGCTAATTTAATGACAAGTTAAAAAAATATTCTTGTCATGGTTTAATTGGGGAGTTTTTGAGCTTAAGCAGTAAACTTGGTGGCTTTTGTAGGTCATTTTTCTTTGCTGTCTTTTCTTCTTTTTGGCTTTATATTCTGTCCTTGGAAAGAAGATCTGTTTTTATTGAGCCGTCTTCTAGGTGTAAGGTGATTCCAAGAAGCTGTAGTCTCCACGTCTGATCACAGGTTGATCATACGTGTAAGGATTTGGGCTAAGATAAAACAGCTCAGTCCTCTACCAGAACCCTGCGGCCTGTTCACATGTTTCGTATCACTCCACGCTGCATTGCATCCATCTCCTGCTTGCCACCCTGCCTTTCTCGCTCTGTCTGTCTGCACCCTGGCCTTTGTGTTGTGGCCAAACTTGTCTTTCCCTCTGCTTCCTTTCCTTTGATTCTAGCGGGAAATGGGATGAAAGTCAGAGCGAAAAAAAGAAATACAAAACAGACAGCTGACCTTAAACACTTCCAGCTCCTCCAGGATAAGATCCTCATGCAGGGAGTGATTGCTGGGCAGCACAATCACCTTCTGTACTGTACCTTTGTCTGGTGGGGGCAAAAAGCAGACATGTCATGTGCTGTAACCACACATGTGCTCTTAAAAGACACGTGAAACAGATACAGAAACTAGAATGCAGAAAACAAGGAAAAAAAAGGACCTGTATGCCTGTTTTCTTTGCTCTTATTTTTATTTGAATGGCCAGTTTTCATTGCAAAATCGACTGTGGCAGCGGAGGGAAATGGTAGCTCTTAAACCCACGCTAGGGAGGACAAGGGCAGGGAAAAGGGCAAAATACAACACCCCCACCCTCAACACGACTGTTCTGTCTTGAGAGTTTTTGAGCAGCAGGGAAAAGAGAGGGAGTTACGATGGCGGGCTCCTGGAAATGCCAGATAAGAGCGTCTCCGTCATCTTTCAGACAAAAGCAGCATCTCTGGGCTGAGATATGAATAGACAAACCTGGCTTGTTGTCAAGAATCCAGGCAGGAGAAACAGAATGGAGAGGCTGTCTCATAAACACGAGCAGCTGCGGGAGAGAGTCCCCAGCCCAGCTTGCTGAACGCAAACATGTGCGCAAGTGGACACGGGCGCGCGCATAATTACATACAAACTCACACATAATCTTGTTTAACCACCATTCCATCAGCACGCAAACAGACATAGGTTTGTCTGCTGCACATATAATCCCCTCTCAGGACTTACACCTGACTCCATAAACTGGGGTCAAAAGAGGTCAAAGTCCACTCTTTCAAAACCTTTCCAGGCTGACCTGTCTCTGACCTGTTGCTGACATAATTGACATTACATATTGTGCCATGATTTCAAATTTGTGGCCACACCCACAGTGAACTAACCCCTCTGTTGTCTGTTCATCTGATTAGCAACTCTTGCAACCCACTCGACAATCATTAACCCTTGTACGTCTGAGGTGTTGTGTTATTGCTTTTTTGTGCATATCTTTAACAACCTGAATTGTAAAAAGTTGCTAAAATACAGATTTAAATGGCTTGCAAATCCTTTTCACCCGATGTTCAACTGTAAAAGATATAGTGTAGTATTTAAAAACTAACAGATTAAAACATCCCCCACTCTTCCTACTTTCAAATCACGTCTTAAAACTCATTTTTATTCCTTGGCTTTTAGCTCAGCATGAGAGTTGTGTGATCTCTATCCTTTTATCACTTTCATTTCTTTGATGCTTTTGTGTTTTTATTTCATTTAAAATGTTTTTTACTTGCTTTTATTTATTTCATCATGATGTTTTCTGCATTGTCTGTTCTTTTAATTTTATTGTCCCGCACTTTGGCAAACTTAAATGTTTTTTCAAATGTGCTACATAAATATAGGATTGGATTGTTTGGTGTAGCTCCTAAGCTAGTCTTGTAAAACTCTGATCAATGTCTGTATTTGTCAGACTGGAAAACTGTCGATAGTTGTACCTGTGCCCAGGAAGAGCACTTGGTAGTTGCCATCTGCCGCCATGACCTGGTCCACTGCCACTGAAGTGTATTTGTAATCGGCGTTGGTACGGACCACCAGGGGCCTCCTTCCCACTGGGTAGATGGGGTTGAACATGACAGGATGGTTCCGGACAAAGGTTACCACGTCATCGGGGAACTCCTTTGTTGTCTGGATGTCAGGAGTGAAGGCTCCACCGGGACACTGGAGAGAGAAAACAGTGAATAAGGCACAGTTTCCAAAAAGAATCCACGATCCCTCATAGTCACATCCAAATTATAGCTTTGCTTTCTGCACTTATTAATGGTGAGTTTTTTAGATATAGTTTATTATCAAAATGTAGGAAAAAAATTTACAGTTTGCTTACAATAGATTGTAATCTTTGGAGTCCCCCATGGCTCTGTATTTGGGCGTTTAATTTTCATGTTTATGTTTTTTATATATTTTTTTGTCAAGTCAGAATTGTATAGTTTATAGTATAATATCTCAACGTTTTTTGTCCTATCACTAGTTCTGAAAGTGTGGAAAAAACGTGTGCAATGTTGTAATTCCTCAGTTTCCTGTAGTATAAATTAGGTCATTAAGACACACTGATAGTATAAAAAGACAGGTTTTGGAATGCATGAACTTTTAAATCTTTATTATCAGTAAGCTGTGTAAAACACCACAAAAACAACGGTGGTGAATACTTGATAGCAAAAGCAATTCAATGGATGACGTATTCACAAAAATCCCAGTTAAGTGAATTTCTGCAAACATTTTGTTCCTTTAAAATACACAAAGATATGAATTTTAATATGTTTTTCAACTTAAAACTGATAAAATATTTGGGAATTTATTTGTATATGTACTTTACATTGTGTGCATATAGACATAGTTTTGTGGTGTTGTCATTCCTTCTGAAGCAACGGTTGTTAAAACTTTGATGTCATCCATGAATTTTTTAAGACGGGCTTCGGTTTTACAAGATATTTCGTGTTCTCATCTTTTCTGGCATGCAATGTGTAAAGAGGTAATGTTGACATCAATATTTTATAAAAGTTTGTGTTGATGAATCATGCACTGAAAAAACACAGATGAATGGATGACCCAGAAACGAACTCACAGTTCCAGGCCTCGGATAGGGGATGCGTCCCTGGAAAGCCACCCACTGAAAGTTCGGTCCCTCTCTGTGAGCGAAGGGCCCGTTGAAGACGGTGAGGATGTCGGCCATGTTGTACACACACACAGCGGAGCCTTTAAACACGGAGCTGAGAAAAAAATGAGATGCATATTTTCAGTAAAAGACAACACAGACCCACCTAGATTAAATATTCCGCACTTGTTTTCAAGATCTCTGTTTCCGTGGATGTGCGAGTCATGCAATCTGGGAGGAACCGTTGCATCTCTCTGGCGGGAACGGCTCACCTATTTCCCCCTCCATTGATCTGATGTGGTTGGCTCAGTTATGTAAAACCACACTGCTTTACACATAAAAGCAGCTTTGTTGAGAGGGGGAAAAGAAGCCGGGGGAAGAAACATAGCGTTGAAATAGAAATAACACAGAGCTAAAGGACCTGGAGGACCTCACTGTTTGATTTGGCTGAGCTCCGTGAGCCAGGATACACTACTGCAGCTTCTCTATGATCCTCAAGTAACAAGTGGATGAAGGGCCCGCAGGAGTGTCAGCCCGGGTTAACCAGATGAACTCAATTAAGGATTAGAACGAATGGATTGACTGAATGTTGCTTTAAACCTTCAAATTTGCAATTTAACCCGGCTGACAGTAACTGTGGTGAATCGGAGGAATTTAATTTGTCAGTGTAAAGAGTTGTTTTTTTCATTATTGCAGAAGTCTGGATGGTATTAAACTCGAAAGCCTGCTCAAATCCAGTTGATCTGAATTCACTGGCGTAGTAGAGTTACTACAAAGCCTCACAGAACATAATATTTTCTTTTAATGTGGGGTTTGATGTGCTCTTATTATTGAATTATACCACGCTTATCGCAAGAAAACAAAGCATCTCCAGATTAGCTTGGTTTGGACCTCTCATGTAAACTGTAGGATTTAGCGTTACTTCACAAGTTGAGAAATACCTCCAAGACCTAAAGCTCTATCAGCTACTTACAACCCAGACGATCCCATTCAGATACTGTATGTTATGTAAAAAGTAAAAACATGTCTGTTTTCCATAAAAGAAGTGGAAAGAAATAATTATCTGCTAATGATGGGGATTTTTATTAAAAATTTAAATTCATTCTGATTTAACATGCAACTAGAGAACTGAAAAAGCTTATCAGAGACCACCTGAAACTAAAGCACTGATTGTCTGTATTTATAGAACTTGATGACTGAATTATTTCCAAGGTGGAAGACCAAGAACCTCACCAGGGAATGCTGATGTGGAAGTGTATCATGGTTGCCACGTTTCCCCACCTGCCCTGTATGATGTGATGTGACAGTCTGATTCAAAACAACTTCGAGGCAACCAGACATACAGGCCTAATATTAGTCCAGTAAGTATGCTTTCTTTGACGGCTCAATGGCTGGTGAGGACTTAAAAAAACAGGAGTGCTCAGTTAGATAAATAAGTAATACAAATGAGTCAGATCCGTTCTTTGTTGTCTGTGAGTTAAAGGTCCCATAAAATTGTATTTTTAGCTGTTGACAACATGACCTAGATGTCTTTTAAGAAAGGTTTAGAAGTCTTTTACAGAAAGCCCCACAAATTAAGCCTGAGGCACTGCACTAAGTGGCTGCATGGATATCATCTAAGGGAGAAGGGTGCAGACAAGGGCAGAAAGATGTAGAGGCGGAAAAACACCAAAACAAACATGGTGAGCCAGAACTAAGCCAAACGTTTCATATCATGAACTGTAAATATTATAAGTAATTTGAGGTGACATAGTCGGCACACGTAAACAGATTAACAGCAAATGTTGCCAGTATGTTGTGATAAGAAATAAGAAGAGCTAAAGAGCTAGGACAGATTATAATTTAAACATTTGTGCAACACTGAATTAAACCGTGCTAGTGTAGAAGGAAGCAAAATCATTCGAGGAGTGGGAGTGATGATCTATTCATACTGATGTAAATCACTCCTGTTGTGACATCACCACAGGAGCTAGTGCAGCTGGTTTCATAAAAGCTATGTCTTCCCAGAAACAGAAACACTGCTGGCTTTTTTATTTACACATTGTCAGGATTGCTAGGCTGGAAGATGGTGTAGGTATATGAAGGATGTAATGGTGAGGAAAAGGGGTTTTTCATCATTTGTAACCTTGGCTAAAGGCCGCATAACTGTTAAGCATAGAACAATAAAGAGCTGCTATTACACTTTTTTTCATTTATTTGAAACAAGCGTTTTGTTAAAATGTTGGACGTAACCCTTTAATGCCTGAAACCACAAATTATGGCCAGATAATTAAAAGAATTTTGAGCTGAAATGTTTATTTCACTTACCACTAAAAACCAAAAATCAAAATGTCTTTAAAATTTAACAAATATATTTATTTATCTTATTTGATACATTAGATGTGTTTGGAAACTAATAAACTAAAAGAGGGCATTTTTATCATTTATCGGACTGTATTCAGGTATATTTTTTAGTAATTTGTTGATCATATTAATTGGATTGAAGTATAGAAAAGTATGTATCAAATATGATACAAAAGGCATTAAAGGGTTAAGAACTATTCATAAGCAAATTTCAGGTTGCAAAGTTAATGTGTTTTCATAAAACACTTCAAGTGAGGGGTTTATTCAATAAGCTGTTTATCTGTCTCTGCCTGTATTAGACTTTAAGCATCTAAATGACATTTTTTTGAGAGAAAGGTGAACAATATTTCTCCTTTTCGTGTCTGCAAACTGAGATTCGTGGCTCAGGTTTCACCTTTCTGAAGAATGCTATGATTGAATTCCCTCTGTGCTCAAAACTCCTGCTGTGTACCATTACCCCTGCTCATGGTGGAGCACATCCAACAACACAGATCACATATCAGTGCGTACTATAAATATATTCCATGCACGATGTCAGCAGAATAAAGCACTGCTGCTTCTGAAGGAGGAAAGAAGGATCAGAGGGAAAGAAGATCAAAACGTAGGCCATGTAACGAACAGATCATCTTCTGAAGGAGCTGTTCAGCAACACGACACATGACGTCTCTATGTAACCGGCCCTCAGACAAGCACATCCTCTCCTGCTGAGATCCAGTCAGTGATTAAGATAACCACTGAGACCTGCAGGAATGTTACAGTTGGCTTCATCACCGATGGACTTACCTTGTGGATGTGAATACTCCGAACACCAACAGACCCTTGGGCTGATCGGTTTCCAGCAAAAACATACTTTCTGTGAGGAAAAACACACATGCGCACACAAAGATAAACGTTAAATACTTTCAGCAAATCCTCTGTTTGTCCCATCACCTCATCCTGCAGGGGAGATTGCCAAAAAGCGATGAATGCATGGAGGAATAGCTGCATGTTGACAGATGGACCGGTCTAATGGACTTTATGGAAATGTGGGTAGAAAATGCCGCAAGCTTGTATTTGTACTTTGCAAAGCTCACGGCATTAAAAAAGCACTTGAATTACTCACAAAGTAACCAAAAGCAGCAGAATATTTGTTATGAGTTTTGATAAAGGGCTAAAGTCCTAATCCTGACCAAACAAGGGAAGTGTTGTGGCTTGTTTATGAGAAAAGCAATCACTGGAAACTGTGACTCTTGCAGGAATCAGTATGGTCTCTGGATACATGTTTTCTTTAATACAGATGTTTTTAAAGTGGTCTGCTGGATTAAAAAATAAGTAAGAGCTAAGGCGCCACTCAGAAAACTAAAGAAAATACGTAACCACCCCAGTGGTTTCACCATTTCACTGACCCAGTTCATCAAAGTGGGTTTCAGTGCCGTCTTCCTCCAGGACTGAACACACCATCCGAGCCTTGAGGAAGGTGGTCCACTTGTTGACAAGGCTCCGCTGTCCGCCAATGTCACTCTGCAAACACAGGCCGCCATTAGAAACAGGAAACTACAGCATTGTGAGAGCTGATGTATTCAGGTGGAGACGAAGCACTCACCGGACACACTCTGGCTACCATGGTGTGGATATTTTTAGTATTTCCACTGTTGTCTGTGAGCCTCTCACGGAAGAAAAAATACAGTTTGGCGTCGTTTGGGTCTGTTCCATCTGGTATCAGGTGGGCGTCAATGAAGATTGGCTCTGAATAAAAGACATGAATAGATACACACTTTTACACTTTCAGTTCAATTCAAGGTGGGGTCGGCAGGAATCTGTTAAAGAGGCATTTTTTTGTGGTAAATATACAATAAAAGCTTTTAATATCAGTCAATAGCTATTAGTTATTAATGACATTTGGGAATATCACGATTCTCTTATGCCTCTTTAGTCAACATTTTAACATTTTTGAGCGGGCTGCAGATTGAGACTGTAAGCAAAGCTGTTCTCCACCCCTCTGACCTGATTGGTTGTGAGGTGGACGCTGCAGGAATAACATTCACGAGCCCAAACAAAAGTTAGCGTGCAACAATATCGGACAGTAGAAACCAACCAGAAAGTACAGAAAATTGTCTGAATCCTCTTTTGGCTATGACTGCCAACACAAGCAATAAAACTAAGTAAATACCAGAGACTCTGGTGGAATATCAGTGCTTAAAAAGGAGGTAGACCGGACAAGAGCTAAAAAGCCAGGTCAACATCAACGATAGGGGACGCTTCGGGATCTTACAGACCCTGTAACCTTTCTGCTGGACAGGTAAACCGCTTTAACAAAGTAAGTCAAATGTCTGTAACAGAAGTGTTTCTTGTCAAACGGGACCTGCTGCATGTTGTAGCATTTTAGCGCCAATACAACGCTACAACTGTTTACCTCGGGTCCTGGACTATGTCACTTTACCCTAGTTGTAAAAGTCCTGCAAGCACCATGTTTTCTGGTAGTCTGTTGGCATCTACAGTAGCACCAATGCGTTTTACTTTCACGTCGACTGGGCCCCATTTGTAATAATCTGAAGTATTTATACAGGTCCAGGGTTTGAATCCATTCCGCCACCTTTACATCTTAAACTAGACTCTCTTGAGTGAAATACCAGACTGAATTGAGGACCACAGGTTGGTGTGCTGATCACCCTTGAATAAAAAGTTTGAATCCAGGTCTGGCCATCCTGTGGGAACCTTTTTAGTACTGCCTGCCTCCCATTGTTGTTTTTTTGTGCAGAGATTCTGAAAGATTCTCTGAATATTTTAAAGAATTTATAAATGATTTAATCCTAATTCTTTGCAGATTTCAGCCGAGGAACACTTTTTGAATTTTTGATATATTTGCTCATGCAGTCTTTCTCAGAGTGAACTTCCCACAATATTTACTTCAGAGAGAATAGAGAGTAGAGAAGCTTCACAGAGGAGGGGGGTGGACAGTTCTGCACTGTAACTCCAACGCTTCTATTTTAAAGCTGTCTAACTATACCAGATTTTGACTGCTGTTTTTCAAAATACCATCTTGATGAATGATGTCTTGTTTTCATAATTTTAAATTTCACCTTTCAATGATTTTATAACTTGAATGCTGGTTATCTGTTCGCAGTTCACCATATGATGAAAAATAGAAAATAATGAATAAAGAGAAATCTCTTGTATCTCTTTTACTTGAGTTGACAAAGACTGTTTGTTTGCTTACCACTGAGCCACTTGGAGTTGTGTTGATCTGTGCGCACTGCATTCCTCTTAGTTAGGCTCCTGAAGATGGCAGCATCTGTCCCCATGAAGTCGATGTACATGCCCGAGAACAGCTCCTGGTCTGCAGGAATCAAACGCAGATAAATCAACAAAATGTTTTACAAATTCATAGAGCCTCATAAAGCAAATTTCATAAAAGAAAGTAAAACTAGAAACTAAGAAAATATTGAATTTCTCTGAATTCGTGAAGGTTAAAGGAGAAGACAACACATGAATCTGTGACGTAGTTTACACTCTGTGTGTGTTCTGCTGCTAATAAGCAGCTTTGTTCTCGCCACCATCGGCGTCATGCTTTTTATCATTCCTTTACTCTCACTTCACTACCCATCAGTTCCAGGCCATGTGTTCTGGAGGATTCAGGGTATGTGGCCTGAGTCCAAGCTGGCCCGCTAAGCAGCGAGTGTCGACAGCGCACAGACGGACACAGGGAGTCCAAAACATGACGATGACAGAGATGGGGCCTGATTTTATCAAGTCCAGAGACTATGTCTGGTTGTTCTCTGCAGCGCTGCATGATAACCGTGGTGTGCCTTTGACCCTGACTCTATTTGGCTCAGCTCTTTCCTCTTCTGCTCCTTCAGGTTATTCTACCCTCCCCTCTGCCCCCTCCCCCCCAGGGTGTCTCTGAGGGCGCTCACTCGCTGGCAGGGGTGCTGCGCTCAGGTGTCAGAAAGCAGAGCTGAGGTGCAATGTGTCACCCTTAGCGTGTCAACAGCAACCCAACACTGCTCAACTAATCAGGGATCAAAGAGAGGGAACGGGGACGAGAGAAGGGGCAAAACAACACTCCTTTCATGCTACCAATATAATTATTCATCTCAAGAACGGTCATGACTAAGACTTTTGAGATGTAGGAACAAAAAGTACCTCTCTGTTACAGCCGTTTGACAATGAAATATAGCAACAACCGGCCAAAGTTAAAGCTCCTATAAGGAATTTTTTCATGCTCAAGAAATAAACTGAAATTCATACTGCTACCTTTGCATGATATACAAAAGCAAACAAGACTGTTTTTACAACTACCGCCTTAACAAATACTACAGAACCTGGACTGTCAAAAGTCAGCAGGGTGAGATCTTATAATTGCCTGAACATGGAGAGGACAAAATAAGCAAACGCTGCTTTGTTCAAGGGCCACAAAAATTGACACAAACCAAAAGTTCCTGACAGGAGCTTTAAAGGCGCTGAACAGGAAAATAATGTAATTTATATCTCTTGAGAAGCCAGCTTTTTGGTATCCATATAAGTTGGATAATGTGCATTCTTAAGTTTTACATGCTCAAGCGCTTTAAAGCTTCTGTGAGGAACTTTAGGTTTGTGTTAATTTTGGCGCCCCCTGTGGACAAAGCCTATTTGCTTCTCTTGCCTTCAAATAGTGACATAAGACAAAAAAAATCTCACCTTGCTGGCTTTTGACAGTGAAATTGATCGATTTTTGACTTGGCTCATTTTAGAGTCAGCCTCAAGTGGCCATACATGGAACTGCAACATTTCTGAAGTGGTTCCTTTTTTCTGTCCTACATTTGACCTTTTTAAGGGCATGTCGTATTTCGACATTTCTTCCGAGGTTTTAAAGCGGCTTAAATTATGAGGGCGGAGGTAGCAGTGACTTACTGAGCATGACGGAGACTGTGTTCACTTGAGGGTTGAAGGAGCACCTCCCTTTCCCAGATTCGCTTCTTGAGTCAATGTGAAATACCTGTTCCTGTTAGGGAGAAAAGAGGAAGTAAGACAATTTGGAGACAGTTTTATATGAAAAGTCATTCTGTCTAGTGGCCTCTAACACAATAAAACTTTACATATAGGCAAAAAAATGTCCCACAAGGTAGTCACACTCATGTTTCTTTCCCTTTAGAAGTTCTGGCGTGGGCTACTTTAACTGGCCCGTGTTGGACAACAATAAAAATGTCACTCAGATAAATCCCAATAAAATATTAAATCTAATACAAAGGGTTTTGAGAGGCATTTGGAGACAGGAACTTAAAAGACACTCAACACAATCAGCACTATGTAAATATGGTACTTTGGATGTCTATAATGTTAGATTGCTTTATTGTAAATTGCATATAAGATACTTTAATTATCGTAAAAAAGGTCTCACAAGGTGTCTGCTCATGTTTCCCTCCCTCTTGGATTTGAGGATCCTCAAAAACACTCCTGACCCGGTCTATCTTTATGGGCCAATGTCGAACAATAAAAACTATTTTCCATTTGGGAAGGGGAGGAATTTCTCCGCTCGTATGTTGGATGGCCATCTCTCTATCTGAAGTGGAACAGCTGCTAAGTTTTAGCCCTACCTTATGGCAGACCGGATGCTTCAATTTCCTCTTATAGTAACCTGGGTAAATTATAGGGCTTCTTCTCCCACCCAATTTTGATCTGACCCTCTGTGGTGATACAACTGCCTTGGATTGAATGAGACTGACATCAGCAGAGGTGGATTTTCTGGGAAAATAAGTCTGCCTGCCAAAAAGTACTGAGTCCATCTGGTAGAGTCTGTCACTGAAGTCTGCACTGCAAAAATAGTTTTTTTTTTTTCCAAGTTATGTGATGTGACACGGTTCAGTAAGGCGCCAGTCTACTGAAAACCTATAAGGTTGTATAGGTCGATGATGCACTTGCTGAAAAATGGGCCATTTCAGCTCATCCAATGATACAATTTAAATAAATGTCTGCAAAATCAAAGAATTTGTTGAACTAGTTGGCTCAATGTGGACTCATCGATGAAAGACAGTGTATTTGCTCTGCTCTTGGGCTTTTTGACATGAAAATAACAAACCGTGTCTGTGCTACACACTGGCTACCAAGGCCAAACAAACAAAACTCTACTTTCTGAAACAAGTAATCCAACACTATCAAAGTTTTCAACTAAATCAAAGACCTGACACTTATTGCAATTTGTCTGAGAGGTGCAAATCATTGGCAAAAGAGTGTAGCTCAACTTTTCTGCAATCTCGTCAAGTTTTAAGCTGTCTTTGAGTCGAGGGACAGGGCTTACTGTTGAGGTCTGCACTCAGCTGTCCTCCTTCAGCTAACAAATTCCTTTTCTTGAAAAACCAACATGTTTGACCTCCAAAGTTGCAAGCAGTGCAGTGTAACTTTCAAACAAACCCGCTAAATGACAAAACGGAGCCGCAGTGTGGAAAGAGTGGGGCTGTGAGTGCTCTCGCTCTGCTTATTAGTGCCTGGCAGCCTTCAGCAGTCTGTGGCTAAATGTTATTCACCCAGTGAGCACTTTTCTCCTGGAGGGCTTTCCTGCTCTCGCTTACAGATCCGTGCGGCCGGAGATGAGAGCAGAGGAATCAGCTCTTTATCCGCGGCACAAGAGTAACATTTTCTCCCTCTTATCCTCAGCTTCTCCTCCCATGTGGCATTACATTAAAAAACTCTCAACACAGCATTGTGAAATCAACTGTTTCACCACATAGAGGTTATTGTTAAGTCTTTTCAGTCCAGGCAAAGATTGTTCTTGTTGATGGAAACAACTGTAATCTGATGCTACACATGAATACAACATTAGGAAGGTCATATTGTGAGGAGATTAGTGCAATTTGTGCCCTTGGTATGTCCATCTTTGACAATTTTCTATTTGTTTGTACATCTAAAGACAATAAGTTCATTTTTAGCTGATAGAAAGTGACACTAAATATCAATCTTTACTTTTGGCCTAATGTGTTTAATGATGATGTAAACCTCCAAATACTAACATTAATGATAAATAACTGCATTAATTACACTAAAAAAAGTCTTATTGGGGCATTTTCATTTATGTGGAGTCTCTTTTGCACAAAAGTGTTTTTATTTACTCACTCTGGGTGGCAGCATTCTCATTACTATGATTTTATTGTGCTTCAGGGCTGAATTAACAACCCACGCTTCAAGTGCTTTTACAGGTAACTAAAGAAGATGAGAGCTTCGCTTTACTGTCCCATTGGAGTAATAATCACATTAACCTCTTAAATAAAGTCAAGCATGTGTATTTTTTTAATAACCCCTGGGGCGAACGTACAAACTCTTGTACAGCTCTCCATTTCAAGCTTCAAAGGACCAAACCTCCTTTACTTTTTGGTCAATTTTAGAATCCATCAGCAACATATTAAGAATTAATTCCTCAATTATAGAATTTATAGGTACTTTTCAAGGCTTTGTTTGCAATGTGTCATTTGGCTGACTCTGTTGTGTCTTAAAGTTTATTATGGGATGACAACAGTGACTTTAGCTCTTTATTTCAAGCTTCAAATGACCAAACTTCCTTTACTTTTTGGCCAATTTTAGAACCCATCAACAACATGTTAAGATTGAATTCCTACATCATAGGATTTATAGGCATTTTTGAAGGTTTGTTCGCGATGTGTCATTCGGCTAACTCTGGTGTGTCCCAAAGTTTATTATGGGACAACAACAGTGACTTTACTGGGGAACACATGGGGGGGTTGCTCTGTAGCTCCTCAACAGCTCCATTCATGACAGTGTAAACTAACGAGCCAGCGTCACCAAAACATGGTTTATACAGTCTAGAGTTTGTATATGTAATGAAGTGAATCCGTCATCAGGAGCCCACCTCCGGCCTGCGGCCCCGGTTGATGTACACACAGACGGGACTGTAGGCTCCGCTGCCGCACATGAACAGATGAGTTCTGTTGTAAGGCTGCACCACTCGGATAAAGTTCCCACAGCCGTGCTGGAAATGGAGATAAACAGAAGAGAAGAGGCGCACAGAAAGTTCAGTAGGTCAGGAAAAACAATAAAAACATCTCTCACATAAAACACAGTGAAACGTGACTTAATGCACTTGTAAACATAAGAGAGGATATGGTCTATTTTTTTTAAAATCTCTGCTTAAGTTCATATTCCATCCGAGGGAGTAGCTCAAACTTATCACACTCGTAGTGACTGTTATACAATCACTTGCTGCATAGTCATCCCACAGCACACAGGTCTGGTATTAGGGCCAGTGGAAAAAGTATCACTATATACTGTATGTAATATATCTAGGTAAAGCAGATACCGATCCCCCAGCATGTCTGCTTTCACTTCCCAAACAGCAGCAGAGCTTGACTTTGTGGTTTGTTAAGCTTGAGGTTGCAGAGAACGAGGAGGGAATGGAAGAAAAGAAACAGGGAGGAGAGGAAGACGTATCCAGGGAGCCGTCAAGAACTTGGCTGTGGCTGCAGGAATGGCAGCTGCTGCAGATCACGGTCACTGCACAGCTCCGCTGAGAGCGGGCCATGAAAAAACAACAGAATTTTTACCATCACACCCATTTCTGTAATTTATCCTTCTTCTCTGTCTCTTTTGCTTTCCACTAACTTTTAACACCAAGTTATCTCATGACACGCATTAGGTCTCCGGTCTACAGCGGTGGAACACTAAACCTTTTCTTCTTTGTTCAAGTAGAGGACAGATATTTAGAGAGACAGATTCATGTGGTGTAAAAGAGAAAAAGTTAAAGTTCTTAAAACTGACTCTCGGATGAAGTAAAGTCTGGCCACGGTGAGAAAAATGTTCCTCGCTCCGTCTGTTTAAAGCTAATGGCTGCTTGCATCATAGTTGAGAAAGCACAGCATTACGATTTTCTGCACTGACACCTCTTCACTGCAAGCTAATCTTCGCTGCTATTGCATCATTTTAAAAATGTTTCTGTAAAAACGTCCAAAAAGTGGTGCCAAGGAATTCCGTTTTGTTATTGTCACACCCACTGAGATTGAAATCGGTCTTGATGTCAGAAAAGAAGCAGAAAATTGGGAATAATTTGAATTTTGCATGCCTGTATTAAAGGAGTTGTCTTCCTACTGGTGAATGTCACAACAACTTAAGTTAAAATCAGTCTTTTTGTTAGTAAGACAGGAGGCAAAAATGCTGAATAAAGATGCAAAACTAAAAACACTTGAGATGCAGACATAAAGGTGATGAAATGCACTTCAAAGGATATTCTGCCGTAAAATTTCTTCTTTTCTTCATGAAAATGCGATCAGACCAAGAAACTAAGGCAGAAGAACTACTGCGTCTGCAGCGCAAAATAATTAATGCGATGATTTTTACCTCAAGGAAATGATAAAGTAATGATCATAAATGTTCTTCCTTGAGCTGTGTCACCCCGCACCAGACCGTAATGGACTGGCCTAAAGGTCTCGCTACAAACAAGCGGCTGCTGGAAGAGAGTAGGTGAGTTGTGTTTAGTCTCTTAGCTAAAGAAATTAGGCAAAGTTAAAAAGATGTTTGGTGGATAGTGCTGTGGCTGGGACCCTATATGGACTGTTGATGAAGTTAGGTGCTGTTCTGAGCTTTATTTGTGGTTATAGAGTGGCGTTTTGGTCGAGGTTTGTTTATGGCTCCTCAGACCGGTGTATTGCTATCGTGCGGTCGTTACTAAAGTTGGTATAACTAGAGAAGCAAGCGGTCGGCAACATTCATCTCTCGAGGGGGTGTCTAAATCGGTGTTATGATGTGTTTGACCCTAAATTAATTTTATGCCAAAATATTCCTTTAAGCAAGGAGTCCGTTTTGAGGGTAGACAGTAAAAAGGAAAGATATAAGTGATCATCTGTCTTGTTGGGAAAGCAGCAGGCAGTACTGCAATGAAATTCCCCTTAAATGTTTTTAAGCTAATGACACAATATGCTAACAACAGCTAACAAACTGCATTGAAGATACGAGCCTACTTACAAAATTTGTGACAAAATGTACAGGAGAAGTTAAAGAGATATTAGCAAAATAAAGTCTTAAGTATGGTACCTTAAATCTCTACTTGCTGTACCTCTCTACTTAGAATAGCACACGATGAAGAGTTAGCGACAAATCAGCCAGATTACTTTGTTTTCTATCACATTGTCACATCAAAACAGAGTTTATCCACCAGGCGGTCTGTTCCTCTTGCTCACCTCGACAAAGACGGATCAATTCATGACGTTTTAATAAGGCATGACTTGTTTGAGAAAATAAGGGTCATGATATCTGATGCTTACAAGTGTAACCCAGCCATATTATGTCACTTTCCACAATCTCTTTGTTACGGTGCCAAATAAACAGTGTTCAACTTCACTGTCGAAATTTCGAGCGTGGGTCACGTTGAGTTTAATAGATGGGGTTTTGAAAAAGCGGCAAATGGTCCAAATCACCCTGGTTCATTTGTATTTCTCATTCAATGCCACCCTTGGGCAAAACACAATGTGTGGTCGATCTCTGCTGCCTTGTTTTCGCTCCAGATTCGATAGGAAAGAGCGGAGCCACACAGATGGGAAGGGTGACTGCGGCAGTGGGAAAATTAGGAAACCCACAAAATAGGAAAAGAGACCAAATGAAATATCCTGTGGCGAAAAAGAATCCCAGAGTCGGAAAATGTGACAGAAGCTTGGAAAAACAGACAAGAGAGAAAGAAGAAGAAAGAAGTATTTGAAAGAGGAACCTGCGAGTGAAAACGGGATAACATAAGGGGGAAAGATGGGGCCGATGAGTGGATCCAGACTGAGGTGGTTTGCAGAAATATTTGTGGGATTGTATTCTGCAACTGGGCAGAGCTGTGACTCAGAGCATCACAAATCACCCAAGGATCGGAAATAGCTTCTCCTCTATTCCTGCGACAGCATGTTGTACGAAACTCCAATCCAACTAGTGCAGCTGCTGTCAGGGGGATGGAGAGATGGTGGAGAATGTAGGCCAAACAGGAAGTGCTGGTCGTAGCATGATGCTGTGGATATTAGGGTTTCAATTGATGTAAAAAAGTTTCTACAGAGGTTTTTCTTTAAAAAAACTTCTCCCTCTATTCCCCTGTACTCAGCACTGCAGCATCTATAGGCATCTGTGCCTGTGCCTGTGCTTATCCAAGACAACCCAATTAGACGAGAACAGAAGCGGAGGAGGAATGAGTCCTCTGAGTCCTACTGTATATCTTCATTAAATCTCCTTCCATCTAACAAGTGCTGCTCAGAATCAGGCCGGGTTATAAAATCTCAAAGTCAATGAGCTGTGTCCCATTTGTGAGCTTTGATTCTGTTTGTTTTTCTACCCTCTTCAGTCTGCCCACGCTTGTCTCTATTCCGCAGTGATGCCAGGAGGACTCCAGGCCAGAGGGTGACCCTGGAGACATCTGCTGCCTGTTGCACATGTGGTTCTGGCTTGCTATGGGCTCACAGATGGGAGCGGGAAATCCCAGGAGGTAGCACGTAAGAGTTCTGCTGTGAGCCCACTTGGAGAAGCGGATCTGGGAACAGCTGACAAAACCTTGAGTCCAAATTTTGACCAGGGAAAGTTAGACATGGTGGTTTTTCAGTGGATCCATACACATTATGGACATGCTTATTGATGCTCCTTATACCACAGATGTCATAAAGGCGTATTTCAGACTCTACTTTGTTAATGCTCTAGATATCCCCAGGTGGAGCAAATAAAAAGCCCATCCAGTGGCTGTTATCAATGAAGTGCTCTCTAGATGCTCCTTTAGTGTTTATAATGTCACCTGAATGCCCTTTCAGTTAATATAATGTAAACAAAGCCCCCCTGGATGTCCTTCCAGGGGCTTGGATGTCAATGAAGGGTGTTTGGTTGCCCTTATAGCGGATAGTGTGTCAACAAAGTGCCCTCTGAATGCCCTTCCAATAGACAAGATGTGGTATTAGATAAAATACAAAGCGCTCTCTGGATGCTTACAGTTTCCCCTGTATTCCTTTTCGGTGGCTTAAATGTTAACTGCCTTCTTCTTGCTCTTCCAGAGAATAAAATGTTGTCAAGGTGACTTCTTTCAGCATATCAAATGTAAACAAAGTGTCCTCTCAATGCCTTTAAAGATGATAAAAGTGTGACTTTGTTATTGGATTAGCCTATAACGGACACGATCCCTAACTTGTTGGATGGAAAAACACAGAGAGGACAACAAAAACTTTCAAAAAACTGAGCATACTTACTGTGGGGTCCTTTCCTGCCATTTGGCATTCATCTATCTTGCTTGTAGAAGCAGGCCAAAACACCTGGTACAAAAAAAATTAAAAATAAACACATGAAGGTGTTTAGATAAATGGGAAATCAGCCCAGAAAGCAAGTAACAGATTGAGAGAGATGTAACATATGCCCACGGTGAGGTTTGATCATATTTTGTTTACACAGACAGAAATCACAGGGAAAATGAGAGAGGAAAAAAAAACACCAAAACAAACGCATTAAAAGTTGCAGTTTGGTTAAAAGTGTCTGTAATTAAAGTGAGCTACTGTAAGAGGGAAATATGTGCGTTTTTAAACCCAGGAGAGGTGCTCGAAGGTCTTGTTTGATGAATATATCAAGCAATTTACTGGGGTAAAATGAATTCAGCGCAGCGCTCCCTGGAGAAACCTAAATGCTTTCCCATCTGTTTATGCTCTTCATGCCTGTCAATTACACTGAAGATAACTCCTTCACTGCATGCGGAATCCGTTTTCAGAGTGCTCCAGCATTTTTATGCCACTTTTGAATAACCCTTAAATTGTACTGATGGCTGCAAATGTGTGGTAATTTGCATATCATTGCACTGATTAGAATAAATAGCTCTCTCGCAGTTTTATGTGCCTTACATGGCGTTTATTTCCCTCCTATGCAGCTGGTGAAAAACAGATGCACATTTTGCATAAGGACAAAATATGAATAACAGACCCTAATGATAAGCATCTGCAGACCTTTAGTGTGCCATGGGTGATGTTGTTGATGTCCACTGAGAGGACGTGGTCCTTGCAGCCCACATACATCCTGTCCTGGTCCTCATCCATGTGCAGGATCCTGTAGTCCATTGGCTTGTCTGATATGCTGTAGTGCTCAAAGGACTGGGAGGCCTGAAGGTCTGGGGAACACAAAGAGAAAAAACACATGAGAGTGTTTAAATCCAGAGATTAGATAAAGTGTCTGTTAAAATTAGACTCAAGAGAAACAAGTCCAACGTGATCTCATTTTACAACAACTGTTGATTGGGTTTATATGCATGAGCTCATTTCAAAAGGAAAACTCTGACCAACAACTTTATGGTCTTTTTCAAACAAAGTTTTAGTAGAGCTACTTTGATTTTACACCTTTCTTATGCGAGATAAAAATCTGATTTTGTTGTGGTGTTGTATCATGCTGACTTCACTTTTGTGAAATTTCCAATGACACCCAACAACAAATATTCTGTTTGTGAAACAAAATCCCCGTCCCTCCCCTGTGTTATGTGTATTTCAAGTTAATTGGGCAAATAAATAGTAGTAACATTAACATTAGCAAAAGGAACAAAATCATTTTCAATTTCTAATACCTATAAAAGACAACACGGTTTGTCAAATTCTGTCAATTTTGGTGTGTTAAACCTGATTTTAACTTACTATTTGAAATCAAATTAAACACATTTTGTACATTTTGGGGGATTAATCACCAATAACTTTGATTTTTCAAAAGAACGGACATAATTATTAATTGATTACCAGGTTGATTTAAAGCTAGTAATGTAAAAAGAAAAACACAAAAATGTCAAGGGCCTGTGTCCACTAACAGCTTTATTGCGCTGACAGTACCTATGACCTTAATTTAATTTAATTGACCGTAATTTAAAGAGTCCTTTTAGCGAGTATTAGCGAGATGTCGTCTGCAATCACATAGCAGATTAATTATCCCCCTTGTGCTTGATACTTAAAATAGCTTAACTACTTGGCATTGAAAAGAGGGGCTACTGGCTTAGGCAAATGCTGTCGGTGGAAATAGGCCCTAAATCTCAAAAAGTTTCGATAATGCAAAACTGTCCACATATTTTTAAGTTTTAGTCAAAGTTAGAAAATTTGGGTTAAAATAAAAAATAGATGAATAAATAAAAAGATGCCATAAAGATGTTAATACTTAAGATTTAGCATTTGTCGGACAATCACTGCAGTTAAATTGATCACTTTTATGTATGTCATTTGGCTCAAACTGCAATTCATAGCCAAAAAACCTAATGAACTCTTAATGAGGTCCCCACATCGTGGCTTCAGTTTTCTGGCTGACTCTCTGTGTACTGAATTTCTATACAGTAATGACTTGGCAGTGTATTTTCAGAGGAGCTACAGTACACACTCGATGTAAAAGTCCGCCTGCAAAGTTTCCTCTACTCATTAAGAGTGCACATTGTTCGCACACACCAAGTAAACATTCTCAGATAGTTATTTTCAGCCTATTTGCTCCAGAGATAGAGAACTCTCAACCATACCATCAAAGGCCCTCACTATTAAAGCCAAACTCATGCATATTTATCACTTTTTCAATCTGCGCTGAGAGCAGGGGGTGTGTGGGGGTAATGTAGATCTACAGCCTCCATTTCCTCCCCTCTGCTGACCCTCTTTGAGCTCCCTTTGTGCTTGCTCCTCTAATCAACAAACAGGTTGCCAGTGCTTCGCTTCAATGCCTTGGGCTAAAGTCACATTTTGATTATTGTGTGGCGTACGCTTTTGAGTCTAGGGCCTTTTATCTCAGGGGGAAAGTGGCTTTTCTGTGGCAGCCCTCACTCTGATCACAGGCTGTTGTTCAGCGTGTTCGTCGAAAAAGGCTGGAGTGTTTAACTTCAAATAAAGACAAGTTAACCACTTTAGTCACAGGCTAGTTTCCCACGACTCCTCTTTGTTAAATCTCCTCAGATGGTTAACGTCTTGAAATTAGGACAGGATATTTTTGAACATTTTGTGCAGGGTGAGAGCATCATGTGGCACCCGATGCGACTTTGTGTTTTACCTGGCATGTTAGAGAGAAAATTAAAAGCGAAAACTACCTGTCGAGCAGATGTGTCTTTAATAAAGAGGGACCTTGAAAAGAAGAGATTGCATCAGCCTCATGCTTCAAAGCTGAGGAGATGGCAGATAGCATCAGAGAGAGCTCAGTGGAGAGGCAATATTTTCCCAAACGAAAAGGCTTAAGATGTTACACTCCCTTCTCTGCCGAAGTGTGAGCCACCAAGGGAGACGGACTCTTACAGCTAATTAAAAGCATGCCATGCTCCAAACTCTGCCCCGGGAAGATTAATTTTGAATATCCTCCCAATTTAAACTTGTGGAGGTGATTCAGGAAAACCTCTCAGACCACTACCTGAATTTTAAGAGCTGCCCTTAAAAGGTACCAGCTAAATCATTCAGACAGTTGTTAAAACAGACGGTCTGAGAAGTACTTTGAGTTTTACAATCCTACGCTATAGTCATGGCTACAGGCAGATTTAACTCAGTGGTTCAGCTTAAAGTCTGCGGGCAGAAGCCAAAGAACCATGAAATTATGGGCTGAGGATGTTTGGGGAGAAGCTGTGTGAGAAAAAAGGCATGAGATGACAAAAAAGGTGAGATTTGTTACTGCTCGCTATAACATTTTCAAAGCTACATTGGGTTTGGCTGTAAATGGGGTGAAATGTTTAAGGAGCAGGGTTAGTGATGAAATAGTCAACTATGACAGAATCTTTATAGTTTCAACGCCACTGTTTTGATATGATCGAGCTAATGTCAAAATAGGCAATTGCCCAAAGTATATCATTTTTTTCTTACTATGACATTTTGAAATGTAACTCCAATGTTATCCAATCAATTATTCTATAGGGTGACCATATTCTGACTTCCCAAAAAGAGGACATGACTACATGGGGGCGGAGTCATGGAGGCACATAAAGTTAATTTTGAGAGTTTTTCGGGTCGGATCGAGTGTTTTTTATGTGCTTCTAACTCAGTAAGTCCATGTGACACAAACTACACAAACTGTACAAAACCGTGGACATTTGAAGGATTTTATAAACTTCCCTGGACAAAGACAAAGAGGACATGTCCGCGTAAATGAGGACGTATGGCCACCCTATATTATATAGTTACAAACCTGTGCTCTTATTGGAGACATACTGAATGTTCTTTTGGCTTTGGAAATACTAGTGGGATTATTTAGTCCCCATACAGACTTTGACTTCGTGCTGACCTTACCTCAAGAACAGGGCTTAATTTAAAGATTAGATGTATTTAAAATGCTATATTTCAAAAATATGTTAACTCAATTTGCACTCAGAGGAAAAAAAAGAGACACTCTTTGTATTTTAACCCCCGCCTTACTGTTAATTGATTCGGACAGTTACGGTACACTTGTGTCTTTTTGGCTCTACCTCTGACGACATCCCTCCACATCATTCCACATAGGGAACACGTTGTTCAGAGGGGTGTGGTGTGGGGTGAAATAACTGAGTGACACTTTGGTGAACTCTGTATTGTTTCTGTCAGTGGGGGGAAAAAGGGGATTTCGATTTGAGGGTGGAAGGCTAGTTGAACCTGATGCTTAGCTGCGGCGGTGCGTCATATAGATCACGCTCCTTCCCCTGAACGACAAACCAAAACCCTCTGGAGTCCAAATACCACTGGCTCTGGTGTCTTCTCCGAGCTCTGCTTTCAATCTCTTACAAACAAGTGAGTCATGCCTGCACTGCTGCGGCATTGTGGACCAACATCAAAAGTTCACATTGCCAGATGGTGCACCTGCTCAATCAGGGAGAGGGGCTGATCCGGACAACTGTCAATGTTTTTAATAGTTGTTTCAAGTGCACTTGGACTGAGTGTTTATAAAATCATTGCCAGCTCATAACCTTCGTATGAGGTCTCTGATGACTGATGTTGTAAGCGGGGATTACAAATTTATTCCCTCAGTGGCACCTTGTCAACTTTTTAGTCACTAAACCTCACTGTTTATCAAAAATGATCAAACTTAGACATCAGGAGAGACAGAAAGCAAACAAAACCTATTCTTTTGTGTGTGTTTGTGAAGTAGGAATTCTCGAGACCACATGTGGTTCGTTTGTTGGGCCGACTTTATACGCATTCCTTGTTGTTGAGATCACACGACTTCCCAACAGGGTAGAGCATCGACTGCTCGCGGACATCATTGCTCAGGCATTGTTAAGCAGCTTGTCATGGAGGGTGTTGCTCTTTTGGGATGTGATTTGTTGTCTAGATTTGAAGATGATCAACAGCTGTAATCAAAGATGCCAAGGTGAAGACCACACATTTTAATAGTAGGGTTGTTCAAAGCTGAAGTAATGCGGGTGATGAAGTATCTCTCTGTGTTGTCTTGTTTTTCTTCCTGCTCTCCTCACCGCAGGCGGCAAAGGAAAAGAAACTGAAAAAAGACAGAGAAAGCAGATTTTGAACACCGACAGTTGGTGGGTTTTCTATTATGTATGTGAGCAGGTGGGCCTTACAGCTCCCTGCGGACTTCACAGCAGTCCCCAGTGTCCTGCCTTTGACTTTGAGCTTTGACCCATAGTGCCCCGTCGGCTGGATGGCAGACCGGTGTTGATTCAATTTACCCTGATCCGTGCAGCGGGCAGTGGGGTTAGAAGTGGCGGAAGAGGCAAAGTGGTGACTGGAGAGCTGAGACTTTCTCTGTCTTTGATGTGGGTTTTTTTTTGTCGAAAGTGGTCAAGCGGAAGCAGTACAAAAGCCTTTTGTTAGTCCAGGGGTCATTCAATATTAAAAAGCAGGTCGCTTTCTTTGCTGCGGGAGAGACTGTATGAGCCTAAAGCAGGCTCTTCATGTTGGAGGATGGGCTGTCGGGGATAAAGGGTAAAGGAGCTGATTGATAAAAGAATTTAATTTATTTAAGAGTAATTCATAATTGAAAGTGGGGTGGTACTGCAATGTTAGAGATACATTTGGGTCGTGAGTGGAATGAAAAGAAGATGATGCAGGACTTTGATTTACTCTGCGGTTAAGACTTCTTTCGAACCAGCCACAAACTAAAAACACAGGAACTGATTTGCTACACTACTAAGGTGACCACAGTCTGACCTCCCAAAAAGAGGACACGACTGAGAGTTTTTCGAGTCAGATCGAGTGTCTTTTACACCCTTCTAACTCAGTAAGTCCACGTGATACAAACTCGGAACTTGGTACAAAACTGCGGACATATGAAGTATTTTATAAACTTCCCCGGACAAAGCCGGACAGCCCCCCAAAAAGAGGACATGTCTGGGGAAAAGAGGACATATGGTCACCCTATACACTACCACACTACCAGAACTATCCAAATGCCGTTTTCCCACCCTGTTTACACTTATGTTTAAAAGAGGGGTACATGAAGTTAATATGTGCTTTTATATATACATATAAGTTATATTTTGGGAAATTTTTGGCCATTGCTGGATCTAACACTTGGAGAGGGGAAGGAAAAGACACTTGCCCCACTGATTGGATAAAAACCAACAAACCTAAGATGATTTGTTGGTTAAAAACTGACAACCATTAGACATTTGATTTAAATAAACACCAACAACAACAGTAACAAAAAATCTCTGATTAAAACCAACAACACTCGTTGTATTATTAGGATAAAAACTACGAATCTTGGGATGAATAGTTGGTTTAAACAGACAAACCTTGAACTTCTGGTTTGGTGAAGAAGAGCAAAGATTTGATAAGGTTGAGGTTGATAAACAGTGGGTTAAGGTTTTTAGTTTGGATAAAAACCAAAAACCTAAAACCACTGCTAGGATTAAATTTGAAAAACCTTGGAATAATGGTTGGATAAAAATTAACAAACTTTGGACTTACAGTAGGGTAAACAGCACCAAACAAGTAATATTTATCAAATAAAATGAAACAAACTCTAGATTTTTAGTTTATCAAAAGTCCCCAAAAACCTTGAAGTTCTGTTTCCATGAAAATGAACAACGACAAAAAAAGTTTGGTGTGTTTTTACAGCCAGATTCAATGTTAAACATGTGTTTCATGTTGATTAATCCACTGTTGACATTCAGCCCTTTGGTTCAGCACTTGGTACTTTTTGTTGTGGCTGTCTCATCCGCCTCTAATAAACTGTGGGTGAATCAAATGTTCTCACGGACAAACCCCAACAGGCGACCAGCTTTTGAGTGTGACAAAGTTAAAAGATCATACCCGTATCTGTTTGTGGTCAAAAACTAAGTGGAAACAGAAGAAAATGTGGAAAACAGGAAGGACCCTATCATTGTGCCTCTATTTGTGTGACAACAATTAGAGTGCAGAGGGCACTGCAACGCTGTCTCAGCTGCTTCTTTTCGGTCATAATTATACTGTTTTACCAGGACAGGAAAGGCATCAACCACAAGAAAGACTCACTCAGGTTTTTAAGATTCCCTGACCAGACCAAAATTGTCTGACTGATCGAATATCATAGTCCAACAGTGATGCTTCTCGCAGTAAACAACGATCCCATAGTTCTTCTTTGGAGTGCTGTACAAGGAGTGGTTTGTTGTCGTGCTACAGTGTAAAAATTAGAGATGCGCAGTGGCTGGAAAATATGTGGGATCTTCATGAGAGAGGCAACTGTAGTTTTGGACCGCCCGTGACCGAGGTTTGAGGATTCTGTGCCAAGCGTCTGAGTTGGTGTCACATCAACATCTCATGCTTTTTCGCCCGGTTTGTCAGGAGATAGCTACATGAGATGAAAGATGTTTTTTTTTGAAGAGAAGAGCGAGGAGAGAACTGTGGTTAAGACTGAAAAGCACAGCTGTTGTTAATGACATTCCCCCTGCTGTCCGCCAAATGAAGGAGTCACCTCGTGAAAATCCATCAGCCGAGACTTCTCCATCGACATGAAAAGGCAATAAAATCAGCGTGAAGCAACAATATGGGATAATTTTGTCAGAACATAGCTGAACCCTTGTGGAGGAGGGAGGAACAGCTTTGATCAAATTGACGGGATGTTTGGAGTGTTGAGTTTTTTCATTAACACCAGTGTCTGAACATAAACCAAATGGTCCCTGCAGCTAATTAACACTTCAGGGTTGGACATGGGGCTGATTAAAAACCAGCCTTGGTGTCTCCAATGAAAATCAGCTCTCATCAATTGGTTTTGTACCTGAAAGGCAAGCATGAATAAATAAACTCCATGCTAATGAGGCTTGCTTGCCATTCAGTTCAAGGAGAACCTGTCCCGCGGTTGTTAGGGGCAGCCAGTGGGAGGACCCCAATCACCCGCCTTGATAAATATTGAAGCAGGGGCTTATACCGCCCCCTTGCAATTAATCTCTCCTTGCAAGATGGAGTGGGTTTCATCATGGAGGCTTGACTTCAAACCCGGTGCCAAATACCATTGGTCTTTGTCCGGATGATGCTAAGAGCTCTTCAGGTTCAGTTCTGGATGGTTGCACTTACCTAACACATGCTACCCCAGGAAAAGACTTTATCCCGGCAACTGACAGGCCCCTCCAGAGATAAGTAATGGCTGTTGGCGAATGGTCCGGCCAACCGCTTTCCTCAAGGGACTATCCTGATGGTATACAGTAATGACTGGTAGTGTATACAAATGTCAGAGGGGAAGCTAAGGTGTCATTTAGTGCGTGGGGACCACCCAGGAGGTCTTGCCTGGTTGACAGAGTCGTCCGATTGTCTGTCCAACAGACATACCCAACATTCCCAGGCAGTTCTCAAAGTGCAAACAGCATCGGCAGACTTACTGTACTGAAACTACTTGTCATGGAAAGAGGCCAGAGCTGGCTCACAGAGGGGAGGCTTCATATTGACTGTGTCTCATTAATTTTCCAATTGTTGTCTGTCGCCGATCATCTATATCCAGACATCTGTAATGGGAATCATATGGCTGGGCTGAATGCCTGAGCTCCTACACATGCCTTCTCTCACTCTGGCTTCCCAAAGCAGACGCAGCATCTAAATATGACATGTGAGCGCAGAGTGTATTTTCTCCCTTGGCGTTGCGTGCCTGTGTTTGTGCAGAGTGATGTTATCCAGCACCAATGTCAACCTCTGGTTTCATTGCACGGTTGACCTGCTAAGGTGTTGGCTAATATTCCCTGTAGGAGTCGAAACTCAAGATGACAACCTGTCCATCATGCGGCCGGCTAGTTTGTGTTCCCAAAGCTCCAATTAGCACCTGGCCTCCCCTTCACATGTCACCAGCAGCCGCTCTTTTGCTTAGAATCAACCCCTACTTGACATCTTAGCCGTGACCTCTCACCTGCCAACACCAGGAGCCTCTAGTTACTGCTCATCCCAAGTGGACTGTAAATCTCTGTGTTTCACTGTCAGGGAGGCTCTCGTAGAGACTCTTACGGCAAGGGGAGGCTCGCAGGAGATTCGGGTCAGTGGACTCCCAGAGTTGATGTGTTTACTGGAGATGGAGGATGGCCAAAAGAAAAACGAAAAAAGGCCTAAGCAGGTGGGACTCATCTCTGACATCTTCAAGGCTGAAACTGTATGCTACATAATTTTTATGTCTCTGTGGTGCTGAGTGAAGGCTCACAAAGGCAGATGCACCACTGAAACTTTTGCAGCTGTCTACGGATGAGCTTGTTTTCTACTCAATTTTGATCAAGGGGCTTAAAATTTCAGTTCAAGCTGTTTCAAGAGAAAGTGAAAACCTCCTCTGCTATTGACACTAAGAATGCATGATTTGACTTTTTCCAGTCTTGACATTTTTGCATTTTGCGACTGAATTCTCCACAGCTGAAGAGTGTGAAACATCAGCACGGCTAATCCTCATCGATGCTTTTGCCAGCTTGCTTGGCTGCACTAATTGCGCTGCCTTGTAATTATTGGCGGGCCACATACTGCCATCTACAGTTTTTGAGTGTGAAGGCTTGTTAACAAGAAGACAAACACAAAACTTACTGATGTTTTCATAAGATGGAATCTGATTATTGAAATATTGAACAAAAAATAACAATTTATTGTAAAGATATTTATTGTTTATAGGGTTGCAAAGGGGCAGAAAATTTCTGGTAAATTTCTGGCAAATTTCCAGAAACTTTCCATGGGTAGTTAAGCCTGGGAATTTTGGAAATATTCCAAATTGGAAACTGTACAATAAGATAACAAAAACTCTTGTAAAACACTAATGCAATGGCATGAAAAGAAATGTAGTTGGTTAAACAACTGGAGTGGTCTTAAATATTTGACAACTGATTTATAAATTATTATATGGTTTCAGAAGGAGTCAGAAGAGACAGCATCACATTTGAGGTAGCCACCACCACCATAATAAGCTAGCCCCTTAAATGGTCAATGAACTGAAAAATAGTTTACATTTAGCATCCATTTTCAAGTTAAATATTAATACTATTATAGATCAAATATATTTACCCCATAATATTATCAAAACTTACTTGACTTTATACAGTCTGTGGGCTCAAATGTCTTTGTGATTGAGGAGGGCACTTGCATTAAATCTGGTTGTTTAGGTCAAGATTACGCTACAATATATTTTCCCCAACTACATTTAAATTCCCTGTTGAGGGTCAACCTTATACCAGATTTATTCTCGTTAATTCCCATTAATTCCCATGGAAAGTTTCCAACTTTGAAAATTCCCGGTATTTTGTAACCCTAATTGTGCATCTCTTCCTGAAATACTTCGGAGAGCTCCAACCATAGAGTAGACATTGGGTAATTAAAAAAACTGCCCCCTGCCAAAATATGCGGTTACACGGAGAAGCATACCAAAACTTGTATTTATCATTTTGTAAACATTAGTTATTGATTTGTTATAACCCCAACCCTAAACCCAAGGATTTTCCAGCTGACCTTGGCAATCCCTAAAGAGACACCACCTTTGTTTATATTAATGGCCATTGATTACCTTTCAACATGTTGCGCAGAGGGAATACTAAAACATTCATCAGAGCTAGCAAGGTCAGACGCAGGAATGGCTTCACACAGATGGACAGGCGCAAAGAGGCAGACTGAAAGAGGAGCAGTCAAACATCTCAAATGCTGTAAGCCCTGAGGCAGTGCAGGCTGGAGCTGGAGCGACCCGCTAACGGAAACTGAACTGGCGCTGCAACTCAGGCAATTAGATGGACATCTTAAGACATCAGTCTAGGGAAAACGCACGAATGCACAAAGAATAGCTCTCCTCTTACCATGAGTGCTTGGACAGCACACACACACGCATGCTTTGCTAACCAATTGCTATTTGCAGCCTGCCTCTGTATGCCCTTGTTGACAGTTCTGACAGGCCTGTACTTTACCCTGTAAATAACTCTCCATAATCACGGAGCGTCGCTGATTGTGCTTTAACATGCCTGATTATGTTTACCACTGTAAAGTTTAGAGGCTAATGTGCAGGTTTGATGCAAAACAGAGACAAGACGATGTCTCATATTAGAAAGGAATTAACCTTAAGGCACAGACACTGACATCCTGGCCTCCCTCTGGGTTAATTGTTGACATTTTGACCTCAAGGTGGCCTCTAAAGAAGACCCAACTTATAAGCGTCTCACTGGGCTAAGTGAAAAATCCTTATGAAAGCTTAAACTTTAAACCAATGGCGAATTCTTTGACCCTGTTAATCTTAAGGGTTTAATCTGAGATATTACAAGGGATAAATGTAAATTTGTCCAGGACTGCCCCAGTGGATATTCCTCCAAAGGAATCCAGAAAATGTACGACTGTTTAGATTGATGGGAATCTTGAAATTGTTCAGTTTATGGGCTTCCTGAGCTGCACAAGCAAGCTTGAAGATTTTATGTCCTTACTTGCCAAGCAAGAAAACCACATAGTTTTAACAATGAAAGAGCAGAAAGTGTAGCCTCGAAATGCAATCAAGTTTAGGAAGGAATGCACCACAGGGCACTTAGGGCAGACAAACACACTCTTTCTCTGACAGTGATACACGTACCCCTCAGCAAACCCTCACCATTGAGTAAACATCCTCAACAGACTGGCGTCCACCTGCAGTGTAAGTACAGTATCATTGCTGTGTGAATGATGGGGGACGAGTGGGGGGTATTAATGAGGCATGATAAAAGAATGAAGGGGTCTGGTGTACCCTGCTTCTTGGATCCCAACCCTTGGTTGTGAACGCAAACCATGTGGCTCATACCAGCGTGAGAGAGTGCTCATTAAGCCTCAGACGTCATCTTAATCAATCTCTTCACAGCTCGGCCCTCAGCCAGACATATGTGCCAAATCTACGTCCTCCTCTCAAAACCACGCACGGACCGTCTGACTTCAAAATAAACATCTTTCATGGTTGGCGTTCATATATTCATATACTTAAATTAATACAGTGTTGTGTGATGGGGTTTTGCCAGAACAGTTTGTCCGCTGATGAAGTTAAATGATCCAGATCATAAACACAGACCGCTGCTCTGACAGCCAGCTCGAGGGATAAATGAGGCTGAATTTCTGATCCTGCCATTGCTGGAACAGAAATTTGGCAACAGTAAGAGCAAAACAGGATACAGTAGCAGTAGCAATAAGATTCATATTCCATATGCTGTGTTTCTAAGCAATAAAGTACTCGTCTTCCAATTGAAAGCCCACAAGTGTATACAATTCAGGAGCAGTGTGTTATATCAAATAGGTAGTATTTATGCAACACATATTTTCAAAGTTATCGGCTCGTAATTAATTAATTAATGCTGATAGGTAATTAAAACCACCAGGAAACTAGTGTTTTGTCATAGTTAGCTTACTGTCTTTAACCACTGTCCCTGCTAGTGTTTGGCAAAGGTTTACATTTTAGACAGAAAAGACTGTTGTTCACAACTTCCACAGAGAAAAGTCACAGTAAAATACACAATTTATTCTCAGTGTCAGAGATTCTCTAAGCCATAATATTACAGCATCATTACTGTGTCAGCCTGTTCCATCTTATCTTATTAGTGTTTGATATGTCGAATCACCTTGGCTGGTATCATCGTTATCTTTAGTCTTATTGTTAGAATCTGGCGTAATATTCAGATTTAAACTGTTCTGGTAGGATTAACATCCAGAATAGTAACTCAACAACCAAGGCAGACTGAGAATAATAAGTCTAACAGCTATCAGTCTACCCTGAAGTCACGTCTCTTATCTAGCCCCAAACTGAACACCCTGAAGTAAATAAAAACCTGTCAAAAACTCCACAGCACTCGACCCTGTGGAGCAACAGTGATGCTTTGTTCGCTTAACTTTAGCAATTGCTGGCAAACTAGTTTATGAGTACTCAGCAACTGTACTATGTTTATGCTAGCTCAAGCCGAGTTAGCACTAGCTCACACCATCGCAATTAAAGTACATCAGCTTTAGCCTGAGTGAGCATTACATCAATACAGTCACCGAGCGGCTACGAAGGTTTGGTTTGTTTGAGAGGTGGCGGTGTTCTATCAAATTCACGTGAAACAACACATTTCGTTAAGGCACACAAGTTGGACAATCGATTTTACATTTTAAGAAGCTTTGCCGTCCTTGTCACCAAATCTAACCAGGGGTGCCAGACCTGTGGGGGCTGAAACTCAGCTCCCACAGAAAAGGTTGACAAAGTCTCTGCTGCAGACGTGCGGGTTCAAACCTCTCTATGCACAAACTCATTCCTTCTTATTAGCATTCAACCCTCATTCTGACACCAAGTTAATGTTGAGGTGAGAGATATTTCCAGCATACATACAGAGGTAATCATACCTTATCACAGCGGGGATCTCAAAATAGTTTTGCTGTACAGAAGGGGGCCTGCAGTTCATTATCCGAGCCACGGAAGAGAAAGGCACCACTTGAAAGTTTATTATTTGGGTTAGCAGCATTCTCACTGTTTATTATGCGGTTTTAATTGTGGTCTGGCTGTGTTCGCCTGAGGAGCACAAGAGTAAGCAGAGCGAGGGAGAGACAGGAATGTCAGAGACAGCAACTTCTCTGCAGGACGCGAGGCTGCGCCGAGAGTCCCGTGAACCTGCCTTACCCCTGGATTGGATTTCAGCAGTGATATGAAGAGAAAAAGGAGGAGTGGGGGGAGTCGGATCTTAGAGATCTCTTTCCAACTTGAGCGTTTAGCTCATCGGTTTATTTTCTTGGGTTAGTTCATTCCAGCTTGTGATCATTAACAGGTCTTCACATCTGGGAGAAGAACGAGCCAGACTTCAGGGCTAACCTTTAGGCCACCCAGCAGGTGCCAAACCACCTGCTCCTTCTTCCCCTCCAGGACACCACTTTTCCAGTCTTCGTCCATGACTCTCCATTCATCTTTATCGCTGCTTTGGATGGAGCCCAAACTCCCTGAATTCCTCTTGATTTCAAGTGCTTGTGGGGGAAACAAGCCTGAAACTTGCAGCCAAACAGCTGATACTCAAAATTCTTTACTACAACCAAGAGAATTATAACCTGCGTCTACCTTCACGATTTTGAACTTTAACAAACTTTTCTAAAGTAGAAGTATAAATTTCGTTACAGTTAGCTCTTCCCCACAGTACTTTTATTTATTCATGACAGTTATTGTCTATACTGCTATTTTGCGACAGTCCTGTTAAAAAATTTGGCATCCAAGGAACAAGAGGATTGTTGAAAGGGTAAAATTTTACCTTCAATCTTTATCTTTTCAGTATTGCGGGAAAGTATTACTTTAATATTCGATGTGCTTACTCATTTGAGATTATTCTGTATAATGTTCATAGTGATGCCCGATAGAATTCTCTGAAATAACACATTTTGAAATAGTTATACTACCACGCTACGGTAAAATTGTTATATTTTTTATGATACCAGCCCATGCCTAGTCTGTTTCTTCATGAATTAACCACTGGTGAAACACACCCATACTGTTCATATCCCAGATGGAAATCACATCTATTGTCTGGTAAAGAATAGGTGCACTGTAGCTTCAAACGTCTCCTTTTATGGTCCTCACTGCAGCGACTACATATCAGATCTAATCCGGACTCTGAATGGAAATTGTGGGTTTCAGGATTACAGAGAATGGCTCATTTTCAGCACGCTGACCTCTGACCTTTTAAGCTGGCTATTTGGAAACACTGGAGGAGCCAGAAATGAGTGAGTGGAATGATTTAAGTTATCAAAACTGAACATATAAATGTGGAGATGAAGTTTTTTTCTCCCTAATTTGTCTGCAGCAATGAGAATGAAGTCTACAGTTTATACAGGAACAGACTGCAGGTTGGTTTTGTTATGACGAGTTGGACAATCACTGGAAAAGGAAAGTACAAAGGAAAGGAAAGGAAAGACAGATGAAATAATAATGATCCTACGGGGAAAGAATGAGACCAAATTGGGGAAAGACTTGGCACAGCGACGCAAATCTGAAGGGAAAACACTTGAACTTCACCTGCTTTAGCCCGTATTAAAAGACTTTATTAACTCGCTGCAGATACCTTACTGACAGACAGCCTCAGCTGCAAGAGCTAGTGAAAGGTGATCAAACATCTCCTTCAACCACTGCAAGCTATCTGGCCACCGCGGAACATATTACTGCACCACTCCTGGACATGGTTTTGGGGGCGATCGGCCAGCTCATCCACCGACCCGCGCCACACTCTCGTTTCATGGGGGGGGCATCAAAGATTCATAAAAACAATCTATGTCAAAGAAATGAAATGAGACAAGGGGGATCAAAACGAGAGGCAGCAACAATGCCCAGAGGTCCGCAGCATGGTGGGGTGTGATTAAAGTTTAACAAGGACCAGATTCAGAGGAGTTCTTACAAGCTGTGCCCCCTCCTGCAGAGCGCTGACTTTTTGCTGACACACATTAGGACAAAGAATGGATGAGGGGTCTCCCCAAACCTGAGCAAGAAGGCCTGAGGTGTGTGTGATTTAAATGTTTCCAGCCATACTCACTTTTGATTTTTATCCGACCAAAGAAAACAGCTGTTTTCCAAATAACTGCAGAGTTTGCTTAGCTGCGTACTACTCCATAATGGTGCTCCCACACGGCCTGCCTTCATTATTAAGCATTTGTTTAGCATTACTGCCCTGCACACATGGTATCGCTGCATCCTCATTACAACTCCAGAGACACACAACAACGGGAAAAGAGCCAAGTTGACCGTGTAGATTCATTTCAGGGAGCAGGCTTTTTTCTTACCCTCAAAGGAAAGGAAGACTCTTGGCTGAGGCTGAGGGAGGCTGGAAACTCCGCTGGAGAGGAGAGAGAGAGCCAGGAGGGAAAGTGCCATAGCTGACACCAGAGGTGGCCTGGCCAACCCCCCTGGCCTGCCCATGACTGCGCTGCTCAGCAAGAACGACCAGTGTTCCACTACCTGTTAAGGATATAAGACAGAGAAAGTCAAAAATGTGTGTGATGTTTTCTGGCTTCAAAAAGCAGACACAGTTAAGAAAACAAACACAGTGTATCCAAGGCCATCTTAAAACTAACTTAAATTAACATTAAAGTTGTCGTAAAATACATATGTAAGCTAGCTAGCTAACGTTGAGAGTAGACCATTTTGAAAGACCACATAACTTCTTCAAAATAAGACAAACTTAAATAAAAACGCTTAAATATTTGCTTGAGTCTTGTAAGCAATCACAGCCACCAACACTTGAGTTAACCAATTTGAAAAGAGATTCAAAGATGCCAAAAACTAAGTAAGGTAGCGCTGTTGAAGTTCTAAGCTAGCCAAGTATTTTGAAAAGCTGACTTTGTTAAATTCAAAAAGTTTCCATGGCTATTTATTGACTGACAGTTACCTTAAATAAGAATGGTAAGTGTGTGGCTTTGAAATGGTAACGATAAGGGCTGGGCGATTTTATGATCGTGATAAATTTCAGTTCAATCACGCTGATCAGCTGTGAGCATATTTACTCGATCAAACATAGCAGAAGTGTGCGTCACAACAGCCAATCAGAGTCGATCTTTTCCTGCTCACTTCTGTAAGTTGTCAGAGAAGTAAACAGGATAAGTAAACAGAATGACAGAATGTAGAGCTTTCTCCAAAGTAAAGTTGAACAATTAAGCCGATGTGTAAGGTATGTCGGCGATCGGTGCGCTCAAAAACCGGCAACACAACAAATCTGTTAAATCATTTGAAGAGGTACTTCCCCAGTGATTATGCGGAAAGCATGAAAATGTGAGCGGAGTCTGTACAGCCTGTCACTGCTGATGGCACTAGTAGCATTAGCAGTTTAGCTACAACTAGCAGTGCAGCCACCAGACCAGAGCAGCTACTAATCTTATCACCTACGTTTACATCATTTAATGTTTACATTTCAAGGCGTCTTCATAATCCCTGAGGGGGCGATCTGTTATTTTGGGTTCTGCATACCTGCAGAAACACTCAGCACTGTAAACTAGTTCACTGAATTATTAATCATTATTTATCTCCATTTGTTGTACTGTTGAGTTAAAATGGTTTTTATATTTTTCTATGTTTATCTTATTCAATTTGCTTCTATATTTACTTTGTATGTTAAAAAATGTTGAACTAATCTCTAGTTTCTTTAGTTTTTAGTACAGCTGCTTTAAAACTGGCAGTTAAAAAAAAACGTGTTAATAATCGAGATTGGACAATATGCCAAAATATATCTTTTTTTTTTTTTTTTGCCAAATTGCCCAGTCCTAATAACGGTTAATGGTACCTATATCATAGTACATGGCTGGTATGTTAAAGGGTTATCAGAGCTGTTAGTTTTATCTGTAAATAAAGTTGACAAAATACTTCAATGTCCAATAAACCAATGAACAAAAAGAATGTGAAATACTCATACAAGTTAATCATTAAAATAACATCTATTGTTATTCCTCCCTTTGTTTACTGCTGGCAGACAGAATGGAGACACAGATGAGAGGACGAGATGTCAGTAAGAACCCTTCACTTACTGTATCCTTGCTATATACCTCTCTTAAATATGAATGAGTTAAATCTGCACAAAAGAGCTGCTGGAGAAACTCTCTCCTCAGCCTCCTCCTGTTCCTTTTTCCATAACAGGACAAGAGCAGCTACATAATTGATGGCAGCAGGTACTGTATTGCCTGCGGGACACTTACTCCTGCAATGCAAAACTCATCTACTGAAGAAAGGCTGTTTTAAGCACCAAAACTGGCAGTTACACTTCCTTACACACACAAAACACATCACACTAAACAAAGACACTGTCCATTTTACATGCAGAAAGAAAACAATATTTGTGCAAGGGCTGAATCTCTGCTCTCATGGCTTATAGATGCACAATAAAAAATTGATGTCTGAGAGACAGCAGAGCTCCGTGATTGCTATGAAAATTTCAGTTTGGGGTGTAGTGTACAAATAGGTTGAGATATGGGCGTGTGTGGTGGAGTGAGGCGTGACTGATATATAGCCGAGGTGGAATGGTATAGTTCAGGTGCATACGGATAACAGATGGAAACTGCAGAGGAACAAGAACTCTTTGGCTGCACTTGAGAGGAATAAAACAGCGTGGGGCCCTGGCCGCTGTACTGCAGCCCTTCTCCTCCTGCTGCATCATCCACTCACAAACATACACACCCTCACCCCAGAGCTTGCTTCAACTGGGGTGTCTCCAACAACGTTAGCCTCCAGGCAGATGGCTCTATTGACCCTGTCCTGAGTCTAAGACCGGGTCTGCTAGGGGGTTTTTGTTTCCACTCTTAAAGGCGTGCTTCACCCAAATTTCATGGAAATGCAGGAGGACATTTTTGAAGTTATTTTAGATTTTAAAACCTCAGCTCTCTGGTTGTAGATTGTCTGTCAAAGTGTAAATATGTAGAAGATTTTCAAGGTTTATGCCTACTTTTAATAATTCTATTGCTAAACAAAATCAATTTGGAAACTTTATTGTTGTTTTTTTATGAGTAAGGAGGACTCTTTTTGTACAAGGTAGTTTAAGTAATCTTGTGCTCCTGTCTTTACAACAAACATGGACCCAAGTTAAAGTTTTACCCAAACTTGGGCAAAACTTTATTCTAATAATTGACCTAAAACTTATTTTAATTATAAATATAATCTTTTGCAGAGTCAGTCCAGTTGATGGTTTGTCCTTTACGTTGCTAAGCAAAGAGTCAGGGTGTTGAGTTTTGGACTGAGTCACACTGGAGTTTGCACACCATCACAGACCAACTACTAATTCAGTTTTTATGGCCTTAACCACACCGTTTCCCTCACTTTCAGTAAGTGGTTTTGTTGTCTAAACATAACCTTGCACTTGTGTTTTACTGCCATAACGAGAATATTTCCTTAACCCAAACCCATACTGTAGTGTGCACATGTCAAAACTGGAGAAAACAAGAATTCAAAGTATGTTTGCAATGGTCACAAAAATGTCGTTAAATGTTATCTTGGGTTTTACAGGATCAATATTGACATTCTCACTGTAAGTATTTGAAAATAAGCAAGGCTAATTTTGAGTGAATCTACCCTTTAAAAAGTTTATTTTAACTACTTACATCTTCCCTGTCCTGCACCCTCTCCCTGGGAATGCTGGTGTCACACCTGCTAAACTCATCGTCATGAGAGTTCGCCTCCCTCTGATTCTCCTATAACATCCCACCCGGTCAGGTTTAAACACCTCTTTTGCTTCCCAAACAACACCCTATCTGTGCTGATCTCCGCCCTGTGACATGAATGAGCTCACTATCAGGAGGACCACCATCATGCTCCCCTGAACAAATGGGTCTCACAATAAAAAAAAAAAAAGGTGCCTTAGTGTTTGTTGCCTGGCACAAAAATAATAAATACTTCAATTAAATTTGTTGAGCGTTTCAAAGTCCAGGAATTCCAGCGCTGAGTTTGCCAAGAATCTCCACGATGGATGGCAATTAAATGTCTCCACAAAAAGGAGGTCAGCTGAAGAGAGTGGAGAGTTACATTTCCAGTGGGGTGAAATGGTAATTGTGTTTATTGTTCATTTCTTGGCAGACGGCCTAATGAATTTTCCATCTCACTATTTCAGAGGTACAGCTCAAAAACTAATGTTGATGAAATGGCAAAGCTGTACAAGCAAATCCTCTTTTTTTTTTCCCTTCATGCTCCAAAAACGAGGTCTGAATATTTGGATCCCATCTGCTCCTGATAATGTTTTGCACACGTGTACAATTTACAAAGACTACAAACTGAAGCAGAACAATTCCTTTTTGGGTTATTTTTACATAAATCAAACTTTTCAGTTCTTATTCACCAGTAACTCAGGAATAAAGATGAAAAAGTTACTCCCTGTGTCCTGGCAGTCTAACAGGACGGCGTGTGTTCACACCACACCCTGTCATTCAGTTGTCAGTAGCTGTGTTACGACCACACGCACCCTCACATGCGCACAGCCGAGAACACGAAACTGTTTATTTCAAGTGTTTAAAAATGAAAGACTCGCTGTTTAAAAATGTGAATCTTATGATGTCAGACATTGTGAGGCTAGAAAACCATTTTTTTACAGAACCAAATGATTGGGAATGAGCTAAAACCAAACTAGGAACCTTAATGTGGTGAATTAAAGTTGTAAGCAAGCTACTTGGACTAAATAGAAACCTAAAAGGCCTACATTCTTCTTCACACTACTTAAAGAAATCCAGCCCTAAAATTGTGTCTCATAGTTTGAAATTGAAGTCTGAATTTCAACCCTGAGCTTGTAAAAGTCTGAAACTCTCTCCTTATGAGTAACTTAAGGTTATCAAGCAACAGAATTATGACCTGTAGTCATTTCCTGATTTTATATCCAACACGAGGGTCTGAAAAATCCTCTTAGAAGAAAAAAGAAATACTTTAATGTTAATAAAAAAGTGTTTTCTACTTCTTAGACCACTGAATGTTACAATCAAGTCAACCAATATCAGCAAATTAACATTAAAAAGCTTCTAACTTTTAGTTTTAATCAGCTTGAAGACATTTAGCAACAATTTATGACTTAAATTAAATAATTTTTACACCTTTTAACTCGAAGCATTATGGAGGAAATAAAGCAGTATTCTGGTGTAATACTACATCAGATTTCAAGATGACACATGGTCAATTTGGCTGGCTCTATAACTATCAGATTTAGTTTACGTCCCACGACCCTCCCCACGTCCCTGCACCTGTTTGCCTCCTACCTGCCACCTCCCTTCTGCCTCTCCTGGGTGATCTCCACCACCACAGAGCGGTGCAGTAAAGCAGGTAAAGACCCTCTACCTACAAGGACAGACTCCACATACGTCTCTAGTCCAGGACTCACCTTTCAAGGAGCTTCCTCCACTGCTGGTCCCACTTGAACAAAGCCAGGTGTCTCTGTGTTATTTATCCCTCTTATTTCCACACCTTGGTTCCAGTTTCCTTCAGTTAGAGCACAGAAGAAAAATGCTGCTATTCCATCTAGGAGCTCACACAGCGGGCTTGACTGAGAGAGAGAGAGAGAGAGAGAGAGAGAGGAGAGGAGAGGAGAGCGAAAAGACAGAGAGGGCTGGTGTCCTATTACACACTCTCCACTGAAGTCCCCCTCCTCCCTCCTCCTCACCACCCCTCCCGTCCATGATATTCCTCCCTCCCTCACCTCGTCCCTCTTGTTAACTAGACAGCAAACTTAAACATGCACAGCTCAAATCATAATAGAGTGAAAGCAATGAAAGGTCAGACATGCAGCAGTGATCCGTGGATGGTCAGAGAGGAAATTTTCCTGTATAATAAGATTAAAAATAAACATTCTCTGTTAGTTTCATTTGCAGAATTACAGTATGGACCAGCTTAGAAGTAAAATATGAAAGTATTTGACAAAATAAACCCTTGAATTAAATTTCAGGCTGCCAATGAAAGGTCAACAGCCACACTGGTTGAACATCAAGACTGTACTTACTTTCGCTCATGTAAGCATGCTAAAGCTGCGTTCGAGTTACCTCAGAAGTCAGATGTCGGAGCTGAAAATGACGTCACACCTGAGTTACCAGAGTTCCGAGTTATAGGAAAAAAGCAAAATCGGAGGCCTGAAACAAGATGGCTACATCTACAAAAGTTATTTTAGCGCTTGCCTGATGTTCGGACTAGCCAGGCGCCGAAATAACTTTCGTAGATGTAGCCATCTTGTTTCAGGCCTCCGATCTTGCTTTTTCCCCATTTGGTAACTAAAACGCTGGTAAATCGATGCAATGTCATTTTCAGCTCCGACATCTGACTTCCGAGGTAACTCAAACACAGCATAATACCTTCACAGTGAAATGTTCACCAGGAAAAATGAGCACCATATTAAAGGGTAAATCCACTAATTTAGCAACCCTAAATCTGTTAGGAAAACTTGCATAGCGTTACTTTAAAAATCTAGAATAAAGCTGCACAGAGACTGATTTTGCAGGGCATAAAACAAACAAGGCAAAAAAAGAAGAGATGAGAAAGAAAAATCTAGCGAATGTGAGAAGAAACAAGAAATGATGAAAACAAAGCTTATCAGACCTCTGACGCTTATTCCTCATTGTTTTTTGCTTCTCAAAGGAGGCGAGCTTCTGACTGAGCCTTCAATAGCTGCTACAAGCATAATAAGCCAGAGTCTCTGACTTGCTAACTCTTTCATGTGATGGATTTCTTGGGGAAGGATGACTTCAAATTGAAGATGAGTTACTTAACGAAGAGAATGAATGCTAAACTGATCACTGTAGCATATTTCTTGACAATTCACAGGTTTTCTTTTCTGTTTAAGCTAGCTTTTCAAGGCTACATCCTCTGCTTCTAGCGTAATAAACCAGATTGCCATTTTAAATGAACTAGATGATTTATTTTAATATAAAACAGAACAAACAATTACCTTTAAAATGTCATTGGAGAGAAAGTTGTGTTTGCTGTACTTCCAGCAGGGTTGCCACACTCTGCATTTCTCTGATGGGATGTTGGTTGTGGTTCTGAAAGAAGGAAAAATAAAACAGATCCTGAATAATATTTATATATTTATCAGCTACATGGGGTGCTATAGATAATGTTGAAGGAATCACAAAGTCAACGTAATGTTGATATTCAGTAAAATCCATCCAGCAGTTCATCAAATATATGTTTGGAGCACTTTACAGACGAAAACTGCCGTCCCTGTCTGCTAGCTAAAGTTAGTTTTTTCTTCTATGCTGACAAACTGTTTCTGTGACAACCAGAAGTTATGTTCAAATATCCTCCCTCAATTAGTTTTACCGCAATGGTGACGGATTTAATCACCAGACAAGAAAGTATGAACAACATTATTTTTCTCAATGTGGTTAACCATGAAAAAAACGTGTGGTTTTGGTAAAATAAGCGGCTCCCCTTCCAAACTGACAGCATGCAAACCTGACCCTTTGAAAAAAAAAAATGAAGCTCAGTTCCTCTGTAAAAACTCACAGCTGCTTTGGATGGACTTATTTGGGAAAGCTTGCTCAGCACAGGGAGATAAAAATGCAACACGAAGCCATCCAGACTTTGCCAAACCTTAACACAAATGCTTGTTCCAGTATATTTGTAGCTGCAACACGAGCCCAAACCAAAGGAGTCAGGAGTCTAGAGAGGCTTGGCCGGATAGATAAACACTACAGCATATTACCACGTGCTAGCCACTAGAAACACGCAGTCGGTTTAACTATTTCCACACTCCAGAGAGGCGAGTTATGCTCAGTTTTCATTTTCATGAATGGACACATTTGTTTTCCTCCCTAGCTCAGTGTCACATGTCACTTCAGCGAAGGTATGAGCCAGGATGTGGAGGATTTTACACGTTAGCGCTTTGGTTATTGAGGTGGAATTAAGGCTTATTGCTAAAATCACAGCTCAGGAAAAGGAAAGGAAAAGAAGTGTGCCGGCCAGGGTTTTGATGAAAGTGTCTGACAGACGGGGGAGAGTAAAAAAAAAAAAGGGGGGAGGAAAGCAGGGATAAGCTGGTGGCTGAGACAGGAGGAAATAATTACCCTTCTTGCTGACAATGGAGCCTGATTTACGCCTCACCAATTAAAGTGTCACGATGGCACTCCAGAGGGATGCACGTTTTTCATTGGGCCCGTTTGCAAGAAGAGGAATGGAAAGAGGTGTGTGAGAGCAGAGTAGAGATGAGGCGTATCCTTTACTATCCCCACGAAAGCGCCTCAGCTGTAAATTAAGTCAATGAGAATGAAGAGCCAGAGAGAGTAACCGGGTAACACCATGCAGGTGTTGTAAATGATGGGAGACATGATTGTAGGAAGCCCTGGGATCACAAATCAGATGCTTCGTAAAAAGATATTCGTGTAAGTTTACGAATACTGTCCGCTCACGTAACATCCACTCTATTGCATTATTCACAGGTGGATGGGATTATCATGTTTTCGAATGCTTTGCATGCGATGCCTCTCCATCACTTGATCTGTTGGCCACACATCTTTCAACAAACTGCCTCTTGTTAGCGCCGCACATGTCATGCATTTGTCATGCTAGCGTTAACGGCGCAGGCCAAGGTCAGGGTAAGCCCTTTTCGTGATGCTGTTTGACATACGACATGTATATGCACTTGGTAAGTTATTGTAAGGTTACAGGCACACCTATAGCATACTAATACGCTGTCACTACTTCTATAATATTGTAATCTTGATCACAGCAAGAGGTAGCTTTAAACTCTCCTGCTGTCTGCCATGTTGATGGACATGGTTGTTAAAATTCTGTCATGCGTGTTACACTCTGACTTTCCTTTTTTAGTTTTGATGGTATTTTTTAAATAGTTCTTTGGCTCAGTTAAATCAGATGTGACACTTTGATTTTATTTTTTTTGTCTACAGCGTTATGAGTCTGGAGAACTCCTGTACAAATTAGCTTAACCCTCCTCCTGTGGTAGCTTTTATTACGCACCCACCATCTATCTATCTATCTATCTATCTATCTATCTATCTATCTAAAGGGTCGGTTTTGACCCATGTCTTAAATCATTATCTATCAAAAACAGTTCTCTATCATCCAATTTGGTTCTCATCTCAAGGGTTACATTGTTGGCTTCATTATCCATGAAAACTTAGAAACTGAATTGATCTCACATGTCTGGACATGCCCGATGTAGTTTTTTGTGCAGGGAAAAAACATGACAAAATGAGAATTTCCTAAATCTCACATGATTGTTAGAGGATCTGACTGTCAGTGTGGTGCCTGACAGTGCACTTATGATTTCAGTTTTTGCTCCAGTTATTAGATACTGATCTAACCGGGTCAACAACGACCCTAACACCAAAGTGCCATAATTTTAAGAGGAGCATTTTATAATTTAGTCAATTTATTTTTTTATTTTTGTTTTTGTTGAAATAGAGGTTTCTGACAAAGTCAAAAAGCTAATTTAACTGGTTCTTTTAAGCATTTAAAATCAAAAACAGGTCGCTGCAGACTCTAACACAGGAGGAGGGTTAAAGTAAACTTGTGTTCCTGTTAAAATATACAAACAGAGACATGACTTTGGGGGCTCCTCAGAACTTTTTTAACTTATCAAACTTAAGCAAAACTTTGTCTACATCATGAAATCACCAATCTGAGAGTTATGTTCAGATTAATCTGATCTTTTCATGAGTAACCCATTCTGAGTTATTTGTTATTATATTGACCCAACACCAGCAGTTAAAGTAAACCGGTATGCAGCGGTACGTCGTACCGGGAAGACATAAACAGCAGTTTACAGCCGGTACATAAACTTCACCCCTGCAGTGTATGTATGCTACATTTTCTTACCGTGTCGCTGCACGTCAGTCTGCACTCTGCATTGAAACCGTAGTAATCCAATAGCACCATGCTGCGTGCCAGTGTGTCGTAGTTGCTTCCCCAAACAAATCCAGAGATGGATGCGCTGAGTGCGCGCTTTTGATTGGACGCTGGTTGGGACCGCCTTCCACCTTTTGCGGAAGGAGGGAAATTTTAAAGAGACAGCTGCTTCAATCTTAATGCAGAAATAAAACAAAATGCAGAGAAAAAAAATGATCTTGTGTTCAGGAGAAAGAGAGGTGCAGCAGATGATGATACTGTGGCATCAGAGTCAGCACCTTATTAAACTTGGGTGTGTACAAAGCCTACGGGTACCGTACCTGCAAGAACCATATACTACTTTCACCCCTTCCCAACACAATAAATGTTTAACAGTGTTTATGCTAAAATTACATTCAGTGGTCTACTGTCAGAGCCTCTCTCTCTGTTTACTGCACACCAACCCAAGTGCTTGTGTCAGATAGAGAGGAAGAGCTTAGTATAATAACATTTATCTGAACTTGAGTGGGAGTGTGATTTTCCAAGCTCACAGTCAAAAATTTCAACCAGCATAGGGACGGCCTTTAAATGCTTTTTGCGCAATGTAAAAAAAAAAAAGGGTCAAAAATGAAAAAATTTGGTCAAAGTGACCTCTGATTACAGCTAACATTTTCCTTTATTCATTAGCATTTTCTGTGTGCACATTTCATGATCATCTCAACACAAGACTCATTTACTGCCGGCATTGAGCCGAACCAGAAAAAGAAAGTTAGCTAACAGAGCTTAAACACAAAGTTG